GACAATCAACACGACTCAGAACCCTGGTTCCCGCTGACGATGTGGCAGCATAGGCGACCGATCGACCCTTTCCCCTTGACCGGCCCAGACGGTGATTTTGTCTCCTTCGCGGCATCACACAGACTTGCACATAGATCTCAGATCGCTCCTGCTGCATACTGGGACCGCAGTGCTGTTGTGCATTGCCGGAGTCTGCTTCAGCGATTGAGCCTTTCGAGATCAGATCGTGGGGAGACATGGACCTCTACGACACAACAGTACAGCCCCAATGGAGGGTTGTGACTCTGGATCTGAAGGCTACTGAATCTGATTGCGCCCATCCCGCGTCCGCCACATTCCCGCCTTTTCGTCGACCAGCAATATTAACTTTAGCCGGCTTTTTGAGAGGCTACCAATAAGACCGATACACGGCCATCATTTTTGCGTCCTGGGCGATGAAACTGGCCACGGATATATCATCCACTGAAACATTCAGAAATCTGACCCACTGGTTGAAACTTCCAGAGGAATGCAGCATATGGTCTCCCACTAGGCGTCTGGCTACATGAATCCAATACCGCCGTTCGCGGAAGGCAAAAGCTCCTAACTGTCCCTCCCTATGAAGACTGGCTGCCTTTGTCTCCCAAACTCACCCGGACCCCGGCTCAGGCTGATCATGGCTTCAGCTCGCCTACGCAGTCCGACGTTCTGTACTACGCCGAGGACGTTTTGCAGACTGTCGACCCGCCTGTCCGATTTCCGCTCACTCACAAGCGCGCGTTCAAATGTTCTTTTGTGCAATGCCGCGCACAGATCCAAAATGGCTGTGCTAATGTTTGGTACCTTTGAGTCTCGGCTGGACGTGTACTGGCTCCTGCGTGGCCATTATGGTCCCGAGTCGCTGAGAGCTTGTCCACAATTCCCCCTCGCTGCTGTCAGTCCATTTACCGGTTCTTTGCACACTCATGTCATTGCGTCTGCTCGTGGTGGAGGTGTTTGCTTCAATTCTTTCTCTTGCGCCTAGACGACGCTATGACTCGTCTTCATTGCAAGCCGAGATGAGAGACACCGAGCTGCAAAGCCCCAGCAGATGAGGACCAAGCCGGGATGGCTTATAAGCTGCCATCTTCGCTGTCCTGATCACCAAATTAAACACGAACAGCATTCCTTCGATCGACCTTCTTGCTTGTACTATTCTCCTTTATTCACTCAGTCATGGACCAGGGAGCAAGGTACGTACGTGCCAATGCTTGGAGATGTTGCAACTCTCGGTGCCACGCCATCAATATCCGCGAACTCCACAAGACACATTGTCCGGAATGCGACCAAAGGCGGTGCCGAAATTGCGAAGACGTCTTTCTCAAGCAAGACCGCCGTTCGCAGCACGACGACAAAGTGGTGCCACGGCACTAGCAAGCGGCGACACACACTCGATAGGTACAGCCGTGTAACTTCAGTTCCATGATCTCTCCTAACACGAAGAAGGACCCCAGTGCAGGACCAGAATGGAGCATCATGTAACGCACCCCATGTCTCGCAGGTCATCTTTTCTGGCATATCAGGAGCAGTGGGAAATGTGGGTACGGCTGGATAGAAGCAACAACGGTTAGACGTTCTCGGAAACTCAGGTTCACAGTACTGAGCATGGGGTGCATCGATGATAGCCTCGATTATCGCGTGTGGCTAAGGACCAGGGTAATGATTCTCAAAAGGTTGTTCAAATGGCCGCAATCCCATTTGCCTTGCGGCCATTGCCGCCTGCGACGAGACTTGCGATTGTCTGCTATACAATAAATAGCTCTGACTGCCGTACCAACCGAGGAACCTCTGAATTGAGGATGGTACTTTTGGGAACTTGTTCGTTTCAACACGTCATGTACAGGCTTCGGTGCCCAAGCTACGTTCTGAATGGCGCGCCGATATCACCGATTGGACATATGCAGCCACTCCATGCAAGATGCAGGTGCAAAGCAGCAACATCACCAGCAGCAGCGCAAGCAGCACCCCCCTGTCACCTTGTCACTTTGTCCGCCCACCCCATCTGGCCGCCCTCCTTCTCTTATCTCACCACGCATCTGGTTACTCGATTCTGGTCTGGTTTTCATCCCCGCAGGCTGCCTGGTGTTTTAACGTCGACCCTTCAGCCATACCAACCTCCTCTCAAGCTGCTATCCTTTTAGTCTGCTCTTGGAGCTTTCCCGGCGAAGGTTTTACGGGCAAGCCAATCAAGAACATTGACAATCGTGTCCCGGCACCTCAAGCCTCGCGAGCTGCTCATTGTGCTCTTCTGCAGCAAACCCCACCCGCCTTCCCGAAGCACGCAGCAGCACAGCCTCGATCTTCGCTGCATGCTCTGCTAATGACTCTGACCACGTGGTAGACCGGGATGATGCGGCCGGCTGCCAGGTTGCTCTTTCCAGTAAATAGACACCAAAGGCAACCCCTTCCACACAGCCCTCCGCATTAGCTGGGTCGTTCTTGCATGCATTCGTCCGAACCACCTTGAGCGACACCTGCCAAACGAAGTACTAGCCATAGGTATACGATGCCAGACACTCAGCGATGATGCAATTTCGGGTTTGGTTTCCAGGGATATCGCTCTCTCCGAGCCCGCCAACAGCTTACGCCAGTGGAGCCCCTTTCGGAATGGGCCTGCCGTGGTCATTATGAACGCTGCACCGTCCACGCCCTCTGTGCGTATGCAATCTCTGATTGTGTACGTGTTCGGAATTTTGCACGAGGACTGGAGCTACCACTCGGCCCCCCTGTCGCACAGGACCGTCCATGAAACGCCAAATTCGAGCCCGGTGAGCGAAGGGGGGAAAGAGTTGAGCACAAACAGGCAAACAGGCGACAGATACTCCGCCATGATGCCTTCGAGGCACATTGAGGAGAAGCATGCGTGTTGGCCTCCAATTCGAGACATGATCGATGAACAGATATTTCTCACCGACTCTCGTCCCCTCCAATAAGACACAGAGGCAGGGTTTTCTTCAGAGCTCCCACAATCCCTTGCCAGACTCGTCCCTTCCTGCCACGGTAGGCGTCGGACCTACTCCACCTCTAGGAACATCCCGAATCTCTCGAGTCTGCGGTCCTGTCCATGAGCAGGGCGTCCGCGAACAGTATAGCTCTTGAGCCATGGCTCATGTATGCTACAGCGGAAAGCAGCACTGGAGGTATATCTTCAACCCCCGACCAGCTTCCTATACCAGCTCAAACCTATCAGTATCTCCTCTCCTTGCGCAAACATGCCGGACAATCCTCCAATAGTCCAGGTCTTGGACAACACAACGGACCCTCCCACCGGCACCTATGTTCGAGCTAACTACTGGTACTGCTGCCGGTGCGATGGAGCCAAAGAGAACCCGCAGCTATGGAAACTCTACCGCAAGTGTGTCCCCTGCGACCATACGCGCTGTGACCGATGCATCCCAACCTACATCGGCCGCAAGCCTAGGCAATAGCGGCTCGATGTGCTACAACCAGGTATGACGCGAGCGACTAGTGTTGTGCATGTCTCTTCGGCTGCTGACTGCTGTCATCGTTGAGCAGGCTATCGAGCTCGAAGAGCACAGGCCTCAATTGTTACCCGCGGGATAGCACGTTCTGCTACCGAGGCTCCAAAGACCCGACGACCGCGCACCTCCTTTCCGAAGGTCCTTACCGGATACCACCACTCACCGTCATTACCGAAGCGTCCCCTTCTTGGATGTCCTTATCGAATACCACCACTCAGAATGCCATTATGGAACCCTTCCCTGCCTGAATGTCCTTATCGATTACCACCATCCAAATTGTCATTATCAGACGTCCCTTCTTGAATGTCCTTACCGAATACCACGCGCTGATTAATCCTCATTGCTTGAGATTGATGTCAACTTCTTATACCCGACAAGCAGCTATATCTTGTACTGCCTTGGCCCCATACGTTCTATCTTCCTCACGAGCTTCAGCCTGGCTTCGCCCCCGATCCAGTCCTCGACCTCATACATCGATTCCCAGTCCTGAGATCTCCTACAGGCCAACACGCTATACCACTTCCCCTTGGATGGCAAACCTGAGAACACCGAATCAAGCAGAAGGTCAGCGACTCAAGGGATGGGTGTCTACATTAAACGATAGTGACAGCCGTGTGCAGTCGATGCGATGCGATACAATACAATACGATGCAATACATTGTTGTTTGTCCCAACTCCGTTGTTCAACAATGCCGTCCGCACACCATTGTCAAGTCCTCATGTGCTAAGGCAGCAAGCAGGGCTGATACTCCGATAACCCCTCCTTGGCTACCTGTCGTAGATACCAACACACGATCGGCGTGACGAGATCTGGTTTGAACGGGGTGCGGCGCCGTCACCGCACGAGCCGCAGCATTTTGACTGTACATCGTACTTGCCAGCCCCGCCTTGCTCTGCCTTGCTCTACTTTGCTCTACTTGACTCTGCTTGGCCTTGGCATGTCCTGTCTTGCATTGCCCTATTCCTCCCAGCAAATATTTACATATCCTAATAGAGTAGTACTTCTGACACCTTGACTCCCTGACTCCCTGACTCTTCGCCACTGCATACCACAGACACAGATACGATGCTCTCTGCTCTCTACTTACATGGCTTACAACCACGGGCCACGCATGCACTTTGACTGAGGCAGTCAGTTTGTAGTCTGCGGTGCACGATCCGCAGTTTCACATCATACGGCTCCCAGACACGCACAGGCACACCTAGATACAGCCACAGCACATGTAATGCCCTGCCACCTAGGTGCCCACCCCTATCATTCACTCATCCCACCAAATGCACGTAGGTGATGGGCCACGATAATCTTGTTCAGGCCGTTGCAAGCACGGGCATCGTGATGCAGACGTTGGTGGCAATACGGATGACACATCCAGATCTCACTTCACTAATTATACCACAGTACTCGCATGTGACTACTCAATGCCCACTGGTCGTCCATTCATCGCTGATTCACGCCACTTGTCGCCGACCACCAACCAATCCAAGGCTTGGACCGACCCCTCAATAAGCATAGAACAAGATCGTCTCGTCACCGCTCTGGCGGATCTTCTTGTTCGTGCGAATGAGCCAGAGTTTCATGACCCACGCCGCCGTGGCGCAGGCGACCGAAAAGGCCGCCGAGCTGGCCATGGCGATGGTGTAGCGCGGCTCGTCGGAGCTGGGCCAAAGGTACTATGTGACATTTGACGTTAGTGATGACAGGCCCGGACACCGCAGACACGCGGAAGGGGCAGTACGCACCGGAGTCCACACGAAAGAAGCATTCGCAATGGTATTGACGATTGCCAGACTGGACGCCTTCTTCTCCTTGGTCTGGCCGCACGTGGAGCCCACCCAGCCCAGGATGATCGAGTTGACCGCGTAGGTGCCGATCGCGAAGACGACCATGGCGAAGTATCGCGCGCCGGTGTTCAGCGTGGCGCAGCCGAGCACGAAGCCGAACACGGCGACGGCCTTGGCGCCTGTGATGTGCCAGGTGCGTTCGTTGAACCTGCCCGAACTGGCGGACCAGAGGATCGAGATGATGCCCGCGATCAGGTACGGCGGGCAGGTCAGCACGAGCGTAATGGTCTGGTTGAAGCCCAGGGTCTCGACGGCCGTGGGGAAGAAGTTCTTGAACCCGTTGGCCGCCAGGTGCATGTGCTGCATGAAGGCGAAGAGCCAGAGCTTGGGGTCCCGGGCGGCTTCTTTCAGGCCCGCAAAGGTCGAGGTGCCGGCCTTGCCGCCGACGGTGTCGCGCTCGATGCGGTCGTGGGCGAGTTGTCGTTCTTCGGGCGTGAGCCATTTGGTGGTGAGAGGGTGGTCGGGGAGCGTGAAGACGGCGCCGAGGGCGATGACAAATGTGGCGATGCCCTGGGATGGATGTGTTAGAACTTGAGCATCACACAGAGATTGGCCCATACCTGGATGATGAAGAGCCATCTCCAGCCTTCGAGACCGGCCTTGCCGTCCAGCTCAAAGATACCCAGCGCAATGAGACCGGCAAACGCTGTGGCGAGGATGTTGCCGGTGTAGAGGATGGAGATGCGCGTGGCGATCTCCTTGCGAGTGTAGAAGATTGAGAGCATGAAGAGGGCGCCAGGGTAGTAGGGAGCCTTGATACTTATTAACACATTCTGGTGCGTTGCGGGCGAGTGGTGATAACGTACCTCTGTCACGCCTAGGAAGAAACGAGTGAGAAGAAGACCCGTGAAATTCTTAGATAGCGCCGTCAAGGTGCTGACGACGGCCCAAAGCGCCATGAAGAAGGACATGTAATAGGACGGTCGGACCCGCGTGAGGATCATGTTGGATGGCACCTGGCCTAGCAAGTACCCGACAAAGAGAATGGACACCTGTGAGTGATATCAGCGGCATCCCACGTGGGAGCTCCGGGGCGGACGAGACTTACGCAGGTCTGGTACTGCGTCGAAGTCAAGCCCAGATCTTCTTCCATGTCGTTGATACGTGCTAACGCAATGGCATTTCGATCCAAGTAGTTGAGCCAGTACATGATCCACAGCGTTGGCATGATCCATCGATCAAGCTTCTTGACGAGTCTGGATTCGATATCTTGTCAGCGTTGCACCAGGCACGGCGACAGTGGGAGCATAGCATACTGGATCTCTTTCGGGTCGGTCTTCTTGTGAGCTCCTGAATAATCGACGCGGACAGCTGTGCCTTCGCTATCGACGACATATTCTTCATGTGCGCCTGCTGGTTTGTCGACCTCAATTACAGGTGGCTGGCGGCCCTCAATTACGGTCTTCTCGTTGTGTGCATGATGAGCTGCCATGGTGAGTGTCGCAAGAACGACGTGAGGAGGAGTGAGGTATTTTCCTTGAGCGCAGAGGCTGATGAAGTCAACCGGAGACTGTTTGATAAGAGCTGCGAATACTCTGGGGAACAGATCGTCCAGGGTGAGGACTGCCGACCTTTATACCTACCAACCTACCAACCAACCTACCTGGATTCATCGCTGCACAATCGACCACGGTTCTGGCATTCATGGACAATGTCGACATTGCTCATCAACACTCTTCAGGGTCCCCCTCATTTTCGTGCCAGGCGCACTAGGATAGGACGTCCATGGATGAGCATGTAGGTGACAGGCATCGGAACGACAGACCAAGACACCAAGCCCGCCAAGTCCCGTAGACGACCCCGGATTGGCGACCCCGTATTGGCGGAGAAAGCTTTGAGCGTTTTGCCACCTAAGCCTCTTCCGGCAAATCACAAAATCCCAATGATACCCAAGAATCCGCGGCGTACGTGAGCCAGGAATGATCTTTCCCCGAGGCCAATCTAGATGGGTTGGCGTGCAGCGATGGCGGGGACGCGGCAGTGACAACATCTCAGGTCACGACTTGGCGGAGCGGAGTTTGCATCATGCTAAGTTTGCATCAGCCAAGTGTCTTTCACCCTCGTGTTGACGTTCGCCGTATCGCTATTTTCCTCCACTCTCCCGTTCTCAAATGCCGTTGCCCTTATGGACGCTGCTTTCATTCCGGGAGCGGCCTTTCAAGATGGCATTTGGCGGATGGCGAGCGGCGAGCGGGAAGAGGAATGGGCTTTCACCCTGGTTGCCCCGAACCGGACCCCGACGGGAGGACATACCGGCCTTGGCAGGTGAGATTCTGCGGCCGTTCTCGAAGCTTTCTGCATACGGACTGATGCATGGTCCCTCATGACTGGTCTTTGGCATGCTTATCCCTTCTTGATGCAAGGGGTGTTATCGCCCAGAAGTCCCAAGAAAAGCCACAAAGCCGTCAAACATCACCTACGGGATGGATGACTGATACTATGCCTTCCTCGCTGGGTAGTCAGCCTGGATGAGGTGCGTCAAGGACGCTCGCGAAGGCGCAGAAAGTAGCTTTGTGGCATGAACTTCAAGTACAAATGTAGTTAGTTCCACGTCTAAGACTGTGTGTCCCGACGGCGTCCATAGGGGAGACGCCCACACCTACGATCTTGTCTCAACTGCTTCGCCGTCGCCTCGTCGACTCTCCGAGAAGTCTCGTGTCTCGCTTGCCGCATGAATTGACGTTCGAACACTTGTTGACCCTTGCTTGGCTGTGGGCTAGGGCATTGCGATGCCACTGACCCCATGCTGCATGCCTGCTCCGACATGCGTGACAAGACCTTCCGAATCTCGTCCAGTTCTTGGTTAGTCCCAAGGTGCTTTGTCGCGGAATAGAAATTAGTGCGACCCAACATTTTATCACGTCTCCTTGGTCTTCCCCACCGCTCCGTTGGGACGACTGGAAGGTCTCCTGCGAGTGTGCCTTGGTGAAGTTCATGTCGCCCCTCAAATACGAATCCTGAAGTCCGATCACTACCGCCCCAGCCCGAAATCTGAATGCAATCGGCAATGTTACGGGTGTATCGATGGGGGTCGGCAACTTTCACTGTGTTGGAGACAGCACGTTGTCTCCCCCATTGGCCGCCGGAGCAGCTTGATTGCGCTGTAGTGCGGAATGGGCACCGAACCAACCTGTTTTACAGTCAGTCGCAGTCGCCGTCCGCAGTCCATGGCCGAGTATGCAAGGAGCGACGGTGCTGCCTGCCTGCAAGTTCAGAAACCGAGTTTCATTGCGCCTTTGTGTCCAAGCTTGAACAGGGCAGGCACCACGCATATGGCGATCGCTGCTGAATGTGGGCTTTGAGATCGACGGAAGTGGTAGGGGCATTGCGATTTTCGAAGCTCTGAACCGCGCCCATCCATACAGCAGGGACAGATCCATACCCGGTTCATGCCCTCCCGATTACAAGATAGATCTTCATGTTGTTAGCTACTGACAGACGATGGTCAGCCAGTCGATTCTGTATGGTAGGTCTTGACGAAATGCTGAAGCCGTGCTATTGTGTTCCTGCACTCCCGAATACTGTATGTGGCTTCATTTTGCAGAGTCGTTTGATAGCCAACCATGCGATGTGGCGCTTTGCTGAGATGCTTGTTCTTCGCTACAAGGGTCGCAGAAGCGAGGATGAGCAGCAGCAGCCATTTCGTGCAGGCAATTGCGACTGCTATCGCATAAGATTCCCATTGTTTGGTCTCATGAGAGTCCCCGGTAGCCGTATAGCTCGGCAAATGCAGAGATGTGACCTCGACCGCCCATTCCGCCTCTTCCGTCTCACGAAACAGACATACGGCGGGATTCAGGGACAACAGGTACGGCTTTTTCGGCGCATCAGTTCTACCATAGCGCAAACGCCATATGTGTGAAGCACTTCGCCGTACCATTCATTGTCAACTGTTCGCTATGGGCAGCTTAATTACTGCATTCAGCTGCCCTGCTTGCACAACCACCATTCATTTGCATGGGTGCGCGCCATATCTGGAGGCTCAACCGGTTTCTCCGGAGCGTACAGGCGCCATGCCGGCACTGGTCCAGCTGCCAGGATCGACCGTCAGGTCACAGCAAATGGGCAAAGATCAAACATGACAAGGGCAAGAACGACATCGCGAAGAGCAAGGCCCGCACGCATTTGTCTGCCGACATCATAATGGCATCGAGATGTAAGGAGCTTCTGCGTTCCCAAGGAGGCTGATTGGCTGATTGACACGCAGTGGGCGGGCCTGATCCCAGCATGAATTCCAGACTCGCGCATGCGATTGCCGTTGCGAAGAAAGGTCAACTGTCGAAGACGTCTATCGAGCATGCAATTGCCAAAGGCCAGGGCAAATCGCCAACCGGCCAAGCGCTGGAGAACGTGACCATCGAAGCGATGCTGCCGCACGGTGTGGCTGCGATGATTGAATGCCAGACCGACAATAAAGCGAGAACGTTGACAGACGTCCGGTACATCATCACGAAGGCAGGTGGCACAGCTACGCCAACAGCGTTCATGTTCGAGAAAAAAGGTCGGGTGTGCTTTGAAGAGCAGGAAAAGATAGGAGTCGAGGATGCCCTCGAAGACGCCATCGAGGCGGGGGCTCTAGACATTTCGTCGGAGGACAACAAACTGGTGGTTGAAACCGAACCAGCCGATGTCATGGCCGTTGCTCAGAAGCTTCAGAAGAAGCTGGAGCTTCAGGTGGAAAAGGCAGAAGTGGTGTACGTGCCGAACGAGGATTCTGTGGTTACCTTGTCTGCAAAACAGGAGCACGAGGTGCAGAGCATTCTAGATTCTCTAGAAGAAGACCCAAGTGTCCAGACTTTGTACATCAACGCTAGTTGATAGCAGGCATACAATCTTGACCAAATCCACTTAGTGCTGGACCCAATGTGCTCGTACGTGCTTGTGGTGGTCTATCTGCGTGGATGTAGACATGGTCAGCCGTAATATTCCTACGGCGAAGCACTAAGCCAGCCTTTTGGCTTCTTGGGTTCTTCAACGTGTTGTGAACTCACATGTCGTAGGCCGGTCATGGTCAGTCATACCGCTTTGACACAGGAGAAAAAGGTCTAAATGAAGGGATGACTTCTGTCTACGTCGAAAACGCCACGAAGGACTTTCTGAACTCTGAAACTCTCGTCGGTCCCTTACAGGATGGAGCCTGGAACGACGCTGGTCAACTGGCAGCAGGCCTTCGAAGGCTACCGCATCCCGCAAACTCGGGCAATTGAAAAGCAACTGCGGACAAGCGCTGCACAAAACAAAGAGAAACTCAGGACACTGGTTGGGTAGGTTGGACGCCGAATATCATCTGCCTCGAGTCTCTGATGGACGAGCCCGCACCATCCACCTCTTCCATTCACGGCAGGAGATTTTGAGCTAGTCTACTGACCATTCATCTACAGTGGCAGCTATCGGGAGCTCCTCGCAACCGCCCAGGCCATTGTTGTCCTCGACGAACAGACGAGGTCCGCAGAGGATCACCTGACATCCATCGGTCATCATTGCAGACCGCCTCAGCTAGATGCAAACCACAGACCACCACCAGCCGACCAAGTGGCACTCGCGCAGTACCGGCTCTTACAACGATGCTGTTCGACCATTGGCCTGTGTCTACGAGACCAGAAATTGCTACCGTCCGCACGACTCATAGTCGTGTCGAGGCTCTTGTTGAAATCCCTCCACGACCGAGAAGCCACCACTAGATGCCTTAACTTCCTGCGTGGCAAGCTCACCAGCCTACGGCGGCAGCTTCTGCTTCGGGTGGAATCCAACTTGACCAACCCCACGTCAAAATTACCGGATCTGCTGGAGTCAATCTGTTCGTACTGCCTGGTTACGAGTAGCTCTGCGGAGGATACCCTGGCTCACCTCCGTCAGCTAAGACTCGATAAGATTCGCCGGCGACTCACGGCCTCGAAACAGCCGTCGACGATCCGTGAGGTTCTTCGCTATCAATTGACATCCTTGCAATCATTCAGGAGTCTCATTGGGCTTCCCGTCATTGAGGCGATGAACGACCTGCAGAAAAGACCTATTTTAGAAGATCCGAGCATTCGAAACCTCGAATCCCTCGACATTGACCGGATTGCATCGCTGATCCCGGATGATATTCGATCGTTTGTCCCCTACTTCAAGAGAAGTGCGCCCACTTCAGAAGCATTGCAATATAAATTCGAAAGCTGGTCACAAGACGCTTGTCGGGTACTTTCCGATGCTTTGCGCCAGTGCCTCTCAGAAATGAGCCACGTGAGCGAGGTGCTCGAGTTGCGGAAGCGGCTCTACACCCTTTTATTACCGTCTTACTTCTCAACGCCTGCGGGGTCCTATATCAAAGAACAGATAGCGCAGGCGATTAATGAGAAAGTCGGCGTCGTATGTCAAATGCAAGGAGCACAGTTAGACCAGAGCACGAACTTGCTGCTTCAACAAGAAGCACGTGGCAAGCCGGCCCAGCTGCTGTGGGACGAGGACATAGCGCTAGCAGGTCTCGACGTGGGGGGCAACAAACTTGTCAGGCAAGTGCGAAAGCGTCATGCAGGCCACAATGGGGCCCTATCGAAAGCTTCGAAGACTCTGGCTCGATGGTTATCTGCGGCAAACGCGACTCTGAGACAGCTTGACGCGACCTCGCAGACAAGGTGGCGAGACATCCTTGAGGAGCCTGATTACGACAATGAAGATGAGGCCGTCGATCTGATCCAAGAGCTCGGTGAGACAGATCCGAAAGTCTACAAGGAAACTTTGGAGACATCCCTCCGAGAAGCTGTTCTTAGGCACGAGTCGTGCATCGCAGAAACTGCTGCTCAAATCCTGGATCAAAAGAGCGACATATCCCACGCTGTGGCCGCATTGCGCTCCATTCGACTTTCGATATCATCTCTGAAGCACGTCTCTCCGGAGAATACCAAGTTTGAGAGGTTTCGAGACGTCCTTCCGAGATTGCAGCAAACGCTTGCCAACGAGGTAGTGGAACAGCTTTCAAAGAAAGTACGAAGTGGCGATAGAGCCGGAAAATGGGATGCAACCATCTTGCCAGATAACATGCCTTCCCCTCAAGCCTTTTCGACCTTGCGTCATCTGTGCAGGATAATGTTGGATCTCGGCGGCACAGACCTGTGGTCCCCTCCACTGATTGCGTTGGTCAAGGAGGCTGTCAGAGCGAGGATATTCGATCCTGAAGTTAGGTCCGGCTATATGCACAACCAATTCGACGAAGTATACCTAGGCATTGCTCTGGACCGTGCTCACGCTGAGCTTACTCAGGATATATTGAACAGGAAGGAGCTCGTCAAGTCTGTGTCTGAATATTGGACGAGGACGAAACTCTTGTTCGGCGTGCTCGCCTGAACAGCGGCCAGAGTGCCGACTCGACTTTAGAAGTGTCTCTTAGTTGACCTAGACACGTGGAATGACAATCTACTGAATCCGCTAAGAGACTAGATTTCTCGGTGTAACTTGGCGGTGGTCGCGAGACAGCACTAAAGGAGGCATGGCCGGATCCGGGTAAACAATTAATCCGCAATGCCCCTTTCAATCCGTCGTCTCACCATCTCACCATCGTCGACATCTCCCCATCTATCTTTCCAACCCAGTCTTACCGAAGTGATTAGGCCACAGTCCCATCCTTGGGCTCCGTGTTCATTACAATCCTGGTTTGTTAACTGCTATCTTTACTCCTACCAGCACATTTCGAGGTTTGGGTTGTCCCCTCCTATGCCCAATTGCCTGTGCCGTGCTCATCTTGAGGAAAAACTCAATACATGCTGAGACAGTGTCCCCCGGGTTGCGTCGACATGAGAAATCTTGCAAAGATTTCCAGCGACCTGTCACCGATATGCAGCAGGTTGAGCTTTCAGATCTCTCAGCAGAATCCTCTCGGAGCAAGAGGGCGATTAGCGAATCCATTTACCATGACCAGCTTGAAGCAGACGAAGACATACAGGCCGAGGACAAGCCGCTTATGTCTACCGATCTAAATAATGAAGTTGATATTCAGCCTACGGAACAGGACATCGCGATGCTTCCGAGGGTATCGGATAAGGTCCCATGGCGTGTCTACACTGTTGCGTTTGTTGAGCTCTGCGAACGATTTTCGACTTATGGGACCACGATCTTGTTCCAGAACTTCGTCCAACGCAGCCTGCTCACCTCTACTGGGCGAGCCCCTCATCCCGACGGGGATATCGATAATAATCCTGGCGCACTTGGGCAGGGTCAACAAGTGGCTACTGGCCTTGGGACGTTTTTCTCCTTCTGGTCGCAAACGACGCCGTTGTTGGGCGCCTGGGTTGCGGATACATATCTAGGAAGGTAATCTCTGATGCGATTCCTCCCATGTCGGATTCCGCTCACCTGTCGAATAGGTACCAGACAATCATGGTCGCTATCGCAATTGTGGTCGTTGGACATGTGATCCTGGTCATTGCCGCTCTGCCTTTAGTCCTCCAACACACCCAGACAGCCCTTGTCTCGTTCGTACTGGGGCTTATCGTCTTCGGTTTCGGCACGGGCGGCTTCAAACCAAACATCTCTCCTCTGATCGCAGAGCAGATCGTCCATGACCAGCCGCGCATCTCATTTGATCCCAAGACAGGGGAGCGCGTGATCATTGACCCAGACCAGACGGCAGCCAGGATTTATAACTGGTTTTACCTCTTTATCAACGTAGGAGCACTCTTGGGCCAAATCACCATGTCGTACGCGGCACTGTATGTCGGGTACTACCTAGCATTTCTGCTTCCAACACTGATGTTCCTCCTCTGTCCGGTCATATTGCTTCTCAACAAGAAGAACTACCGTCTCACGCGACCGCAAGGCTCAGTCCTTGGTCCGGCCGTTTCTTTTCTCATCTTTGCTGTCCGGCCACATTGGTCGTGGAATCCGCTACGTACGATTAGCAACCTCCGCGGCACGAACACCTTCTGGGAGGATGCGAGACCCTCTCTTATCCCACCATCTAAACGGCCGACATGGATGGCACCCGCCATTGATGACGCCTGGGTCTCGGAACTGCGTCGCGGGGTACAAGCCTGTTCTGTCCTCCTCTGGCTCCCACTCTACTGGCTCACCTATAGTCAGATGAACAACAACCTCACGTCTCAGGCCGACACAATGCGCCATACCGGGGTCCCGCCTGAGATTGTCTCCAACCTTGACCCACTAGCCCTGATCATTTTGATACCCATCTGCGACCTGTTCATATACCCGCTCCTGCGCAAACGCGGTGTGCGGTTAACGCCGATAAGGAAAACGACTCTCGGATTCTGGATCGGCTCGAGCGCGATGCTCTACGCCGCCTTCTTGCAACAGTACATCTACACGCACAACGCTTGTGGATATCATCCCACCGAGGGTCTTCCCTCCACCTCACCCGTCCAAGACTGTCCTCCTGCAATCATCTCTATCCTCTACCAAGCACCGATCTACCTCCTTGTCGCCATTAGCGAGATCCTCGTCAGCATAACAAGTATGGAATACGCATTCACAAAAGCACCTAAGAATATGAGATCTATGATTCAAGCATTTGCACTTTTGATGGGTGCCCTGGCGAATCTGATTGGAGAGGGGTTCCTGTGGCTCGCAAGGGATCCATTTCTCGTATGGAACTATGGGCTCATGGGCGTCGTGGCGTTTGTTGCTGGATGTATGTTCTGGTGGTGCAACAAGGAATTGGATTGGGAGGACGAAGGACTGAGTCCAGTAGCACACGTAGGGATCCGGAGTGCAGAGCGGACAGGTCAGAATGAGGAGCATGGGTCGGAATTCAAGCCTGAACGTAGAGGGAGAAGTATTGACGCGAGCCGGAGTGTCGTGAGTGATGATTCCGAGGAAGATGAGGAGACCCTGCTTCGTGATAGACTCCACAGGAGGATGAACGGGGACAGTCCGTGAGGGGCCACAGTGAGTGCAGCCTCGCGCAGCGCAAGGCTGAACATCCCAAGTCTTGGCACGGGCAGCTCGGCAAAGCTTCTGTTTTCTGGCGCGATGGGCATGTCGATGTGTCCTCCAATTCAAATTGCACCGTGGAGCTTTCAGGAGAAAGTGCCGTTGCGACGTCGACACCTGTCCCCTTCTACCTTCTTGTCCCCCGTCTTCTTCCCTTTCTCTTCTCCTCCTTGTCTTTGGTTCCAGGGCAAGATCAAGCTGTTCGTCTCGGCGCAGCAACCATGTCCGGCCGTACGTGCTCCTTTCCGACCGCCGCACTCTGGTTGTCGAAATTGCTAACAACGAGACCGCAGTCCGCTTCCTCGATCTCATTAAGCCTTTTACGCCCCTCCTCCCCGAGGTGGCAGCGCCCGAGTCCAAAATCCCCTTCAACCAAAAGTTGATGTGGACAGGAGTAAGAGAAGCGTCTTCCCTGCGACAAGCACGAACCCGAAACTAATGAGGGCAAACCCGTAGTGTACCCTCTTGATCTTCCTGGTCATGAGCCAGATGCCTCTCTACGGTATTGTCTCGTCAGACACGTCGGATCCCATCTACTGGTTGCGTATGATGTTGGCCAGTAACAGGGGCACTTTGATGGAATTGGGTACCACGCCCATCATTTCCTCAGGCATGGTCTTCCAGGTACGTTGCTGCGTCTTGAGCTACCACGACCTGAATCTGACCGAGCATTAGCTTCTCGCTGGCACTCACCTCATCGACGTCAACCTCGACCTCAAGTCCGATCGTGAGCTATACCAAACCGCACAGAAGCTCTTCGCCATCATCCTCTCCTTCGGCCAAGCCTGCGTTTTTGTCCTCACGGGTCTCTATGGCCAGCCTAGCGATCTTGGTGCTGGCATCTGCCTCCTGCTGATTGTCCAGCTCGTCCTCGCCGGGCTTGTGGTCATCCTGCTTGATGAGCTGCTACAGAAGGGATACGGTCTGGGTTCCGGCATTTCCCTATTCATCGCCACAAACATCTGCGAGTCCATTGTATGGAAGGCCTTTTCCCCGACCACAATCGATACCGGCCGCGGGAAAGAATTTGAGGGCGCAGTGATCGCGCTCTTCCACCTGCTGGTGACATGGCCTGACAAGACCCGCGCTCTCCGCGAAGCTTTCTACCGCCAGCATCTCCCCAACGTCATGAACCTGCTGGCCACCCTCACAGTCTTCGCTGCCGTCATCTACCTCCAGGGCTTCCGCGTCGAAATCCCGGTCAAGTCTTCCCGCCAGCGCGGCATGCGTGGCTCCTACCCCATCCGCCTCTTCTACACCTCCAACATGCCCATCATGTTGCAGTCCGCCCTTGCCTCCAACATCTTCATGATCAGTCAGATGCTGTACACCCGCTTTTCGGACAACCTTCTCGTCAAGCTCATCGGCACGTGGGAACCCAAGGAAGGTTCATCTCAGCTGTACGCCTCCAGCGGCATCGCGTACTATATGTCCCCACCACTGAACTTCACCGACGCACTCCTCGACCCGATCCACACGGTCATCTACGTTACCTTCATCATCGTCACCTGCGCCGTCTTCTCGAAGACGTGGATTGAAGTCTCTGGCTCCGCACCCCGGGACGTGGCAAAGACGCTCAAAGAACAGGGGCTCGTTATGGCCGGGCACCGTGAGCAGTCCATGTACAAGGAGTTGAAGAGGGTCATCCCCACAGCGGCGGCGTTTGGTGGTGCGTGTATCGGTGCCTTGTCCGTGGCGAGCGACATGCTTGGTGCATTGGGTAGCGGCACGGGTATATTGTTGGCAGTCACCATCATCTACGGATACTTTGAGATCGCGGCCAAGGAGGGAGATTTCGGCCAAGGCCTGAAGGGCTTGATTGCCTAGATGATGCTTTTGAGTCTGGAGAGGATGTGCATTGGGTTACTTAGTACCCTTCAGAAATAGTTATGTATGACCTGAAGATGCATAGCCAAGGTTGGGAAAGCAAAAGCATATGCAGGAGAAAAAGAGAGAAGACCATAGCAGCCACTAGCAACCGTCTTTCATGTACAGCAGCAAAAGCCATACGAAGACACCCACGCCTGAACTGTGTGATTGTTCCGCTTCGTGGCTAGGACAGACACGCTCTTGCAGTGACGAACTTCTTACTCCTTCGACAAAATACCTATCTGCAGCACTACGGCGTTCTCGCGTATCAGTCGTAGATTTGTCTGTCTTTTCTACCAGCCCCGGTGCTGTGTAAACATAGTTAGCCTAGCTACGGTGTCTATGTACTAGAGTATACACGACCTTGTCCCCGCCCCGTCCTCGTCCTCCGTGGCACATTCCCGGTATTGCACAACCTAGACGTCTCAATCTATCCACACATCAGGCAATGCATGCATGTGCCGTCTCGCCACGGCTTGCCCTGGCTACCTTGGCTCTTCTGCCCTCCATTGCAGCCACGGCTCTCTTGGGCCGCGACGATTTGACTCGCTGGCTGCTGCTCCCCTCGGCTTCGTTACTAGCATCTGCTGTCGTGTCGTAACGAGCCAACTCAACTCGCTCCTCATCCCTGCTTCACCACCATCTTCTGCTGTCGTGGCGAGTCAAGCCGCCTCCACTCGCTCCCGCCGGCACTACGTCCGATAATCCCCGTTGATCGTGACGTACTCGTGACTGAAATCACACGTCCAGTACGTGCCCTCGGCTTTTCCCACGCCGAGATCCACATCAACGATCAAATCCTCATCCTCGAGTAACCTGCTGGCCCGCGCCTCGTCGACAGATTGCGGCTCGCCATCGACCAACAATTTGAGCACGCCCTCGTCACGGGACGCCGAATTCTCCGCGGGCACGAAACTAACGTTCGTCCTCGCGGGGATGACGGAGTCGGTGGCCGAAGAGAGGAGGGCAGGCGAGGTATACCCTATCGCGCAGAGGATGCGGCCCCAGTTTGCGTCCTTGCCGTACAGTGCCGTTTTGACGAGTGGGGACCGCGCGATCGTGCTGGCGATGGCCCTGGCGTCGGTTTCCGCCAGGGCGTTGCGCACGCGGATGGTCACGAATTTGGTGGCGCCTTCCCCGTCGCGGACGACGAGCTGGGAGAGTCGCTGCGCAAAGGACGTCAGGATCGTGCTCATCGCGGCGTAGTCTTCGGGCGTGGATGACGAGGATATAGGTGCCGTGGAGGGGCTTGGGGATGCCGCGCCGTTGGCGAGTAGTGCGACGGTGTCGTTTGTCGAGGTGTCGCCGTCGATGGAGATGCAGTTGAAGGACTTGTTCACCGCCGCCATAAGGAGCGTGGAGACCGCGTCGGCGGAGATGGGCGCGTCGGTGCACAGGATCCCCAGCAGCGTCGCCATGTTCGGATGGATCATGCCCGCGCCTTTGGTCATGCCTGCGAGACGGTACTCGATGCCGGCGTGCTGTGCGCCCGGGAGGGTGAATGTCGTGGAGAGGAGCTTGGGGAACGTGTCTGTCGTGCAAATTGCTTTGGCGGTCGTGAGCCACGCGGTATGATCGGCTGCGAGGTTCGAATACGCCGCGGGGATCTTGTTGAGGATTTTGGCGATCGGGAGCCGTTGCCCGATCACGCCCGTCGACATGACGAGACTGTTGGGTCCCATGTGGTCGTCGGGCTGCGAGGACTGCTGGAACTGAGCCGATGCCGTCGAGGACATGGCCCACGCGTCGTCCACTCCGCCTTGGCCTGTCACGGCGTTGGCGCACCCCGAGTTGATGATAATGCTCCTTAGGCCCGCTCCGCCGCGTTTCTCGAGCACAGCCCGACTCACTTGTACCGGAGCGGCTTGAAATTTGTTAGTCGTAAAGACCGCAGCTCCAAAGGCAGGTCTGTCGCTCGAGATGAGGGCGAGATCCGGGTGTGATTTGTTTGCTGGCTTCACTCCGACATACGTGCCGGAGACGAGGAAGCCTCTGGGATAGGTGCCACTCGTGGGGACGTATTTCAGCTTGGCGGCGGGGATGGAGCTGTCTAGAGGAGCGGAATAGTGGCGGACAAACTGGCGGATGGCGGATCTGCCTGTCATGGGTATTGAGGTCGCCATGGTTGTGGCGTTGATAAAGTGGATATCAGAGATGACTGACGGAGCTCGGCTGACGTTTGGGACTCGTCCAGACTATATTTGGCAGTTCACATGCTCAATGGCCTCTAATTTGTTCGTGCGTAGACAGCATTCAGACCTCCGGGCCTGGTATCTTCCCAAAGTCGTTATCAAAGTCGAGGTGCGAAGTAGTCAGTGGGGACAGAACGATATCGGTGGATAGGATGCTAATTGCTCACGTAGCCGGCATCAACTCGTACTCCAAGATCACCCAGTAAAGAAGGCAGTCTCGACACTTCGATGCCGCACTAGGCTGAGCATATATAAGAGGCAGTCCTGGGGAAAATGGCAAGAAAAGAAAGAAGCGTGAGTCAAAAATGTATGCGAGAGCAAGCGACCAATCAGAGTCGCCGGTTTGCGGAGACGAAGAACCGCGTCACGCGATGGACAAATTCATGCCTCACTGACCTGAATGTCCTCGACGTCGGGCTCGCCTCGCTTTATTGGAGCTTGTGTGTAATGACGCTGGGCGGCCACAGCGTCTAATCCCCGGCGATGGCGAAGAGGAAGCTTCCTGAATCTGATCTGGAATCCGAACCTGAACACTCGGCCGCAGACACCCCCTCGAAGCGCCGGAGACGCACCGCACAGGCACAAGAAACGCTCGCCAATGGACATCACCACGATGAGAACGGGACCCCAGCCACGAACGGGTCACCGGAGAAGCAGGATACCCCCTCGCAAAGGATCAGGAAACCCAGCGCAAAGGCACGGGCACTACTGGAAGCAGAGAACGATGAAGGAAGCCCTACTCCCAAAGTCAACGGCCGGACTCTCTTCGCGACGCCCAGAAAGTCCAAGGAGAACGCTGCCACCGTGACGCCCTCGAGATCGGTGAAAGCCAAAGCAAACCGCTCAGCAAAACGGAAGAGCGTACGACTCATAACCGAAGCACAAACCCACGCGGACGAGGATGTGGACGAGGATGGGTTTCAAGGTCAAGATGCGCGATTAGCAAGAGCAATTCTCGACGAAGACGAACATACGGATGAAGAAGATAACGAAGAGGCAGATTCCAACCGCAACGTCGAAGGCCTCATCTCTGACGCTGAAGACACCGCAGCAGCGGCCACACCCACACCTACACCCAGAAAACGCGGCAGACCCAGGACCGCGACCAAACCCCAGCCCACAAAACCCGCGCGCTCACCAACGCCCGAAGGCGACATCCCCCCGGAAGAACGGTATTTCTACCAAACGCGACCCGGCGCGCCTCAAGTCTCGAGCAACCGTTTCAACAGCGTCAAACTTTTGACGCAAGAGGAATACTTCGAGCAGATCTCGTCGTGGAAAGACCCCCACGCGCCAGAGAAGGCCTTTCTGGCGAAACTCCACGCCCGAGCCTTCCCGCAATGGAAGTTCGAACTCGACCAAGGCTATAGCCTCTGTCTGTACGGCTACGGGAGCAAACGATCCCTGGTGACTCGATTTGCCGAGTGGGTGCACAAGAGATGCGACTCGGCCACTGCACCCCAAATTGTCATCCTGAACGGCTATATGCCTAAACTCAACATCCGGAACATTCTCAACACGATCGCATCTGTCGCGTCAGCGCACGACCGTGAAGACGACCACGACCACGAATACGACGGCCCCAAACTCACGGGCCAGCCCGAGGAAATGCTCGATACCCTCCTAGCACACTTGACCTCGAATCCGCCACCGGGAGAATTTCTTTACGTGATGGTCAACTCGATCGACGGCCCCTCGCTCCGCCGGTCGGGCATGCAATCCCTCCTCGCACGCCTGGCCGCCCACCGCGTCGTGCGGTTTGTCTGCACGGCCGACTCGCCCACCTTTCCTACGCTGTGGAACTCCACCCACCTCGAGCACTTCCGCTTCGTATATCATGACTGCACGACCTTTGCGCCGTACGAGGCCGAGATCGAGGCGGGCACAGGCACAGTCGACCAAGTCCACGAGTTACTCGGCAAGAAGAGATCCCGCGCGGGCGGCAAAGAGGGTGTGGGATTCGTGCTGAAATCTCTACCGGAGAACGCCAGGAATCTGTATCGTCTGCTACTCACGGAGATCCTGACGCTCATGGACGAGGGCATCAGCCCAAACCACAGGGATGGCACCACCGCTGATGGTGACGGTGACCCTGACGAGGGGGAGGAAAGCCGCGACGAAGACTCAGACTCCGATTCCGGACCACCGACGCAGCCACGGAGAAAGAAGAGGCCATTCCCCGTCAAAGCCAAAGCCAACGCCAACGCCAAAGTGCCGGAGCGACCGACCGCCGAGGAAGTCGGCGTCGAGTACCGCGCCCTGTACCGCAAGGCGTCCGAGGAGTTCATCTGCAGCAGCGCCATGAACTTCCAGTTCCTCCTGAAAGAATTTCTGGACCATCAGATGATCACGACTCGAAGAGATGGCGTGACGGGGGCGGAGATGCTAGGCGTGCCGCTGGGCAGAGAGGAGATGGGGGGCGTGCTTGAGGAGATTGTGTGACTGACGAAGCAATCAGTGCTACAGTACGAGGTGGATAGACGAGAATAAACCGTTAATGTTGGATGAACCAATCGGTCCTACGAGGTCGATAGAAACGCGTATACGTCCGTGTTAAACGGCGTGACCTCTGAACTTTTTTTAAAGTTCTCTGGATTCTTCAAAAGTGCATTGATACGCTATTCACAGTACGTGGAGGAGACCCAAGACGAAACGCCATAAAGATGCTCATGCACAGCACACGTACATGCGTTCGGATCATGCAGGCTTCCCCAATCTTCTACGTGCTCGTCCTCGTGCTCATACCTGTCTTTGAATCAATCATCAGTCATCCCCGTGGCACGTCAATGCAATCAGGCGCAGTGGATTGAGAATAGCATGAAGCAACATGCTCGCCGTCAGCCGAGGGGGTGATGCACGCATATCCATCCATCATCCACCCAGTCTACCCGGGCCAGAGTGACCACATCGGACCGGTCCGGGCATCCCAGATAGGCACCATCCACCAGTCCAGTCACCAGTCACCAGTCAGTTCCAGTAGTGTGACGACGAGAACCAGTCTGATCCAGTGCCGATCGTAGGGAACCACTCCCCCTTTCCCAACCGTCTCCCGTTCTTCCCATGCAATCAATCATTCACTCATCCACAGCGAAGACGGGACGAGTCGTCCATGGCCAGTCGGCTAGCCTGGTCAATTGACTAGCCTCCTCCTCAGTCGTGCTTACCACCCCCGCCCCGCCAATTTGTCCTTCTCACCCATACTCTGGACGCTGATGCCGACCATCGCCTCGCCCAGCCCCGTCGAGCACTCAGCCAAGACCTTCGCATCGCGGAAGTGCGTCGTCGCCTGCACGATGGCCCTCGCCCGCATGGCGGCATTACCGGACTTGAAGATCCCGGAGCCGACAAACACGCCGTCACAGCCAAGCTGCATCATCAGCGCCGCGTCCGCCGGGGTGGCGATGCCTCCCGCCGCAAAGTTCACGACAGGCAGCCTTCCCAGCTCGCACGTCTGCCTCAGCAGCGCGGCGTCGACTTCCATCTCGCGCGCCAGCGAGCGGAGCCCCAGCTCGCCACTGTCCGCGAGCACGGCCTGCGCGCGCGCAATCTCCCGCTTCACGGCCCTCATGTGTTTGACGGCCTCCACGACGTCGCCAGTGCCGGCCTCGCCCTTTGTGCGGATCATCGCGGCGCCCTCGGCGATCCGGCGCAGCGCCTCCCCGAGGTTACGGCACCCGCAGACAAAAGGCGCGCGGAAGGGTGATTTTTCCACGTGGAACGTGTCGTCCGCGGGCGTCAGCACCTCGGACTCGTCGATGTAGTCCACCCCCAAACTCTCGAGGATCTGGCACTCGACAAAGTGGCCGATGCGAGCCTTGGCCATGACGGGGATCGTGACTGCGGCTTGGATCTCCTTGATGAGCGCGGGGTCGCTCATCCTCGCCACACCGCCCTGGGCACGGATGTCGGCCGGCACGCGCTCGAGGGCCATGACGGCGCAGGCGCCGGCCTCCTCGGCAATGCGCGCTTGTTCGGCGTTGATGACGTCCATGATCACGCCGCCTTTGAGCATCTGCGCGAGGCCGGCTTTGATGGCGAACGAGGGCACGGCGCTGCCGTCGCCACCGTTGGTCTGTGAGGAGCCATTTTGGCCGTGGCTAGAGGATTGGGGGGGCGTCGTCTGGGGGATCACGTTGGACATGTTGGAGTTGTCGTTCATGACCATTTTTGTAAGGTGCTCGGGCACTGTAGGATAGTGGAAGAACCGACGCGGTAGGACGTGTCTGTAGAGAGGAGGCAGTTGAGGACAACTCGGCAGGAAGTGTCTGTAGAGAGGGGGACGACGGAAGGGTAAGTGTCTCTAGAGGAGGAAAGCGGTTGTTGGTGTCAAGGGAGGAGGAAAGGAAAAATGTCTGGAGGCGAGGGAAGAAAGATCTCGACTTTGAGTCACCAGCTCGACCACTCCACAAGATTGAACTTAAAATCTACAAAGTCGTATGCAAGTAATCGACAGGAGAGCCGCCAATGAGAACAGACCGGGACTGGGACGAGCGTATATCGTGTATGTTGGTGGCGAGGAGGGGGGGCGACGATACGCCTTAGGACAAGGGCAGACATTTCGAGAAGGAAAAAAATTATTCTGGGCCGGTTTGTCGCGACGTTCCCCGCGCCGTGGGACTCGATCCGAATTCCAATGTGGCATGAGATTGCCGCCGGCCAAAAATTACCTCTTTTGGTAGGTGAGAGTCCAGCCCAGACAGGCAGGCATGGGAGCCCCGAGACGCCCGAAGCCCCTCAAAGCGCCTAAGACTGGTCCCTATGAGAGGTACGTACTGTGTACCCGGGAACAATACTCCGTACTCCGTAGGCGTCACCAGAACCTCGGTGATAGGCGCTGGGATCCGGCTGACTCATCCACCTCCTCTTTCCTCTGTTACTGCGGCTCCCACTCCCCGCCGCTCATCTCTTCCGTGCTTCCCACCATCGCCCTCAAATAAGCTTGGAAACCCCTCTCTTGAGCGAGAGAAGCCACAGCGCAACGGATTCATCTCCGGGGTGATGGAATCAAAGTGCTTGATGAGATGCTCGATGAGATAATGGAAGACCACAAGGGTTACACATTTCCGTTCCCTTCCTCCTTTCTCTCCTTGCCCTATCTCCCTTCTTCCGGTTCGTGACACCCGCAGCTGGGGCTTCTCGATGCGTTGCTCAGATGCGGTACTGTGCCGTTGCTGTATACTGGAACAAATCCCTCCGTAACGGCCCATGAGATATGATACTCGAAAGGTCCGCCATGTACGCGGACACCAAGAGCGACAAGCTGGCCCGTCTTGCCATAGCTCCGAAAAGCCGTTCCATATCAATTCCAGACCTCTCTGAAGACGTGTTCCTCCTCATATTACGCGGCATATCTGCGTGGGATGTCGTTACCTGTCAGCGGGTCTCCCGCGCATGGCGCACGGCATTCTCCAAGGACGAGTATATCCGCTTTGTCTTGCAATCGTACCGACGAGCGCGGGAAATCCGAGCCCTGTCGCCCGCAATGCTCAACTTACATCCTTCGCCAGAGGCCACGTGCGCAAATTGGAAACAGACCTTGCTCTCGGTCGCTTCACGTTACCACAACATCACTCAAGGCAAGACCAGGAAGATCGACCGCTACCCGATGGCCCCGCTTGAACAATTAGGCGACTTCTTTGCCGTGGGCCAATGGGACTACCACGAGAGTCAGCCCGGGGGTCGTTTGTACTACGAGACTGCCGCCATGCACTTGAAAATAGGGGTGAAGCCTTACCTCTTTAGACCTACCCTGTGGTCGTACGACAACGGTCTCTTGGTTTATGCCCCAGCGATAGGCGAAGAATATGGACATTTTCCCCAGGTATTGGCTTTGCTGGATGTTGAAATTGGCAAGAAGTATCCGATCCCTTTCAATGCTCGGGACAAGATCATTCGCAACCTTCGGCTCAAAGATCGGACGTTGATTGTTGAGTGGGCCGAGAAGGATCCTTTCCACAATCTGAATGCGCTGGAGCAGGTCAACAGACATTTTGCCAACTGTTTCGACGTCCGCCAGGGTGACGACAACAGAGGCTGGGCCGTGACATGGCGTTCCGAGTGGAAGATGCATTTCCTCGGTCTGCCTCCCAACTACCACGACAGGTTCTTCTCCACGCATAATGCAACGCACTATGCCGTGTATTTCTGGCAGCCCAATCGAAGTATGTACACTGGCGACGAGGAGCTTCCAATCGAGTCGCTCTCGGTGTGGGATATTTCCGCTCACTCTTGTTATCAACCCTCAACGGATCCCGCCGGGAAACGTCGTCCGCCCGACGATGCAGGCCCTTATATTGTGTCCCGGTTCCCTTTCAATCAACTGGACTTCTTTGGCATTCGTCAACGTTCCACCGTGTCACTAATGTCCTTGCAGCTCGACTCCGATGCCCTGTCACTAACGGTGCGTGAGAATGTCGGTGTCGCAGGTCAAGGTTACTTCGACCCAGCAGAGCGCTTGTGGTGCGCAAAGACGACGTCGTTTCCCTTCGTCGGAGAGGGGCCTAGGCTGTACCGGGAATGGGATGGCAATCTTCCTCCCTATCGCGGGCACTGTAGCATGGAGAGCGCAGACGTCAAAGAGAGCGAGCGATGGTTTCTGCCGGTCATGGACGTGGTCGATTCGCTGGCCGGCGTCAGATTGAGCTTGGTCGAGACATGCTTCTCCGGCCAGAGCATGGAGAACAAGCTCGTCGTTCGAGCGAAATTAGAGGAAGGGGAAGATGGAGAAGAAGGCACTTGGGCGACACTGGGTGATGCAGTCGCCTCCGAAGTCTCCAGCATGGGCCGAATTGCCGGCGACGAACGGTGGCTTATAGGCCAGAATGAGCGCATGGAAGTTGTGGTGCTGAAATTCTGAACGAGCTGGTACGAGCGTTACAGTAGCTCGTGGTTCTCGCTGAGTATAGACATCAACCACAGTATGATACCCCCAGGACCGTCATTTGTGCCTCCTCTTTCTTCTGGACATTCTCCACAACTGATCCGGCGAGCAGAGGTCGCGGAATGATAGTAAGTAGGACAAAATCTGACAGTCATTGCGTGGATACCGCAACGTGCTTGAAGGTCGTCAGAGAGTTGTCTGGAATATGAACATTGCTTATGCACGGAACTGGAAGACAAGGCACTGGGGACGAGGCATTGCGGAAGGGCATTCCAAACATCTGAGATTGTGTTCAGGACTGCACTGGTAGCCTAGCCGCGGGCGCAGCTGCACCCCTAAGATAACGAGCAGGCGCGCCTAATTTACAGCTGGTCATTGAATGATAAGCCTTAGCCCCGCCCATTTCTACCTTGCGCGATGCCCAAATTTACGCCTTCCATCGACTTTCAATGGAGCGACAGTCGGCCCTTGCCGAATCCCAAATAACATGCGCCATGCCTGCCAGCCATTTCGGGGTAGCCCTGTGGTGCCTTTGCTCACTGCGCGTCAAAAGTACTTTGCAGACCTTGCCTAAGTCCCTCCCCAAACTCCTACGCTTGAACGCTTGAACGCTTGAACGCTTGAACGCTTGATTGCTTGAACCCATTGAGTGCTCAAACTCTGTGGGTGCTCAAACTCATTGAACGCTTGAACCCATTGAACGCTTAAATCCATGGACGCTGATAACGCATTCGTGCAGATGTACAGCGAAGTGGCTAGCCATGTTAGCTTCAGCACACAAGGCCATAGAGGTTCTTGAGGGTAACATACCTGCTACAAGAAGAAATAGAGCCAACAAATGGCGACGAATGTAGATTGCGGTATATTATTGGTAACACAAGCCATCCCAGTTAGGCATATTGCTGGTGATGGTGTTGGGAAGAAGATGGTGCCAGGGAGGCCTTGACCGCCAGGGTGAATAAATATCTGTTGGTAGGCGATTGTGCAGCCCAGCAGCGATACAAAGGTGTTTGCTTGACCTCCGGCCGGCGAGTTAAGAGGCTGCTGATAAAGACGGAAGTATTTTGGTGTGTTCAGCAGTCGTTGTGGTGACGCACCGACCACTGCGTCACCACAGCCAGTGACCATTGGAGTCTTTCCAGTCGAGGAGGAATGTTGGTTAAACCGGTGAATTGTGCAGCAGAGATACATGATGCCGGTGGTGACGTTGAGGTATTTCCGTCACCAGCCAGCTGCGGCTTGGGAGGCTATTGAGCCTAGGGACTGATTTGGTGCTGAGGTAGCTCTGGCGGCGAGTTCACCCGCAGACAAAAAGGGGAGCAGATCGCCAGCGGTGGCACTGAGGATTCTGCGCCACCGCTGGCTGAGATGTTGTGCGCCTTGATGGCCAGAGGATGTGGCCACCGCTTCAGCGGCAAAGGGGAGCATAGTGCCAGCGGTGACGCCAGCGATGACGGTGAGAAATTTGCGTCACCACTGGCTGAGATGTTGTGAGGCCCGATGGCTATAGAGTTGGTGTCCATAGAGATTGTGGCCGCAGATTGAATGGCTGTAGAGACTGTGGCCGTAGTATTGATGGCCATACAGTTTTGTAGCCATAGATTTAGTGGCCGTGATTTTGTGGCCGTGGTTCTGTGGCCATAGATTGATGGATCTGATGACAGTTGTGGTCCTTTGACCGTAGGCGGCCATGAGGGATTTGGAGCCACTGAGCAGCGGCAGTGGAAATAGCGACATTGCTCTTTTGAGCATCAATGAGCGACAGCATGGTAGCTTGAGAGATTGACGGTATGGTGGTGGTTGTAGACATCAATGGTTGCAGCGACATAGTCTTGGTGCCAGGCTGCTGGTGACGATACCATCCCAAGCATAAGCGAGCGACAAGGTAGTGTTATCATAGATTTGGGACACCAATGATGGCTGTAGATGTGAACAGACTGCAGCGACATCATTCTCGAGAACGAGTGATGGTTGCGATGCCCCCTCAAGCATCAATCGTCGATTGGAGGCGACGAGGTACGTTCTCCCTGTGCTTGGAGAGCACACTTGGTGGTGTGGTGATGGTGCTCTCCCAAGCACCATGTCGTTGGTTGGCAACGACAAGCTTCTCTTTGTGTGGGATAGTGGTGGTGATGCCCTCCCAAGCATCAAGTGGCTGTAGTGGCCACAGTTTTGTCGACGTCCTCTAGGCTCGAAATGAGTGTGGTGTTTGATTGAATGTAAAGAGCGACAAATGAGGTTTGAGCGCCGTGTTGTGATAGTGATTGCGGAGCGAATGGCTTGTAAAGCGAGCGGCTGTTGTGAAGAACTGTGTAGCGAGTGTCGGTTGGCATTAGGTATGCCAACGGCTGAAATTGTAGCGACTGTCGTGATGCTGCGTGACTCTGCCACAGATCTGACGGAGTAAGATCGAGTCTAGCAAGCTCAGGACGAGTCGCACTGCCTTGGTATCTGGCAGGAAGATTGACACTGCTGCCGCTTTGTGCTCTGGATGTGATGCTCTTGTCGCTTTGAAAGACAGACTGGCAGACTGGACGAATCCAGAAACCTATCGTTCTGAGGGAACCCGCACCGAAGTGAAGGGGTGCAGCTTTGCGCCTGCGAGATTAACGTGAGTCCCTGCTTAGCTCACGAGGTCCTGAATTCTGGCCGTTCCAGTCCCCACCAATGTTGTACAAAGCACTCATGGTGATTACAGGATGGCTGCCACACCAATCCCCGCCAATATCGTGCGTACTCATGGCGATTCCAGGATGGTTGGCTGGCCATACCACTCCCCACCGGTATTGTATGTTGAATACTCATGGCGGTTACAGGAGGGGTTGTCGAACAAGTCCAATCCCCGCCAATGTTGTATGTTGCATACTCATGGCGATTTCTGGATGGCTGTTACGGTCCAGTCTGCGACAGTCTGGGGGAAACCGCTGTTATCAGACATTGGCGTCATGCTCGATTTGAGTTGGCCGCGGTCCCGCTATGTACTCCTAATACTCGGCCGTCCATCTCTGTGAGAGACGACGGGGGTGAGGAATGTCGTAGAATCGGAAGGAGGAAGGCCACTTGTAGATAGGAGGAGTGTCTGGTCGAACGCGAGACGCTCTGCCGTCACTCGACCTCCCCCAATGGTTCCAGAGGTCGCTGGGGCATTCGGCGAAGCCGAAGGAGAAGTCTGACGCCGTTGAGTCGAACGTCCACCTCTTCCAGAGTTGCCTCAGGTGGTTCTTGAGCAAGAACCACCGTGAGCTCCAAGACACCGGCTGCTTGAGAGAGGAGATGCAGACGCCCATTGTGACTGATGGGACTCCTGAAAATAGAGAAGAGAGAAGGAGAGTGTGTCTGGTGGGCAAAGGCCATTAGCAACTGCTAACAGCAGTATTAACGAGAGCAGGAGCACCAGTCTTACAGAGTGTTGTGGCTGTTGTTGCTGTTATTGTCGCTATTGCTGTCGCTGGTGTCGCTCGCTTCTAGAAACAGCCTGTATCAGCAACGGTAATGGATATCATTGCCCATGGCGTCGCTTACCAGTACGTGTACTTCGGCAGAGAAAAGGGAAAAAGAGAAGAAAAAAGAGAAGGGAAAAAGTTGTCGGGGGGAGAGGTCATTGCTCGCTACGAGCCACAGGCTGTCCGGAAGCACATCCGCATCACCGAAAGCAATCGAAAGCTGTCACCTTGCAGGATCTTGAGAAGGGGAAATGGAATGACATGTCAATGGCTAACCAGACTGAATGATCTTGAGGAGAGAGAACGGAACGGCATGTAAATGGCTAACCAGGCTGAAGACAAGGTTGGCGCGGCGCCAATATCGGTTCTTACTCTGGTTGATGGTGAATAATTCCAAACCCAACCTCCTCTGATGTTCTGGACCAATGCTGCTGCGCAAACGATGGAGCACGCTGACGACGCGCTCCAATATCCGACCCACCTAAGTTACCTGCGTAGCTCACATGCACTCGCCCACCTGCTTTGCACTTGATCTTGATGAACTCTCCGGCGATCAATAGATTTGACAGATGAATGCCCCCAGGCAAGCCCCTTTCACCATAGATGCCATCTCTGAAACGTAGGTGAACACCCACGTGGTGCTGGGCTGCTTGAAGAGAGCGGCCCAGTCCTGGTCGTGCTCAGAAGTTTGGTTCGCTCCAGGCGCAGCTTGGCGTACGTCGGAGTATAACGAACGCGTGCAGAGCGGAACCGGGCAGCACGTCGGCTTGACAAAACATCATTGGCAGGGAAGAGTCGCTAGTCGTCGACGAAGTTCGTCATTGTACGGAGACATCCGACAGAAGTGTGCTAAGGACTAGGTGAGAATGAAGAGGTGATCCCGAACAGCTCATGGTGGAAGATGGACGTGACAGAAAAGAGGAGAGTTGAAGCAACTTCGGGGGGAGGGCACGAGCTCAAATATATAGGCAAATTTGGGCATCTCATAGCCCCAGCAGCACGATCGGTCCCCTGACGTCTAAGGCCTCGCTTATCGGGTATCTGAAGGAAGGTGGGGCGAGTGCGTGCTAGTGGTCTCGGTTGCTCCTTCCGAGCTTAACGAGGCCCCCTTTCAGCCTACACGTACTCCGTACAGTAGTTTGTATGGTCGAGCGCCGGCTAACGACCGGAAAGACTACATCTCCTCGTACATACAATAGGTCAAGCGCATTGGGCATCTTCAGCACTCCTGTGTGCACAGGCAGCATGCATAAAAATTAAGACCGAATTAGCAATTCTTCGATGAAGGTTGTCGAGAGCCAAGCGCCAATTGCCAACCCCCCCCCCCCGGGAGGTCTCAGATAATCATCTCTCAACTCTACTCCACTCGGGCAGCTGTCGGAATCCATACTCCTCCACCTGCACGGTGTTCGCTGGTGGGCCCCCGATACGATAGAGCAGCGTCGCCAAGCCCAGGCGACTGACAATCCACGCAATGAAGAACAGTACATGTGCCAGGCCCGATCGCTTTACAGCATAAAAGATAGCATGCAGAATCCAGATTCCCCATGCTGTTTGTGGATTCATGCTATGCGGCGCACCAGGGAACAATTTCTGAGCACGACCTACCATAGGTCGCATTTTTGCCTCGTACTCGACGAAAGCGGCGGGAGGGTCTTCTGGGTTGCGTAGAAGAGCGCTGGCGAGGGTATATGCACCGGTGAAAGCAAGCGTAGTGCCCATGCCTGAGATCGGGGAGGCGCAGTAGCTTTTGGCCCGTTAGGCGGAACATCTCGCGGTGATGGAGGAGTGAACTCACCCAGCGTCGCCAAGCAGTACGACCCGACCTTTAGACCACTTGTTCATCTTCACCTGTGCTATCATGTCGTAGTAGAAGTCGGCTGTCCCCATCATTCCCCCTATGATGCGTGAACTCTCCCAGCCGGCATCCTGAAAATACTCCGCCATCAGTTTCTTCTGGGCGCCCACATCTTCCCGCCCTTTTGAAGCCACCTGAACGAGCCTCTCGTCTTCTTCATTGACGACAGACATGAAGATAGTGGTCCTATCTTTCTGATCACTTGGTCTGACCATTATCCCTCGCCGTCCTGGAGCGTGGTACCAGCGGCGCCATTCGGTATCCGTGGGCCCCCTGGGGATGCTGAAGAACGCAGCATACATACCCAACCGCTTTATCCTGTCCTTTTCTCCCTCCGCTCCCCAAGCAAGACTGCGTGTCCCACTTTGAAGCCCATCCGCACCGACCACCACGTCAAAACTCTGCCTCTTTCCACTCTTCGCAAAGCGGACGTGCACTTGATTTCCGTCTTGCTCCAGCGCATCGAGATGGTCTCCGAACATATACGCGATTCCGGCTCCACCCGCGCGTTGAACTTCCTCGCTAATGGATTGACTCCTTCTGTAGCAGATGTCTGCCAATGTGCCCCTCAAAATCTCGATATCCGCAGTCGGAGTCGATACGTGGCCAGACTTATCCGCTGTATTGGAGGACCACACACGATTGGCAGCATCAACTATCTGCACGCCGATCTCGCCTGTCGTGGACGCGCGAATTACGTTTTCGAGGCCAAGTTTGCGGATGATGGTCACACCGGCGCCACGAATGTCAACGTTCTGGCCTTGTTTGCGGATAGACGATGATCGCTCGAGGATGGTGATGTGAGGCTTTTCACAAGCGGGGAGGTCGGACAGAAGTAGGAACATGGCGAGCGTAGGTCCACCAATGCTGCAACCTACTATCAGGATCTTGAGAGGTGCCATGTATAATACAAGTGGTTCTGTGTCAGGAAAGTACTCAATATGTGAAGCGGGAGAGAGAGACACCTGTAGTACCTGTGCTTGGACTTCGGGGGGCAAGAACTTATGGCTAGGTTGTGCAACGATTGTTGGAAGGAGTGGTACAATGGCATTTTATACAACATTGCGGTCAGCGGCGGCACGCCACGACCTATTGTCAATCGAACTTGAATTGACATCCCTGCACGTGCAAGGCTGGGGCATCTGAATGCCATGATGTCGTGGAGTCATGGTGATGCCGGAGACGGGGTCGAGATGGACGCTTTGAGGATTCGGCGCCGAAGCAACGGAGCTTCGGCTTCCAGACCGAGGTCCTTCCGCCTTCCAAGAACGGATCGAGACAACACGACCACGACGCTGAAGCGCTGTAAGAGAACATGACAGGGTCTTTTCGGGTCTTGAGTGGACGACATGAGTTGAAGGAAGAATGAAAAGTCGCGGAGTGGTGATTGTACGATTCGCCATTTGTTGGACTCTTAGGTTGAAAATCGGACAACTTCCCTCATCAAGAAACACAATCAAACAAACCTTCCTCGATCTTCAGACGTTTCCTTGGGCGGCACAGTCACGCGAATACACAAAGCGACGCACAGCTTCTCCGCAAGCAACTTTCGTGCTTTATATATAAGCATTCTGATCAAAGGTAGGTCCGACACAGCTGCACCTTCAAACTATGCTGGTATGGTGACGGTTGCGGCCACAGGCTCGGATGGGTGCGAAGTACATTTGATCATTAAACATCCCTCGACGAATGTTCGAGTGACAACCACTGGGCCTGCTGAGAGCTGTCCCGCTGTCGCAGCCGAGGCAAGAGAAGGCAGATATGGACTTCGTTTGCACTTCTGGCCAGAGGTGATTTCGAAAGGCGGAATATCCGGAGTCCTTCACCTGTACAGTTCTGCTGCTCAACCAGCCACTGACGGTACATCCACGGCCCCTGGCCCAAAGACTCTGGCCCTCTCCCATGCGAGCGTCGTGCTGGTAGGCGAAACCTGCCCAACGTGAAGCCAAACAGGCAGAGCTTTGCTACCTAAGACATATAAACCAGCTCTTAGCTTCGCCTGAGTAGCCAAATGTATGCAGAGTCGACGCCATAGATGAACGGGACTCGGCCCCGCTGTAAGGTATTCCGCGGACTGCCACTCACGTTGGCAAGGCAGCTTGCAAGCCACGGAGCGGAAGTCGCAAGTCGCAGCTCAGTGCTGTAAAGCCTTGGAGGGAATGTGTTTGTCCTCACCTGATCTTATCCTTCGATGTATCATTCGACCTGTTCGCCTGCCTGCAACACCACCTTTCCCCTCAGACCTGGTTCAAGTAGCCTCGTCAACTGATGTTGTCCAATCCGGATCCTATGCAGGCCTACGACCCAATACAGGCACAACGGCCAGACGGTCACCCGCTTAATCGTTCTTCCAAGCTCCAGGGCCGAGTGTTCCCCTGTTCCCTCTGCTGATACGACCAGACGTCTGATCCACTCTTGCAAAGCACCCTACGGACTCTAGAAGCCAGGCACGGCCGATCTATCACCGGCGTTGCAGGTGGATCGTGCAGCTCGTGATTCCATCGTCCCTGAAGCCAAACTTGTCCCATGGGGAAACTACTGCGGTTAGCGTGTACGAGAACGTGGAACTTCGAGCTGGAGCTGCCAGATCTGGGAGCCACTTAAGCTCTCCCCGCATAAGAGTTGGAGAGCGTCACGGGTTGTTCGAGCTTCCAGATTTCTTACTCGCGTTGGCAGATGTTTCACATGCGCTGGCCTTCGGGTTATTCAAGACATCATCTCTCAGGCTCTCACAGTGGTATTTGGTATAATCAGATTTTGCATACTCAGCATAGATATTACAATGCTGACCAGGGATCCGGCAGGAGTGCTCTGACATCTCATTTGAGGGACTTGCCCTTCGTTGTGATCCAAGACCGTGTTCATTCAGCCTAGCCTGCAGTTTCGGAGTCCTGTCGTCGCGATGCCTTTCTTCATGCCACTAGCAGCCTGCTGCGGTCACCAAAACATTTACTTGGTCCTCTGGCCGTAAGCCTTGGTAGCGTAGTCACCATTGTGGACGATGAGATCCTCTGGTTTGTAGTCGTGGCGACCGGAGAAGTAGCTCTCGAGGATAGCCTTGGTACCAGCTGCATAACGCTTTTGAGCATCGATCGAGGTACCAGACATGTGAGGAACCATGCAGTTGCCACCACCCCATGGGTTCTTGGCATATCGGAGGGGATGGTCCTTGGGAGCGGGTTGAGGGAACCAGACATCACCACCGTAGCCATTGAGGTGACCGGACTTGAGAGCTTCAGCGACATCTTCCTTGACGACGATGGCACCACGGGCGGTGTTGACCAGCCATGAACCTGTGAAGTTCCATCAGTATGACCTAGGCTGTAGATACGGCGGTCAGTGCTTACCCTTCTTCATCTTGGAGATCAACTCCTTGTTGAACAGGCCCCGGGTCTTCTCGTGGAGAGGGCAGTTAATAGTGACGACGTCACACTGACCCAACATCTCCTCGAGATCTTCAACACGTCTGCAGCCGATTTCCTTCTCCTTCTCGGCGCTGAGAGGCTGATAGTCAAAGTACAAGAGTTCCTTGCAGTCGAATGGCTTCAGGCGGCGGAGCACACGCTCGCCGATACGACCAACGGCGACGGTGCCGACGACCTTGCCCTCAAGATCGTACTCGTTCTTGGCGACGGCCGCAACGTTCCAGTCGCCTGACTGGATTTGCTCATGGGCTGGGACGAAGTTGCGGACGAGGGTCAGGATGGTCATGACGACGTGCTCGGCAACAGAGACGACGTTGCTGCCAGTGACTTCGGCAACAGTGATGCCGCCATTGGTCTTGTTGGCGGCGTTCAAGTCAACGTGGTCAGAACCAATACCGGCAGTGACGGCAATCTTCAGTTTCTTAGCCTTGGCCAGGCGTTCGGCGGTGAGGTAACCAGGGTGGAAACTGTATAACAGGATTTAGTAAATCAAGCCAATGTATCTCTAGGTCGGTGAATGTCTCTTACGGCGTGGTGATGATGACTTCAGCATCAACCAGTTCCTTATCGAAGGTCGAGTTCTCACCCTCCTTGTCTGAGGTGGTAACTAGCGTGTGTCCCTGGTCCTCAAGCCACTTCCTGATACCTAGCTCGTTCTCGGTAGTGCCGAGGAGGGCGGGCTGTTGTTTGGCATGTTCATGGCCCTGATCGGTGTCAGTGTTTCCCAAGCTTCAACACCAAGGGAGGGTGAAGAGTACGTACGTCATAGAGGACGAGGAGGACTTTGCCCTGACGTGAGGCACTTGCCGTCAGTGTGCGTTTGGCAATTGTTGAGGTCTGAAATGCGGGAATAGAACGGCGAGCAAGATGCGGGGAAGAAACGAGAGATGACGCAGGGCGCGATAAGGAACGCGCAGCAACACGGGCAAATACCATTTTGAAAAAGAAGATGTAAAATGAGTAGAGAGTCGAGGTGTCGAATAGGTAGGCAGGTGTAAGAAGATAAATTGGCGGTAAGTTGGTTTTGTAGGAAAATCTGAGTCGGGTGAGCTGGGTGCTTCTGCCGGCAGAGCTATCAGCCTGGAACAGTAGCTCTCGTACCTTTCTCACTAGAAGCCACAAGTTTGAGTTAGCTCAGACGTGACGGACTAGCGGGGAAGGTGAGTAGCATGAGCTCTGGGGCTTGCGTCAGGACGTTTGCTAGGACGGGATTTGAGTGCGCCTGGAATCATGATGTGGGATGGGCATGGGTAGCGGAGATAGCACCAATGCAGGGCTCGCCCCCAATTGCGGAGGGGCACCTCGTGCATGGGCGGCAAAGGTGGCAGGGAGGGGAAACATCGGCCAGATGCTTAGCAGCAGCGCACCAAGAGCTCCAGTCCCCGCGTGAGCTGTCAGCATTGCAGCTTGGGGAGAACTGATAACCTCGAACAGCAAGTTGCTTGCGGCCTGCAAGGACTTGGGCCGAAGCAGGCCGTTGCACCGGCTGGACTGAGGGTAGCCGCCCTCGGGGGAAAATATGCCCGAAAGGTGCCGCCTGGAACTCGCAGAGAGAGTGACACACAGGTGAAGGAGGGGTACGTACCTGCAAAGCCTCAATTGATACAAATGAGGATTGGTATATCACAGTGAAATGCAGAAATGGTCGCAATCCTGCAAGTTGGGGAATATCAAGAGACAAAATTCTAATCTCATCGGACGAACGCTCCCTCATTTATAACCCCATTCCGCCATGATCACACGAAGATTTTTCTGTTGTTCAGCAAGCTGTTAGGGTAGCAAGTCTTTCCACATCATCTCCCCCTCTTTTCTGCTCTTGCGGAGCTGTTCCAATAAATGCCACTCTTTTTGCTCTCCTCTCGTCTGCCCCACCACTCAGCTTTCGTGGTTACCCAATGCTTCATGCTCTAAGAGTCTCAGCATCCAAGGCTCTCATGCAAGACTTCCGACAGGGTCCTTGCCGCTTGACGGCACTTGTATATGGGATCGGGTTGACCCCATTCGTGCCGATTCCTTGGATCCCTGGTGGTGGCTGGCCATTTCAGATTATGCATGAACTTCTGTCGGCGCCGTTGCGAATCGGAACCCTGTTCAACGTCAATATCCCGGAACCTCTTACATTTGTCGTGGTCATGCGATTGAGAGAGCCTATAGCGACATAAAAGCGAATGAAAGCGAGACCTCGTGCTGACGAGCATGGAAAACGTATGCGGGCTGGGCCGCACCATGCAGCAATCTCGCGGGCATTGCTCGGAAAACGGATATTCCCCGCTGGCAGAGACATGAGCGGAGCTTCATCCATAGCCCGATTCCCGTCGCTTGACGGAAAGAGTGTGAGTTTGGTGCTCGATCCGGGTGACAAACGAGTGTAAACAAATGTACTATTTTGGTAGGAAAAGGCGGAAGCTCGGCGGAGAGGGCAACATGTGGGGAGATGGGGGATTCACTGTAATATCAGGCATGCATAAACAATTTACCGAGTCTTCCTACCCGCTCTCGCCCGCTTTGTCCCGAATCAGCCATGGAGCTAGGGGCCTATGTCGCGCAGAAAGAGAGTGCCGTGCAATAATGCAGCGCAGTGCAAGTGGGTGGTCGGAGAAGGAAGCGCCAGCAGTCTCACAGCACGCTTTAGCATCGACAACGCATAATGGCCGAGTTATCCCGTGCAAGGCTGGCTGCCATCTACGGGCATGGGGCATACCATGCTGATGGCTTTGACCTTCCTTTCCCGACCCCTTCCTTGAATTCTACAACAACTCGAACGTTGACACTTCCTTATTCCCCATTGGGAATTGGTCATACCGCAGACCTCTTTCCGAGAGGTTGCTTGGCATACCTGCAGTCACACACGACTGCAACACTGGGGAAGGGGTAACAAGCTCTTCCTGCCTTTCATCCGTGGTCCTGTCGCCGAACCAAGTGCTGGCAGGGATCATGAGTATGATCTCGAAGCTGCAAGGCTCCGCCATGGCGTCGGGTGAAGGGTGACGGCTATTCAGCCTCGAAACGCACCCCTGCATGGTCGAGCTCTGATGATCGAGAATCGGATGTCCTGCCCCGATCACAGCGTCCTCCCGCAAACAGTGTCTCAATCATGCAGTACAGCCACTGTCCGGACTGCCGCTTAATGGCGTCTCCAACTCTTTCCAAGCCAATCATATAGACTGTCCAGGCTTTATTTTGACCTTTGCAGCTCTTGCGTCCTCCTCTTTGTCCAGTTGAACTGCTTCTTTCCTAGCATAATTAAATCCCCCCGAACGATAGCCCTGCCTAAGAAAAGTATGATGTGACTGCCAAGGTCGATTCGTTCTGTCTGCAGTTGCCTATACGCCCTACTACAAGCGGACATACATGAGGTAAAATGTTTCTCAATGATCTGTATCTTGTGCAGATGCATCGCCTGTCGGAGATGGTGTTGTGGAGGAGAGCACTTACTTTCAGTCTCCTGAGCCGTCCTCACGCAACTGCTCGTCAGATACCCCAGTGTGTATAGGGGCAAGCAAGTCTCCTCTTCAACGAAAACAACTTCTACCATGAGAAATTCGTGGTGCTTCTCCGATAGGATGCACCTCAAAAGCAGCCCAGTGCCTCCTGAAGAAACCTCTTACAGCTTTCTATCGTCAGAAACACTCACGCTGCGCCTCTTGCTTGGGGGGCGAGGCACTTGTCGAAGAGTGCAACTGCCGCATCAAATGACCCCTGGCGTAGAAATGTGGAAGATCGCCTTATCACGCTCTCTGTGAGGAAGCAGGTCGTCAGGAACGGGGGTTGTAGGACATCAGGATTGAGCTGAAGCAGTCAGTTAAGGCATCTGTTGATATGATCTCAAGTCAAGCAGCGTCTTGTGCTTCGGTTCGATCGGTCAGCAGAACGTCTTATTCCTCCAAACAGTTGACAGTGCAGCAGAGGCAGCATCTTGAAGGGCTGTCCTCATAGACGCGGCCTCTTTGAAATGGTTGAGCGTGGACGTATACTGACAGTGTAACGAGGAGCGCAAGCAGACACTCGTCGCTCTGGCCCTACGCATTCGAAACAGGTCTAGCTTGGGCCGCCCCACCTCATGGTTCTACTGTGTACAAAAGGAAAGAGCCTCTCAACCCCTCTTCACCACTTCTTCGTCCTCTCGCGTTCGGAATTGTACTCGTGTATTTCCTTATAGTGTGTTCCTCTGTGCTCTGTCGACATGACGCTCTTCGCACTCCTGTTGCTTTTGACCCCTGTTCCGCTTCCTTATTGGTCGTTCACAAATTCCCTGCACAAGTTGACCACATAGAATAGCAGCTCACAGAGCTCCGTTTGATACCTAACTACGTACTCGTACCACGCGAGTCGCACAAATCGCCGTCTCCAAAGGGGTTGCAATATCAGATCTACTAAACCAGATTGATTGCTAGCTGGAGTCACTTCGAATACTGCTCGTGTGCTGCTTCAGGGCAGACGCACCGATGTCATCGTGCATAACATCTCCTGCTGCACGCTTTCCATTTCCTCTTCAAGCCTCTTCCGCGGGTTTGACTCTGTGGCCCAGACTTCGTGCCCAGACTTCGTTTCACATCTTTCAATGGTACCTACCTTGAGAGACTCATTTACACCAGCAGACATCGGTACAACAGGCTTTTTGAAGAGAGCCATCCAGCAAGACCTCGTCGCCGCTGGTGCCGATATCGCTGACTTGAACGGCGAAATTCCGTCATGATGCATAGTTTTCCACTCCACAATCGGCACACGGCACGCGAATGGTAGTCGAGGTGATCCAATGTCGACCTTCGCCATCGTTTCCCAGCCCACGAGATGGTGTTTTCTATTCTACCCTGCGACGACATGCTGACTGTCGAAATGAACAGCATCTAGTCGAGTATGGGCTGCTTTGCAAGTTGTCTCCTGCAGTACTGACACAGGCTCCTACAACATTTCCTGTTATCCTGCTTCTCCATAGACATGTTAACAGCAGCCAACCGCCAGCGAGCCGCGGAATTAGGCCTCCATGACCAAACAAATCTCCTGGGGAAGAAACAACTGGTCATCGTGTTCTCTTCGTTGGCATCGGCACTCTTCATCTGCTACGCTGATCAAAATGGCATTGGTACCATTCTTCCGACAGTCGGACGAGATTTCACGGCCACAGACACAATCTCATGGGCAGGCACATCCTCTCTCATCTCCAATACGGTCACGCAAGTCATGTATGCCAGAATTTCAGACATTTATGGACGCAAGCCAGTGTTCTTGTGTTCTGTAGGCATGCTAGTATTGGCAGATATTCTTTGTGGCGTGGCGCCGGACGCGCCGAGCTTCTACTTCTTCCGCGCACTTGGTGGCATTGCAGGCGCTGGTATCAATTCTTTGACCATGATGATCATCTCTGACATCGTTACGCTGGAAGAGCGAGGAAAATGGCAAGGTTTCTTGGGCGCCGGCATAGGAGGTGGCAATGCAGTAGGTCCACTTCTCTCTGCTGCATTCGCTCTCCACCAGACATGGCGGGCGTTCTTCTGGTTCCTTGCCCCTTGTGGTGCCATTGCAGGTGTGATTGGATGGCTCTACCTCCCTTCAACGATGCCGAAGGGCAATGCAAGACAACAATTCCAGCTGATTGACTGGGGAGGGATCATGACCGCTACAGTTGCTATTGTGCTGATCCTCATCCCGCTTTCTGGCGGTGGATCGTACTTCGAATGGTCCTCACCGCTGGTCATTTCCATGCTTTCCGTCGGTGGTCTGTCTTTGCTGGCCTTCCTTTTCGTTGAGTGGAAAGTTGCGCGCCTGCCGATGATGCCACTGGGCATGTATACCAATCCACCTGTCGCGGCGATCCTGGCTCAGAACTTCTTTTTCGGAATGGTGTACTACTCGAATCTCTATTACATTCCACTATATATCCAGAACGTTCGAGGATGGGACGCAACTATCTCTGCCGCTTTCCTCATTGTGATCAACGTCCCACAATCGATAGTCAGTACCCTTTCTGGCATCTTCATCTCACGGTACAAGCGCTACGGGGTCGTGATCTGGACGGGGTTTACCATTTGGGCAGTTGGGGCAGGACTGATTTGCAGTTTTACGCGGACGACACATGCTGCTGCTGTCGCTGTCATGCTGTCGATCTCCGGCATCGGAGCTGGCTGCGTCTTTCAACCCGTGCTGATAGCCTTGCAAGCGCACTGTTCAAAAGCACAACGAGCGGCTGTTGTATCTAACCGAAATTTCCTTCGGAGTTCCGGAGGCGCAGTCGGACTCTCTATCTCGGCACAGGTCTTACAAAGCTCACTTCGAAACCACCTCTCACCCCAGCTCGCGAGCGTTGCGCACAACACCTACGCCCTCCCAACTTTGAGTCCTGCTGATGAGGACTATATGAGGACGGCCTACATGGCGGCCATCAGGACGGTTTTCATCGTTTTGGCCCCTATGATTGGCCTTTGTCTGGGTCTTTGTCTATTCATCAAAGACCGTGGGCTGCAGCGACCGGAAGAGCGTGAGCAGGCGAGGATTGTGGAAGCTGCAGCGGCTGCTGAAAAGGTGCAGGAGACGCACAAGCCGCAGCAGCAAGAGCAACAGCAATCAGTCGAGAAAGACAGGACTGAGTCGACAGTTCCAGTAGATGGAGAAGACAAGGCCAGAGACACAAGAGCAGAGAAGCCGATGCGAGTTAAACGATAGACAGAATTCGTAGACCAGAAATACTTTGGCCATTCGTCCTCCTTTCATTCGTCGGGATCGGTTTTACGTTCATCCGGTGACGTAGCCCAACAACAGCCAGCGCACTTTCAACGTGGGATAGGTACTATCTCACTCTCCTTTCTGCTCAGAAGGAACTTGATGATACCAGTAAAAGTGAAACTTCGAAGGCTTCTACAACATGGCCACCCCTCGGCTGCCCTTTCTGTATCCGAATTTCCTGCGCGCAGTACGTGCTTGCGAGCCAACGACCTACCGATCGATACGCACACCTCCAGCAGCAGCGGCCAAACCCCGTCGGAAAGCGAGGATACACACTTCAGCCCGACGACAACAGGATGTAATTCCTCAGAGGTACGGACCGGCGGCCGCCCCTCAGAACCTGCCACCTCCGTCCAAGCCTGGCGATGCACAGGCACCGCAGCTGGAAGGGCCCAAGGACCAAACCAGCAAGAACAAGGAAGACTCCTCCAAGCAAGCTTCACAAAGACCTGCCCCTCCGCCTCCCAGAGAAGGCCCCTCAGCCGACGAAGTCGGCCAAGACGAGCCGCTCGAGTCCAACTCCACGTCCGACTACATCGACGAAGCGTCCATGACGAAGAAGAACCACCGGGTCAAAATCGAGAAAGAAGAGCCCCTGGACAACAAGGAACTCGATCTCATCTTGTCGATACCGTCGCCCTCTGAGGTCAAAGGCGGCGACACGCCACGCCATCCTCACCTCGAACCCTCGCCCTACGAACACCACTTCGACACGTATTCGCTCGTGCAGCAGCTCGCCGTGCCGAACGCGTACAACGTCCAACAAGCCACGACGCTGATGAAGGCCATCCGCCTCATGCTGGCGCTCAATCTCGACGTGGCTAAAGAGGGTCTCGTGTCCAAATCCGACATTGAGAACGAATCGTACCTTTTCCGCGCCGCGTGCTCGGAGATGAAAACCACGCTGCAGACGACGCGGCACTCGGAAACGCTGAAGCAGCGCAGCCAGCGCGCACAACTACAGCATGAACACGATATCTTGAACCAGAAGGTCACGCAAGATCTACTGAGCTTGAAAGAAGAGTTGAAGGGCCTGTTCAATGATCGCAAGCTCGGGCTGCAAGAGGACAAGCGCAAGATCGACAGCAAGATATCCGAGCTGAACTATGAAATCACGGTGCTGCTGAACAGTGAGGCGCGCAGTGAAGTCGAGGGGCTGCGCTGGGTGTTGACCCGTCGGGCGGCCCTGGCTATAGGTTTCTGTGCGTGTACGTTTTCCTCCCCCACCGTCGCCGTCTCCACAAGTCGCCCATGCTAACAGTTTGTAGTCATGATCATCTCGGCGCTGAATTACTCGTCGATCAAGATGCGCGAGAAGGAAGAGGCGGCCAAGAAGCGCCGAGACGCCGAGAAGACGCAGGAAGAAAGAGAACGTGCCCTGGAGAGGGAGCAGGCCAGGTATACGACCCCGAGTCGGGCGCAGGGGACGCAGACTGAGGGCGTGGGCGCCTCCATCGAGTTCTCGGGTTGATCTGTTTCCGTCCTGACGTACTGTGTACATTGGTTGGAACGCGGAGAGACGCGAGGCTGTAGATGTCATGATATGATACCATATAGACTACAATTGAGAGCGTCAGCGACTAGCTCGAAAGTGTCCGAGGCTCTGACACCGGGTGCCGATGCTCTCGCACTTTGATCAACCAGCACTGCAGTGCTAGCCAAGCAGTATAATCTGGCCAGACTCTATCCAATTTCAGGCGGGCCCTTGAGGCGAACACAGTCTTCTCCTTCAAACCGTTGAATTACAAGCCCCGCAGCACAAGGAGACATGATGTGTGATACTTAGCACCGCGTCCACGAACATCTTCGAACCAAGTATCGACCGGTGTCCTATCTATCAAATCCCGCAAGTCTAGAAATGTATGTTCCATCCCGATACTTCACACGTCAAGGTTCGCCCAGTCGAAGCTCGGTTCATCGGTCCCAGTCATTGGGTCTATCTCTTTCGCCCTCCCAATGGGTTGCTTCTGCTGAGGTACCGGGTCCTTGGCCGCACCAGTGTCTCTCGCGGTGTTAGTATCCGTAAGAGCATCGGTGTCGGCACTCGCTTTCCTCGCTTCAGCGCGTCTTCGAAGTCTTTCCCGAGCGGCGGCGGCACGGTCCGGAGGAAGCCTCAGCGTCCCGCTATTGGAGGGTCCAAAACCAACGCTCGTGGTGGATGCGGGAACGGACGATGTCGCAGGACCGGTCCGTTGAGGAGCAGCACCGTTGGACGGCTTGACAGATATTACAATTTTGGCGGGAGAGGAACACCTGCGGTGCAAGCCTGACGTTGTTTGTGAGAAGCTTGTCACTGGCTTCAGCGCAAGAGACGGGCTCCTTCCACGAGCTGGTGAGTTCTTCATAGTCTGGACCCGCACTGTTGTCTCGACTCTATCGACTTCTTCACGGACGTGGCCCCGGTTCTTGGTCCTCAACGCCGGGGATATTTCCCTCGTTATCGTATCTTTGGCTTTGCTTGTCCTCGTCTGCGTCTGTGCCAGCCTGCACTGCTGTGTCTCATTTCTATCCTCTTGCTCGTGGCTAAGCGCGGCGAATAGGTCTTTCTTGGCAATTGAGGGTTTGGAGATATCGTTCTTGAGCCGCTCGTTTTGTTGTCTGAGTTCTTCGATCATGATCTTCAGCTCTTGGTTCTCGGCATCCTTCTTGAGGGCGTATTCCCGCATCTTCTTCCCGTAGCGGATCAGCCGCTTCATTTCCTTCTCTGTCTGGGCCATATAGGATTCGAGAGCGCCGGGGAGGAGCCCGCACGGCCGGGATGCCGTTGGCGCATTGCTTGTAGATAGTTGTACCATATTCTCTACTAATTGTTCCTGCGAACTGTTGGGTGTTGCTGGTTGGGAGCACGATGAAGGGCGGGCTGCTCGTGTCGTATCGTCGAAGCCGGCATTGGAGGTGCTTTCAGCGCCCACGACAGGCTCTGATCTTCGAACCTCCGGGCTGACGCTCTTGAACTTGACGTTGATGTCCTTCAAGTACTTTGCTCTTGGTGTCGCGAGGCCCGGCGTTCTAAGGATGCCCTTCGTGGGGGAGAGGATGGCATCTACATTGCTGCTGTCCCTCTTGCGCTTTTGTGGCGGGGTGACGCGAGGAGCATCTGCCAGAGTCACTTTTGACTTTGTCGGGGAATTCGCATATATTGGTACTATGTTGTCTTTGTTGTGATACTCCGGGGACGAGTCAGGCGAAGTAAAGAAGATGCTGCGGAGAGCGCGATAGGCAAACAACGGAGCTGGGGTCACTGGCCCTTCGAGGATAGTAGCGTCGCCGGGCATTGCGGCTGCGAATGGGTGCGTGATTATACACAATAGGATGCTTGTCGAAGACTGTACTGTCTTGGTATTATTGCGCAAACTGCGAGCGCGACAACGTGGAAGAATGAGGAACGTTGGTCGCGTTGTTGGTGTTTTCCCGTTTGTGGTCTAGTGCGGGCAATCCGTCATTGGTGGGCGAGTCTCACCTTCGTCCTCTCCTCGAATTCACTTCACTTTCCCCTCATCTCTCATTTCTTCCACCCAGTGTGCAATGCCTCGAGGCGCAATGCTGCAGAATGCTCGCCATGTATGAACGACCTTGCCGTCACGTTCACTGGCCTAAGCTCCTTCTTTCCACTGAAGAAATGCCGTGATTCAAGGCGAATGGACACTCGTGGCATACCTGGAGAAACCGATCATCAACGGCTGGTTTCTCCCAGATGACATGATCACCCCCAATATTGCCCATCGATGTTCGATGTATACCTATATCCACCGACGGGTGAGATGAGTCGTCAAGTTTGGCCAAGAGACTCTTCCCAGGTGGAGTCACCGTCTCATTCAGCGAGGGTTTGCCTTCGATTTCGTTCAGTTGAAGGTTTAATATTCACGTAGCCTTTCTGTTTGCTGGTCCATCTCCGTTCATCTTTTTCACTCGGTCACTTACTGTATATGGCCAGCTAGGGGCTAGGATACGAGGTCCACGCATTAGCACTTATGGATGAGTCTCAAGGGCCTATCGGCCAGCAGATCGAAAAGCACGACAAGAAGCTCGACGCGGCCGATCGTAACCACAGCTTCTGCCGCCCGATCTATTCATTCCAGTATTAAGGCATAGGGGTATCTCGTTACTGTCTTTCAATATAAGTACACGGTCCAACTTTCTCTTCTTCGATCTAACAAGTACATCATCTGCTAATCAGAGCCTAGTCTTGGGCTCTACCACCACGGGGCCCCTTCTCGGGGCTGACACCTCTCAACGTCTCTTCGTCACCTGTCTTCTTTCTTCCAAGATCCACGGGCCCGCTGGCGGAACCACTATATGGCACGCCATCGATGAGAATTGCATCGTCAGGGACCCCTTGCAGATACTGGTACCAGTAGTACCTTTAAGTCTAGTTAGCTGCTGCTCAGTATAAATCCTTCCAGCAACTTACGCTCCAACAAACAAAGCTCCGCCGATAATATTTCCGATCAGGGCAGGAATGATCCCCTTCCAGATGTATAGGCCAACGCTAACTCCTGGAGTGCCTTGCCAGATGCCCATTGGCACGAAAAACATGTTCGCAACGACGTGGTCGAATCCGAGAGACACGAAAGCGAAGGTCGGCCACCAGATACCTGAAGCAAACGTCAACTGAGCTCGAGGATACGGCCATACAAGTCTGTCATACCAACGATCTTACTGATATATTCTCGTCCAGACATGCCCAGGTAGCAAGCCAAACAAACCAGCCAGTTTGCGCCAATGCCCCTCAGGAAGACCTCATGCCAGCCGGGTGTGACCTGTTTGGTGGTCACGAACTTGATGACCTCGGTCTTGTACGCAGCAGAGTCGAAGATACCGCCGTAGCCAGTGATGAGCGCGACAATGAACAGGGAGCCCGCCAGGTTGCCCCAGAAGGTGACGAACCAATGAATCAGCATCTTCAGTAGGCTGAGGCGGCGTTGAAGGACGGCCATTCCGGTGAACTGTCGATGTGAGGTCAGCGCACTAGAAGGTCCACGACGTTGGAGCATACCATGAAGCTGCCGGTGCACAAATCAGCACCGGTGAGCACGATCATGCACAGGCCGTATGGAAACACCAATGCCGACAATGTTCGAATCAAGCCCGGAGCGTTCTCCTGGTACCAAGGGGCCGCATTTGTGGACAGGGCAGTGGCACAGGCAAAAGACAGCAAACAACCGGCCGACACGGAACTGAAGAATACCTTGTCCAGCCGCATGTTACCCTTGGCCACACCGGCCCGAGCAACGATCTCGGCCGTCTCTTGAGGACTGTAGCAGTTGTACATGTTGACGGCTAGCGAACCTGACGAGTGTGTCCCAAGACAGGTGAATGAGAACTGGAGCAAGAAGCGTGTCTTCCCCAAGACGATACGAGGTACAGTGGAGGTCTTTAAGAGGTTTGAACCCAGAGCCCTGTCAAATCGACCTCGATGCAACTCCGCAGGCCCATCATAATTCCCGAGCGGTTGGTACGAGTATAGATTGCGGGATGGCACATGCAAGCTCCTCCGCATCAGCGTCGAAAGTCCATGTCAAGAGCCAACCATTGAACATGATCGAAAGCTCCCAGCGATCACTGCTCGAACGGGTCACTATATTCCAGACAAGGCAATCAAGCAGGGCACCATCAGCGCTGTTTTGAGCAAAGTCAACATAAGCCCTTGTGCCTTACGCGACTTGCGACGCCGTCGAAGTCACATCGCGATAAGCACAGGGCTGGTTTCTGGACGACGCTGCACGAGTGACGCTGTGGCTTGGATGATCGCATCAACGGCGTTGCAGCGTATCTGGCTTGGTACCTCGTTATCTGGACGCGACAAACCGATGAACAGTGTCCATTGGCCTGATCAACAGCGGAAAGGGTGACTGGAAGCTTTTGCGCGGTGTGCTAGCGCGAGGCTCTGGCTGGGCTGACGTCCCCAGCGATGTATGGCCCTCAGAAAAGTCCCATGTTTGATAAGAGCGCGAATTTCAAACCTCGAATATCTATGGACAGAATTGCCATTCAGGTGGCAGGCTATCGTCTGTCTTTTCTGTGTTGATATGTGGGCTGACGTAGTCGCCAGATTGATAGCTTTGGTGTGGAATCCATGTGTGCTGATTGGTGAGGTGGCGGATGATCGACATATCAGAGATAAGCCCAAGTTGCAGAATCTGATCTTTGCCCAAACTCATGCTTCTCCACAGCGGTAGCGGTAGACAGTGAAGTGTACGTATGATTTATACCCTCGCACACAATGATGCTGGTGGTACGAGCATGAGTACTGCGATAAGGTGGAAACAGAGGTAGGTGTGGAAGCGAGGCCGCCTTCGAACTGTTTGCAGCATGTCATGCACTCACTATGCGGCAGTTCATTCGGATCTTCATTCAGCCCAAGCTAAACTCATCTCTCAATCACCGTAACTCGTAGCCATCCCTCATACGGGGTCGAGTTTGCGGGTCGGCGAGCGCGACGCTCTGCTGCCATTGGCTCAACAGAGTTGCTTGGAACGCGGAGCTCTTGAAGTGAGTGCTTCGACGACGAAGGCGACGCCTTAAAGCCATTCTTCAGGGAGGCCCGAATACGAGGTAGCAGGATCCCGCCACAGGAGGTATGTATCCAGACGCAGAGCGCGATGCCGAGACTGAGAACTCGATCTCTTTCACCTGCCAGCACAATACGTATGCAACGCAAAGAGACCATCTCCCCCCCAGGTCCCCTAGTCGTGAGCCAACTTTGGTTTACCGCGTCGTACGGGGCCAGGGGCGGGAACTCGCTCGTACAGTAGCTGGTCCTGCTTCTACTCTCCAGCGCCACTTCCAGTCATGCATGGTATCCTCGTAATCCGAATAGGAGCCTGGTGCAAATGCCATCTCTTACATTAGTCATGTCCGCGCTCGAACCCCGCCTGCCACAGCGCGAGGAACCCGGGAACAGCCAGCCATGCATGCCAAGCTGCCTTGGATGAGAGATTCCGAAGCACAATGTCACGGTTCGAAATGCATCCTCTCTGTATTCATGCGTGTGAGTGTACGTGCCTGACTGCCGCCTGTACGACACGCCAGCACGGCGCATGAAACATCCAACATCTCGGCGTCTACCCTCCCGCATAATGACCCGCATACCAGCGTCGTCGGACCGAATGGCAAACAGTACCAGGTCCGCGCCCCGTCTTGTGTTTGGCAAGATAGTGCGAAGACCCGGGTCCCCCTTGAACTTCTCAACCTCCCAACTCCAGCTCCCATAAGGTTCGTAGACTATCGTGTCGTGCTCAAGTGTGCGATGCGCCGCAGCGACGTCGGGCTCCTCACACTGTGCTGTGGCGAGAACGCCGACGGCGCGCGTGTACATACATGCCAACATCAATGCCAATATCCGTGTCAATTGAGTTGAGACTGCCTGTGCTGCCGCAGATGCAGGCCTCGTATCGGTTGACATTCCTCTTGCTCGTGCGATGCAGCGAAGCTAGGCCTTTCGCCCTATGCTGTCGCGAGGACGCCGGTGGCGCGTAGGGACATATATTTCCTTATCAATGTCAATGCCTTGTTCGCGTCAACTGAGTTGTTACTCTCTGTGCTTCTATCGACGCAGCTATGGTGACAGCCGGTGTGTGCATCTGCCGAAGTGAGGCGCACCGATGGGTGATGGATCTTCTCATTCGTGCGAGTGTGGTGGACGGCACAGCCTGGTCGGGTCCAGTGGGAGGCGGGACCGAGTCGATCGGTGGTCCTAAGTACGGTGGGTCTGGCTGTTGCAGTAGGTACTCTACTCGTACCATGTTGTCTTCCTGTACGCTGTTCCCTGCTGTGCCCCTGTTGTTCGCCTCTCCGCTGTCCTCTCCTATGTGCTCTTCCCCTTCTGCTGGTGGATGGTCAGATGGTCAGAAATCAGATGGCGAGATGTTGGAATGGCCGGACAGTCGAACATTGGAATACCTCGGGGACTGCACGCATGTATACATGCATGGATATGCGGAAGATAAGCCCACGCAGTCGATCATGCTTAGCTCACATATTCCTCCGTGGCTTCCGCAATACGTGTATCTTGTTGTAGCAGTGACGGCAAGGACATCACAAATAGTCGTCAAGTCCGCTCCGCTCATCGCTCATCGATCATCATCCGTGTCCGTGTCCGTATCTGTATCACTCGCCTGCTGCTGTCTCTCCATGACCCTCTTCCACTCGTCCATCATGTCCTTCATGCCTCCTGGGGCGAGGCTCGCGTCTACGACGTCCTTGGGCAGTTTATGCGCCGAGTACTTTGTCGCCGAGAACTGGTATGCCTCCGGGTCGTCGCGGTTGACGAGGCGGAACTCGGGGACGAAGATTGTTTCGACATCGTCATCTGCTTCCGATCCGGTGCTCGATTCGTCGTCTAGATCGCCCTCTGTCTCCTGCTCCTGCTGCTGTTCCGCAAAAGCTCGACACGTCGCCTGAGACTGGATCGTCAGTCTGACGAGCTCCTCGCGACCATCTGCGCCACCTGCTTCTGGCTGCGTCGCTGTCTGTGGCTGCGCCTCTGGCACTTCCAGCATCAACAACTCCAACCACGAAAACAGGAGTGGATCGGTCCTCGGCGCCCACGGGTTCACGTCGATCAACCACACCTTCTCATGCGGCGGTGGGATATACACGTCTGCCACGAAATTATCGTCCGGAAACCCGCGAACCAACCTGTCCTCGACAAAGTCGCGAATCAACGCGCCGAACCGATCACGCAACTCGAAGAGAAAGTCAAAATGGTTCATCTCGCGCTGGGAGATGGCAATCACGCGGCCTTGGCGCACAAAGCACCGGAATTCTAGGCTCGGGTTGAGGTTGAACGCCTTGCGCAGGACCAAGTGGTAAGGCACGCTGGGGATGGGGACGGGGACGGAGTCGCCGCTGGTAGCTGAATCGCGGAGGGGGCAGTCCGCCACCGCCCCAGCCACGCTGCACCCATCAAAGGCGTGCTCCAGGTCGTGCGTGATAAAGTCGCTGGACTTGAGAAGCAAGTAGACGTCGTTGGGCGTCCGACACTCCATGTCATTTGTGGTGGCGATCCAGGTGGCGTCCTTGGGCGCCGACCAGTTCAGCTTGGGTACCACCTTGCCGCCTAGTTCGCGGATCGTGGTGGCGATGGCGTCGTGCACTTCGGGCCAGCTTTCAGAGGGGTCGACCTCCTCCTCTGTGTCGGCACTTGCAGCATCGTCAGAGGCCTCGTCGTCGTAGCCAGAGTCTTCGGCATCGCTTGCGGGGGACTTGTGTTCGGGGGGCAGGATGATGCCGTCAGCCCGCAGATAGTCCAGAAACGGCTGCGAGAGGGGCACCAGTCTTGCTTTGGGTGTCAAGGATCGGAAACGCGGGTACCATGAGTGGAAGGACGTGTTGAGGATATGTTGAGGGGTTACTGGTGGGAAGGGCAGCGTCGTGATCGGTGATTTTTGGTTCCTCTTCTCTTGCTGCAGGGGTTCCGTCATTTCGAGGGGATGTGATTGTCCTAAGAGTTGGATTAGATGAGCCGGTAGATCGCTAGGAGAAGTTATTGCCTAGGTTCTCTGATTAACATCTGAGGTATTTGAAGAACTGCGAGTCATGGTCGCCACGGGCCCAGCCTTGCGCCGCTTGGCGTGACATGATTGGTAGCCTCGCTGGAAGATTCTCGTGCCTGGGACTGGGAAGGTTAGCCGAGGGTCTGTAACGACGGCCACTTGGCCTTAATCACACCTTGAGTAACGCCACGCCACGCACCCGTCTTGTCTACGTGGCTCTTATCACCAAGTATATAGACATGCGTCTCATGCCCCTCCGAATTCATTGCGTCTTCCGAATCGAGCCACATACTTTTGACTCGGAAAGACCGTGATCAATGTGAGCGATCAACCGCTCAGCCACGGTTGGAACTTACGGGCAACTCAGGGCGATCAGGCTCAGAAACCCATAAAAGCGACGTTGCGTTGCATGTCCTTTATCATCGCGATCATTTCAAATTTATCATTAATATACTCGTACTAACTGGCGTAGCTATCGAACATTGTGCTGTTATCCTGATCGGCTTAACGTTAGTATCCTGTGTCATGATCATCGCTAGCGACAAAATGTCTTCTTGTTCACATTCAGCTTCATAGTATCATCCTCCTCAGGCGCAACTTCGTGACTCGCACCATTCCACGCAGGAAGCTCATGACCTGTAATACCGCGTTGTCGCTGTGATGCCGTGGCTCTTGGCAGTAGGCTCATGCATCACGGCAGCCTTTGGAACACCTTGGGCACTCTCATCGTTTAGTGCAAGCAACACCTCTGCCATGGCCGTGGTTCCGCTCGGATCAGGCTGTCCCAGTGGCTTCCTTTGGCCGTGGATGTTGAGTGTTTGCTCTCCGATGATACTCAACGGGGATCGAATGACGGTATCCGGCTGTCGCCAGTCTCTCGATCCGGACCAGGAGTTTCTGTCGATGGCGCCGAGTGCTTGAGTCTCTCCTGACATTGGCGGCAGCTGGGGCGAATCTGCAAGGAGCGATGTAGCCCTTTCACCTCGAGCATGGTCCATTGGCGCAAACACTCGAGACATCATCTGAATCTGGTGCGCTTGCCACTTGATCTTCTCCTCTTGCTTTCGGACGATTTCCTCTTGGTCTCGAATTTTGGTATAAAACGCCTCGAGGTCTTGGTTGAGCAGCATGATCAGATTGATGTCGTCGCTGTTCCATCTCCGCCTTTTCTTGGACTTCTTGGGTACTTTGTGCGACGAGGTTGGGTCTTTGTTTGTCTGGGCTTGCTCGTCACTGGAACTGTGTTGGAGCCTGCTGTCACTTGTGGCCGGTCGCTTGTTGTTCCCACTTGGACGTGATCCTGGCCGCTGTCCAGGAGTGAGAGACTGCTGCCCTTTAGAATCGCGTAAAGTCGTTTCCGACCTAATGCTTTCCAGTGAGCCCATCTTGTGGACGAGGAGATCCTTCAGCTTGGAGGGTTTATGCATACACTCCAGCGTGTTCCGCTCGGGGCTACGGCCGTGGCCCCCAATGCTTGGAGCGGGACTCATTGCACCAGCCCGAAAAAGTGCTGTGACTGGGTTGGAGTCGACGACCACGAAAATGTTGCTCTGGCTGAGAATCTGACCAGATGGCTTCGGAGGACGGCCAGCTGAGCTGGATGTCGACATACGACGAACCTGATGGATAGGTCTTTTTCGTGTGCTCTGCTGATGATTGAGTGCCGACCGCACAGATATACTCGCAATACTGGCGGAGCAAGAGTCCGGAACAGCGGGGAATCGGTCAAGCTCATCCAGAACGGCGTTGGCAGGCATTTGCTTTGAGGCTGTCTCCTGCTCAGTGTGGATGCTGGACTTCTCCGACTGACTGCGTGAATCGGCAAGGTCGCGCATTCTTCGCGCCCTGACCTTTTCAGCACGGGGCCCACTGAGTGTCCGACGCGTATACTCGACAGAAGTTGCAGAGCTCTCTCGGCGAAGCATTAAGCTTTCCTCATCTCCGGAACTCCTCGTCCCAGTACTCTGCTTGTCTAGGGCTTCCGGTGGTAGTGCAGGTAAGGGTATATCTGGTGGCGGACCCCTGTATTTGTAGACTGCATTGCTGACAGAGCTTTCCATTGACTTCTTTGGTGGAGTTGAGTCAACCTCAGGTTGCAAAGCACCGTGTACTTGGGCCTCAATACCTGCAAGGGTGTCAATGCTCATTATCGACCTCGCAGGACGTAAGCCCAGAGAAGGCGCAACATTTTCCTGCTGCTGATCTGGTCGGTTCTGGCCGTCTGCCGCGGCACGGACATTCCGATTCGGGCTTTGCGAGACTGACCAGGATGTCGTGGTTTGATGTGTGGGTTGCATGCCCGCTAGGTCGTCGAGGGTTGCACTCGACGGCTTCGCAATAGGTCCCGTGTGGTGCAAAATGACAGAGGCACGAGCCGGTCCAGCAATAACGCTTTCACTGCCGTTGTTGGTATCTTGCTGCAAACGTGATCGGCGGTGCTGAGACTGTAGTGACAAGCGTTTCCCTACCCTTCCAGGTGTCATCAAATCCCAACCCTCGCAAAGAAGGCTCCTTCTCGATGCCAGCAACCAGTCGCTGTTGGAGCCCAGACTTCTCAGCATCTCCCTACATTCATCTGAAAATGTTCTGTCCTTCAAGGGATCATGAAGCGAAGGAATGAGCGAGATCGTAAGGTTCCCTCGCGCACCTTCGTTCTGGCGGTGACTCCGCCCCTTGAGAACGGATAGGGACCTTCGACGTGCTGGGGTCGACGTGACTCGCTTGCTCACAGCGTCATCACGTTGCCTGCCGGAGTTCGCATTCTGGGTACGGATTCCAACCGGCAATGAAATGATGGCTGCCGGTCCGCGCCCTGCTTCCCGTCGTTTTGCCGGTGTCGTCTTCCTGCTCATGGAGCGTTTGCGCGGCCACACTTGTCTTCCTGGGCGAGGAAGTTGGCTCACAGTGGGTTTCACGAACCGCCAACACTCGGCGGTGCGATTCCAGACCGCGCCGTTGTGCACAGTGTCTATAGTGCTCTCAGTGATACTTCTGCCACGGGTCGGCCGCTTTGTCTCCTCGACGGGGATAGGGCGCTGAAGGTGAGTCTTCCTCAGGACCGCGCGCTGCTGCTCGAAGGACTTCTCGCGCTTGGAGAGTTGCTTGCCTTTAACATCATCTGCCGTTGGATTGTCGTCCAAGAACGAGTCTTTGGCACGAAGGGGATGCGGCGGAGGTGTCGGGGGTTCTGCCCACCCGTGCCTTCTTGCCCACCTCCTTGACTGGCGAAATTGCGGAATGCGCGTTCGTGGGCCCGACATAATCCTTGCAGGGTCGCCATGTGAGACGACACCAGTCGGGGGGAGCCCGCTATCCTCTTCCCCCATGTCGAAGGTGAGGTTTGGCAATCCTGGAAGGTGCTTGTCGAGATCAGCCACGGACGTGGGCATAGTCCCAGAGCTGTGCGTCGTCATTGTGTCCCCGAATTTGTGTTCCGCATCGGGGTGCGAGATGGCAAGCTGATCAACCTTGTAGCATGGGACGAGAGCATGAAGCTGTTGCGGGTACAGGCAAGACCCTGATCTTCAAAGAACGTGGTACGGCGGAAAGCCAACGAAGAAACACAGTTGCGGACGAACTGAATCGAAGATCACTGCGCAGTTGCAGAAGAGTCAGTGCGCTCTGGCCAGGGTTTGGAGGGAAACATTCCTGACTTATGCCATCTCAGACGTCGCGTCTGCACGCTGTCATACCTGCATCCTGCCATGGACTTTTCCCTTTCGGCGGACGACTCTATCGAACAATGTCTTCGACATAAGGGGGGTTACTCGTAAAGGCGAAGCCTAGCAAGGGCTGCATACGAGGCATCGGGTGGAACTTGACAACTGGCATGGTGCATGTCTTGACAGGTTGGTGGTGCGCTGAGCAGGGCCTGAGTCCACCAATTGCGGAGTCAAGGAAATGCCATACCCGCAATGTGGGCTGTGGGAGGCGGGGATCGAGAAGTAAACTTTGCGGTAGCGCCAAGGAGATGTAGTCAAAAGATCGGAAGACATGTAGCAGAAAGATCGGAAGGGGAGTTCGCAAAGAGTTGTCGCAACTCGTTCCAGTCGCCAGTGCGTCAAAGCCAAGCCGGTGAGCTGGGAGCTGAGAGAAAAGGTAGAACTGGTAGATGGAACTCGTCAGAATCTGTTAGTCACAGCAGGACGTCCTCACCGACGCGACGGACGCAAGGGATGGTGGAAGCTGCGTCTGACTTGACTCTCAGCCAGGAACCGCATCTGCGGAGCTGTTTTCTTGCTGTTGTTGCCACAATATTTCCAGCGACAGCATGGCGTGGAGCCGGCTCAGCCGCTGCTGCTCGTCCAGTGATCAATCGCACCTTGCTCGGCACGCAGGCATTGACGGCGATGAAGGATCCACTCTACCGAAGTTGTCAGATTGTACATCACTAATGCGCAAGATGGCTTGCAGGGCCAAGGAAGGGTGTCGGCTGTACTTTGGTGTTTCCGAAGGCGACTACCTCTAGGCGAATTTTGACAGCCTGTTTGTATGACCTGTCACAAACCCTTTTCTCGATGGATCGCATGCATCGCTGACGCCCCACTCAGATAAGCGAATAGACGGGGGTATCTACTGGTACAGAGGCTGCGCATACGATTCTATGAATACGTAGTACTCTCATACATTCTTTGCGAGGATCGAAGGCAGGCCGTGAAGTTGCTCTGCTACAAGCGAGGCGTCACCACCACCAGATGCGCTGAATCCCGCGCGACAAGGCGGTCGTGCTAATGGTGTTCTATTCAGCAAAGTCCTCTTTATGCCGGCTCCCCGTGCATACGATTACCGAGGATCGCCGTATCCTAGCTATGCGTTATAGTCAAAAACTAAGAAACCTTGGACACGACCTCAAGCGTGGGGACGCCCCAAGATCGCCTAACCTACGGAGCATCGGCCACCTAAAAGGATCGAACAAGCTCCAATTCAGGAGCTAGTTGCCCCCTTAAGGGTTGAAGCGAGGGTGGCTTCACGACCATCGGGTGCGGCTTCGCTACAGCCCGCCACCGTCCGCCACTACAGCTGTTTCAAGGACTCATCGCTTGCCATCGTCATGCGCGCTGCTTGGAATTCCAACCAATTGTCGCACAGCTCGGAAAGCTAACCGGCGTCTCTTTCCACCCCGTAGCCCCATCAGCGTGGTTCCCCCAGCTTCGACGTGAACGACACGAGTCGGCGACCTCGACACGCGGTCGCTTCGGACATTCGACCGGCGAGCAATCCTTGCGGGGACAGCGGGCTTCTCGATTGGGAAGCCCGCAGTCAACCGACCAATTTGATGTACTCCTCTTGTCACGTAGATGCGAAACCGTCGACCGATATAAAGCTTTCCTACGGTTCGACTGAGATGGACTCCCTATGAACTTCAAACGCACGAGGAAGTCAAGGGAGTCTTGCGTGATTCTTGCCGATCACAGCGTCTGATGAACCGACCCGCCCGTGTCGCCCGCGCCGATCCCGGATCGGCATCAGCTCAAGCAGAGTCTCCAGTCATCATTAGAAACCCTAAGCAGACTGGGTTTCTGTCAGATACAAGGTTCGAGACTGTCTCTCCGTAGAGGCCCTGAACGCCGTGGTCCTTGGCTCATTAGTCAGTAATTAGATTTCTTGTTGTGGAACGCTCTAGGCATATGGCGCGACCGGGTGTAAAGTCAAATGTCGTACACACAGGTTCCCAGTCGGCAGGGGAGTTCAATACTTGGCTATGTATCGACGGCTTTCCGAGCCACTATCTAATCAGCTAGCAACAACAATGAAGAGGAGCAGAATTTATAGTGCTTCTGTCATCGTCGCCCGAGTGATGGAAATGGCCCTGGGAGACATGCCGCGAAAGATTCTCCAGTCAGTTTGATTTGCATCCCTGGACAGCGTGGCGACAGGGTACTGATCCCAGATCTCGCGTGGTTGACGACGCTGATCAATGGTCGCCGATCCGCGTTCGCGTTTGACTGTTTGACATGAGAGTCCGCAATCAACCCCTAAGTCAAGACCACACCATGAAAATGTTTCCCATAGTAATTTCGTGAGAGTGCCCTGAGTACCCCAGTTTCGGCCTCAGGGTCTGGATGGCAGGTGTCTGTCCCTTAGCGAGATCGTGCAAGGACTGCTCGTGATGGAGATAGAGTTGGGTGATTCCGCTGATCTCTTGGAACTTGTAATCCATGGTGCGAGTATACGCATGAACTCGGGGTCCTCAAATTGACCGGCCCCCTGAATCACTTGTCAACCGACAACTATTGAATACATATACGGCACTCGTACGGAGTAGATATACGAGCGCCTCGTATTCCTGTTGACGGTCTGGTCTCCAATTCACCTGGTGGTCGCGGATGTCGGCCAGTCCTAGACATAAGTGCTTTTCTCATCTCCACTTCCTTTGCGGCCTCGCTCGCCTACCCCGCTACCTTCCTCACTGCGTATCCTACATACCTACCTGTTCGTCGGTAAGGGACCTCGCCAGGCAAATCTACAGCGAACTATCCAGACCTGTACCTAGCAATGCGGTATTTGCGACGCACAGATCCATTCATGCACTGATAGTGATGTACGATCTGGTCGCTCCTGCTCATGCTGGCGCCCCTGCCGGTGCTGATGCTCTGCCCTGGAGTTGAGACCAAGCACGAGTACGCTGACATGGGCGAACCACGGAAGAGTAGACAATCCAGTACTCAAGACCACCACGGCAGGTTGGGACGAGACATTCGCACAAACACAAACCCGCTTCCTCAACGGAGATTGGCGACTAACGACATTCCCGAAGCTCAGTCTCCGCACTCTGTATCCGTGCCTCGTTCCGAATGTTGACAATTTAGAGCATTATGGTAGATTACACGACAGAAGGCGAAGGGTCTGTGATGGGCTCGAGGCTCCCCGAGGTTCATCCCTCTCTCGTTGTCGCCACCATCGTCCAGTCCGAAGATTGTTACCTCAGCAAGGCTGTTTGTCTGGCGGCTCCGAAGGACATAGGTGCGTGTTATTGGACAGCACTCACTGTAAGTTTCGGCGTATGGAGCATTTATGCAGGTGCGGCGTGCGGCTACGGCTTCGGTAAGTCCAGCTCACGGACCGCCACTCTCGAATAGGATGATGCACTACTGCAAATATAGTACTGGCTGTAAATGCACTAGGTCAAGCTCTTCTCAGCTGCACCGCAGAGGCCGATTCCAAGCCTCGGGTCAGGCTGTCTTTCGAGTTGGACCAGGCAACAAAGGCATGTGACGGACATTGTTCAGCCATGGTGTCCGCATCCGCGAGTACTGTGTAAAGCCATATTGAGCAATTTCGAGTCGAGTGCAAGCCTCTTATGTACCTATTAGGTACTGCATTTCTGAGCCACAGAAGCACAAAGTAGACCCCGCACTCATTTGCAGGATAGAGGTTCCGGCTCGGTGGCCTTGGGAGCTCTAAGGTCGCCTCAACCGCCGTACTCTTTAACGCTGAGAATACTTTAGTGGTCGCAGGCTTGATTTACTGAAGTTTTCGAGTAGATACTTGAAAAATGCTGTGGCACGGTCCCTGGATTGCCGGGGCCTCTCAGAGTTCTGTTCTCGGTCCCAACTTCATCCTAGGCTTCAAATCATTTCGATTCCGCAGTCGACCGTGTGTTTTAGATGCAAGGATGGTTTTGTCTCAGACGGGGCCACAAGAAAGGTCGCTGGGCGGATTGGGCACCGACGTCGAAGAGGCTCACCTCGGAATTTGGTTCGGGACATGGCTATTACGTTCACGCCGTCAAATGACGCAGTCACAATCAAGGGATCTGATGTAGCAGTAGCGAAGCTTTCTGGAGCGAGCAATACTTATAAATTCCTTTCGTCACTTAACCAAGAAGGACCGCGCAAAATTAGATCTGCTCTGCACAAAAAGAAAAACTATATCCCTGTCTTGCGCCTACTCCGTAATCTTCAAGCTGCTAATCATGCAGCGCCAGCTGCGTACACCCGCTCAGGTTCCTGCGTGTTCGATGCCATCATGTTGCGGATGCCCTGGGTCAGATCGACGCCGACTCTCTCCTTCGATAAGAGATCCACCAGTAGCGGGCTTGGCTTGCTATCCCTATACGGCTGGGATGCCGCCTGACTCTCCCTGTACTTTTGAACGTTTTCCAGGTACATGTCAAACAGATAAGACGAGTCAAGAGGACCACCTTTGGCTTCCGGATGAAACTGTGTCGAGAAGATGGGACGAGACTCATGAATAAGTCCTATAACAAACGTTAGCACCGGCAACGCAGATTATAATGAGACTACTGACCTTCGTTGGAGTTGTCGTTCAGGTTGAGGAAGTAGGGCTTCCAGCCTTTCGGTAGCGTTGTGGCATCAACCGCGTAACCGTGATTTTGACTGGTGATGTGGCATTTCCCGGTTGTGAGGTCCAAAGCCGGAATGTTGTGTGCTCTGTTACCATACTTCAACTTGACGGTCCTGGCTCCAGCGGCAAGAGCGAGAAGTTGATGACCGAGGCAAATTCCCATGATGGGAATCTGCGAAGTCTCCATCAGCTTTCGAAGGTTGTAGACAGTATCTTGACAGTGGGTCGGATCACCAGGGCCGTTGGAAATGAAGACACCATCGAAATGGTGTGCAACCTTGTGAATAGGGTAGTCGAATGGGAAGCAGGTGGCACTAGCACCCCGGCTGACAAGGCTACGGAGGATGTTCTCCTTGACGCCGCAGTCGATAACGGCAACATGGGCAGTCGGTGAGGGAGCGCTGACATGGAACGGTGCCTTTGTGCTGACCTTACGGACCAGATTGATCTGCTCAGGATCGACAAAGTCCTCATCCTGGTCTTGATCGTACTCCTCACCAATGGTGATTCTAGCGAGACTGGAGCCTTGCTCTCGTAGGTAGGTGACTATCGCCCTGGTATCGACACCTGTGACGGCTGGGACACCTTCTCTTGCACACCACTCGCTCAAGCTCTCCACTGCAGTCCAGTGGGAGTATTTCTCTGCAACATCAGCTACCACCACTCCTATGGCCTGGATGTTCGGGCTCTCGAAGTATTTCAACAGGCCATGCTCGTCTCGCACGTCAGAGGGAACACCGTAGTTGCCGATAAGAGGCTGGGTGAAAACCAAGATCTGGCCGCGGTATGAGGGATCGGTGAGTGACTCAGGGTAGCCGACGAGGGAGGTAGTGAAGACAGCCTCTCCTGAGACGTTGCTTCGAGCACCGAAGGAAGTTCCGTGGAATATAGGACCATTTCGGATGGTGAAGGTGGCCCGTTCGTGTGTAACAGGGGTGCTCTTGACCTTCTTGTGGAGGGGCAGTTCCTGCTGTCGAGGAGTATTGTTCGACACTGTAGCCAGAGATCGAGCTCGTAGAGCGGAGGTGCCTCCAAAGGCATTGACCGCCTTTGGTACGAAGCTGCTCTGCTTCAAAGTCCTGAAAAACATATTGCACAATTATGACTGTTGCTCTTGTTCCTCCTCACCGCTAGTTGGCCTGGGCTTTCCACAAATGATCTGGTCCCGGGGTTAGAATCACGAAAACTGGGAGAGGAAGAGCCAGTAAGTACCACTAATGTAATCCTATTGAACCCCCATGTTAGCAGAAGTACCGGTGACGTTGGTTGTTGCGGTGACACAATAGGATGAGGTGCTTATCAGTGGGTTGGCGGGACCGGGCGAGGACGACTTACTTGAGAGGTGAAGATGCTTGGGAGGAAGCACATGAACGCGATGGCGACTCCTCTGCAGGCAAGGTAAACAGAAGTATCGAAAGCCTTATCAAGGCAAGTGAATTTTGCACAGTTCCTCTGCACGAAATTCTTTTTCTTCTGGAGCGAAGACGTAGTTCTGTGGAGATGGTGAGCGAAAGATTGGTGAGGCTCGTCGATTGGAGCGCCCCTCACGCAGAGCTTGGGCGCAGGCCGCCTCCACGATTCAGCCAATCGTCAGCCCCGGAAAAATTTCTCTGGCATGCAAATCTCTGCGGCGAGTGACGAACGGACTGCAATTCGAGCCTCCAATCGAAGAACACCGATTGGGCACAAAGAAGCTACGATGTTTGATCGCAGGTATTCTAGTCACGTGTCGAGCTTCTCCATCATTGGACTTCGACCTCAGCTCAACCTTACTTCTTGCTTAATGAGACTTCGTCAAATCGTCCATGTTTTCATCTGCTTCCCCTTCGGAACTATAGGGCTTCAGCTCATGGAGCGGCGGTTCTTACGGTCTACTGTATATGCCGGCTTCGCAAGCGACCTCCACCGACTCTCTACAACATCAAACCACGCCGTCCAAGAACGAAGCCATTTACTTGTGCTAAAGACAAACAGAGCTAACCTGAATCTTCACATCGATCTCAGCGTCTAGCCGTCCACTGCCAGCTTCTTCGAGGCCCGCGGCTTATACTTCGCTGGCTGATTGGGAGCATCTCGTCGAAGTCCCTTCGGAGCTCGATGCTGACATTCCGGCTCAATTTGCCATCCCAACAACCGCCCCTGCGCCCATCACGCTTCACACCTGCTTCACACCTGCTTCCCACCTTGCGCATTCGATGATGCGTCTTCTGAAGCCTGCTTGTCGTGCTTCTCTTGCCATGCCTTAATCTCGGCCATAAATGTCTCCCAAACACCCATCGCCGGCGACTCTGGCTCAGGATCGTAACCGCGTCCTAGGTTGATGCCTGTGGCAATGACAATCCAAGCGTCCTCGGTCCGGACAAGCAGCTGCTTCTGCTCGTGGCTTAGCTCGTCAAACGCATCCCGCTTCTGGATGCGCAGTGGATCTCTCATCAACACCTCGGCGAATCGTTCTTCCAAGGCGTCCGTCTTGGCTCGTGCGAACGCCCACTCGGCTTCGAACTCGCCCATTTTGGTGATCGTCTCGGCGAAATTCCACTTGAACAGGTCGACGTCCTGCGCAGCAGCCTCTTTTCCGAGTCTCAGCTCGGTGTTCATGTGCTGGACGGCATAATTTTGATCCTTCAGCCTATCGACCTCGTCTCGATGTGCGGCTCGGACGATCGCAGCTGTGTCCCCCCAGGCCTGATTTTCGCACTGTTCTCTCCACCGCTGGGCGGCCTGGTTGCTCTGTGCAAGTTGGCTTTCCAGCAAGCTCACACGTTCCTGGGCGTCGTGAACATCTCGACCGGTGTTGAAGTTCTCCGCTTCCAGTTCAATATTCTTGCTGTGCAGCTCGGAGAGAGATTCCTTGAGATGGGCCACTTCCACTTTGTGCTGTCCCTTCACTTTGGCCAGTGTGGACTCAATCTGGGAGACGTCGAGTGCTGCAGTCTTGAGCTTTCTCTTCGTCTTGGCGACGTGCGCCCGAGATTGACGATAGTACTCCTCTTTCCACGTGGCGTATTCATCTTCAAGCACTTCAGGCTGACGTCGTAGGACCTTGGGCAAGATCTCCATCCAATGCTCGACCTTGTCCTCCAAAACTTCATAGTTCGCGGCGAGTCTGGCACATTTGTTGTTGAGAAGGTCCCTCTCAGTCTGGAGGGAGCTTGACTTCTTTTTCTCATCGTCGAGCTCCTTAGTCAAATCCTGGTTGACTTCGACGAATTGAGCCGATATTGCCTGCGCCGTCTCAACCTGGTTGCGGAGGTCTCTGGCCTCGTTGTACGTGCACATGGTTGGGTCGACGATATCTTGAGGATCCGCGATCAGCTTGTTGGTGAAGTCATGCAACAAGGTTTCGTTATTGGCTTGAACCTCTGCGACGCGAGCTTCTAACTCGGAGGTAAGTTGGTCAGAGACCTCCTTCGCCTCGAGGAGATGGTTGATCTGGCCTTCTAAACCTTTGATGTTGTCACGAAGGTGGCCATTCAGGTCAGTGGCTTGGGAGAGCTGTCCCTGGAGCCATTGGTTGACTTCGTCGACACGGCCGTCTCTCTGGTGCAATTGTCGGTCCAAGGAATCTCGCTCCTTGATCCCCTCCTGCAGCATACCTCGCATATATTCAGAGTCAGCCTTTGCCACTTTCGCTGCTTTGCAAACATGATTGTAGGAAGCCATGATGGCTGGGACATCGAAACCAGCAGCAGTAGCATTGACGACATGATGGTATTGAGGTGGAGCAGGAGTGGCTGGCTTCTCTTCAAGTTGGCGTTTGGTCGAAGCCAGTTCTTGCTGCAACTTCAATATCAGTTGGGAAGCATCATCTGATTCAGCCTCATACAAACTGCGTTGACGTTCAGCCTCGCGCAGCTTAGCTTCGGTAACGTCGAGTCTGCCTTCACAGTCGACTAGCTGTGAACGGAGACCTGAGCTCAGGGATTGTTGATATTGCAACCCTTCCTCAAGGTTGCGCACTTGGTAGGCGTGTCGAGCAAGTTGATACTCAAGGAAGTCTTGTGACCTTGCAAGATTGGAGGCTGAAGCATGAGCAATGCCGTCTTTCGGAGGCTCGCCATGACATTCTTCGACTGTGAGCGAGTTATTGGCATCTCCATGGCTTGTGGCGGGAGTTGAGACTCCTGTGGCTGATGCGAAGGTGTCTTCATTTTCGCAGTAGAGGTGGCAAGGCTCTTGGGCTATGCTGGAAGTATCGCCAGTTTCGCTTTGCGACGAGGAGTCATCGAGCTGGACATCATCCTCTTCTTCAATGACCCCAACTGCACCGTGCAGAGCACCAGCGACACCGCCCGATCCACGAGCCAAGTCACTATCTTCAATTTCAATTTGGTGAAGAGATGCCACCATATCATGTGCAACGATTTTCCGGTATTCCCTGACGCAAGAGGTTTTCAAGACACCTTGCCAGAATCGCTCGGCCTCAGAAGCAGAAGTGGCAATCAAACGGTTCCAGACTCGATGGTAGGCGAATTCACCTCCAAGATAAGTTGGAAGTCTGTAGAAGAAGAGTGCAGCGGTGGCCGAAATGGGTGATGATGCTGATATTAGTGGCTGAGACGAGGAGGAGAGGTGTGCTGATGTATAAAGGTAGGTTGCCGGCCTGTACAAGGTCATTGCTGTTGACCATGGTCTATAAGGGACCCGTGCGCCCAAGTCGTGCACGCTGGGAGCATCTCGCTCCTCGGACAACGGCACTTCAGGGAGATCTTCAAGATTGTCTGCTGTTACAACAGTGCCGCAGATGTCAACTTCGTCTTCCTTGCTGATGTCATTCATGCGAGCATAATGCGACTTGGTGCATGTATCTGGCCGGGCTGGTGCTGTGCGATATTAGAGAGCTGGGCTGAGATGCATCGTGAGAGAGGTCTTACATGTGTTAAGAACGTCTGCTGTTCTATCAAGCTCCACCGGGATGTCTGATTCCGAGCGCGGCTTTTCTTGCTTCTTTGCGCCGTGTGCTCTTATCTGAGCGGCCGTTAGACTTGAGAATGGTAAGGCTTGGATTATTGCTTACCTGTCTTGCAGCCTCGAGTAGGGAATAGCCAAGCCCGACGGCTAGTGCTCCCACAACTACGGCAGAGACTGATCGAGACGGCATCTTGGTTGATCAACGTGCAGGTCCCGTTTGCTCTGAGGTGGGATTGTGATTTGGTAAGTTTGCAGCGATTCTGCTTGCATGCAGATGCCTCTCTCGCAGAGAAGATGGTAGTGAGGGGATAGGAGTGGTCAAGGTAGGTTCTGAGTGGCGCTTTTCCCAAGAGAATGATCTTAGGTAAGAATCCAGATGAGACAAAGGTAACAAGAAGCAGGATCAAGATGGCGAGCTCGAGGCAGAGAGGACAGCAACAAACGCGCAACTGCCCAAGCAGTCATGTTGGTTGCTGGGACAAATCATATTCGGATTCACCTTTGCGAGCGTCGTTGCTGCGAGAACGCTGCGGAGTGAAGGCGAAGAGTGAGTTTGATGTGTATATCCAGAGAAGTGCCTCCGCCAGTGAAGTGGGAGGAACCGGAGCGGCCGAAGCTCAGCCCGGAGACATATTTGGGAGGTATCGACAGTATGGCCTGACCCCAGGAGCCGTGGACGACGTGTCTCACGTGGCTCAGAGCACCTTGGCGAGCATTGTGAAAAAACGCGCAAGAAGGCCAGGTAAGGAAGCGGCAACATGCTGGCTAACGGTCCGGGGGTCCAGCTGCACAAGTGTATACATATACATATGGCAATAGAAGAACCGCAGCCGCTGGCGTTCGCCATTTTCTGTGCCGGAGTGTAGAAAGCATAGGAGGTCTCTCCGGAGGTGATGCATTCTAGAGACAAAGGCGGCCCGGGGGAAGGTTCTCTTGTATGCCGCAAATGGTAGGCAAGGATCATGTCTTTGTGGCCGGTCTGCGAAGGGCGAGGCCTACGGAGGTGGGTACTGGGACAGTGGGGATTATATTACACAAAGGATACAAACACCAACAACAGAGACAAGCCGAATCCAAGAGAATCCCAGCAAGAGAATCATCCCGAACGTGGGAAGGTTCTTTCGAGCATTGATTGAACGCGTTAGGGGCTCGAACGGCAATGCAGACATCTGCTACATGTATACCATGACAGGAGCATATGAGTTAAGAACAACCGTGACTCGGCCGAGCAGTGTACCCTTTGACTCTGCAAGCATTGCGCTTGCAGTGGTTGTTCCTATTCGTGAAATGCTCGTGCCGTGCTCATGTCTGTTGATACACCAAGGACCGGAATTTGCGCCTTCCTCAGAAAATCATGCCACATCTCGCGGACCATTTCCTCCGTGTTCACCAAAGGGACAGCATGAGTTCTCTGCACAATACCTAGGTAATAAAGTGGTCCACTCGAGCAGAATTGTGTAGCACAGCCTTGCACAGACCCTCCCTGACGCTCGCCTTGGCTAGGTGTTCGCTTACTAAGTTCATGATTACGTAAGCGACAGCGTGTGCCAGGCCCGTGGTTAAGTTCCCGGAAAGCAGATAGCCGACTCCTGTACTCCGTACTGTAGTACATACGGAGTACGGAGTACGGAGTGCCTGCACCCCTTTTTCCAGCTTGTGCCAGCCCTACCAACGAACCCCTGACTAGTACTGCGCCCGTCGCGCGCAGCTAGCCACGCACACCACAATCCCGCGCGTTGAGAAGTCCACAATGCAGTCCCAATTTTCAAGCCTCGCTTCGGGAGTGTCGCACGCATGCTCCTGCCCGTGGGTGTGCAGTGGTGAAGCGCTCGCTCGTTGCTACACGAGAGGACATGCATGGCAAGCCGACGAAAGCCATGAGAGCACCTTGACATGCACGCTCATTCTCAGATGCGGGGCGCAACAGACATAACACACGGTATATACACTACAAGCATTTATTCATACGTACAGCGGCCACTGCATTGGGGTTGGCTAGCCCATCCTGTCTCTCGCATACTCCCTACGAATTCCACATCCACAGTAACACCGACATGGCTAACGCAAGCGACATCATCACATACATTGGCGTTCCGCTCGCCGTGCTTGGCGTGCTGCCCATTCTCTACACCTTCATGCTCTCGATCCTGACGCAGCGGCGCATCCGCTCGCTCCTCGTCCACCACGGTCACCGACCTGTCTCGACGTCGCGGCCGCACGACGGGTTCACGCTGCGCAGCTCGCCCATGACGAGTATGGTGGAGGTGGAACTGCCACGGTACACGATTGCGCCGCTGGACCGGCACGAGGAGGAATACTGGGTGGGTACAGAGGAGGGAATCGACGCTGGAAGCCACGAACACCATCACCTGCTCGAGCGGGGAGATCGGGCGGAGAGCACACTGAGCATGATCGAGGAGGGCCGCGTGAGAGGCTATCTGAGGGGCGGGTCGTGGCGGGCGTTTCATTGGAGAAAGCTGATCGTTGGGCGTAAGTTGTACAGGATCCAATATGAGGATGAGCTGAGGGAGCCTCCGGCGGAGGTTGGGTTTGAGGCGCTGGTGGTCTTTCTGTTGGACTGGGGCGCCGTGCCGGACAGTATGGGGTGGGAGAAGTTGAGGACTGGGGGACTGTGGACGCCGAGTGGGACGGTGTTGTTGAGGAGGACGGGTTCCACTCAGGATCACGAAGAGGGCGAAGAGAAGATGAGGAGGCAGAGGGCGAGTGATTGGGTGTTGAGGACCAGTATGCCGGATGAGAGTGACGGCATTTTGAGCCTAACTGTACGCTGGCCCAGGAATGATGGAGCATTAGGACTGGGAGGGTCAGCCTCAGCGTCGGTGGCGGAGATGCGAGGAGCCGCGAGCTTGCCGCCGGGCTGGGGCAGGCTTAGGCAACCGGCACCCTTGGAGGCTAACGACAAGCGTGCAGAGAACGAGAAAGATTTGCCGGCTCGGATAGAGGAGCTGAAGGCCGCGCACAAACACAGCGTGGACAGCACCAGCTTTCGCTTTCACGCCGAAGACAACCGCATCCAGAGACTGCTTTGGGAACACAACGACGTCGAGACAGGGTTCGTGTGCGAACCCTTCCGCTACTACGAGCAGTCTACGGCCGGACTTTGGTTCACTTGCGTGACTTCGGCCCTCTTGTCTCAGAAGGGGCCAGGCGGTCTCTGGGCGTTTGAGATCCCTGCTGACATCAAGACGTTTGTGCGCAAAGACAGCATACCCTGTGGTGTGATGGTTATTCTGGGTCTGCTTCCGGAGCAAGATGCACCTCAATGGTCAAGCGAGAGGGATAACCGGAACGAGGGTGCCGAACGGGGACGGATCCAGCATCAAAAGCTCACAGCGCGCATGGCTGCTGAACGGTTGGAGGCCTCTATGCCGCCCGAACAGGCGAGGATCCACCGCGCAAATAGGCAGGCGAAGGACCTGCAAGAATTTCACAACGAGATGGTCGCGAGCAACGCGGCCAGACATGAACGAGGAGAGAGGATGATCAAAGACGCGATTGCCAGTCCGAGGATGAGCATCAAGAAGGTGGCAGAGGCGTGTTTGGTCTGGCTCATTGAGAAGGGCGAGGTTGGGAAGGAGTGGACAGTAGAGCAGCTCGCAGAGGCTGTCCTGTATCTGATTGTCGTTGACCTGCAAAGACAAAGGCGGGCTGAAGAGGGCCAGAATGTGGATCAAGGCGACGCCTCGGGGATTGTCCGCATTCTGGATGAATGGATGTCCTGGGCGACTGCGGGAGGAATGAAGAAGCAGCAATACCACATGCTCGAGGGCGAGAAGGACAAGCTGGCGCTCTGCTTGGCTGTTTCGCTGGTCGCCGTGGTTGCTGAGTCTCTGAACTCGAGCAGTGCTGGCAGGGGGAAAGTTGGACTGGATATGTTGGAATGTCTCCAGCTGTGGAGGAAAGTGAGGCTTGGGTGATGACCGTATAGAGGACACTCACTCGGCCTAACCTCGACGTAGCTAGTATAATGCCGTCTTGTTGTGCCGCCGTATTTCTTTGGACGCTTTCTATCACGAACCACAGAGCCAAAGGCAGGGCAATGAATATGATGAAATAACTAGACGAGGGTCTATCTGTGGAGTGCGCAAAGGCGCAGATGGCATAAGGCCAGCTGCGCAGTCTGTGCGGTCACGTGCACCGACTATGATTGGTCAGTCGAAGTAGGCCGTGACACTCTTCGACTGGGTGGGTGCTTAGTCATCACAGGACGCCTGGCGAGCCGGGGGCTGGTGCTTGACCAAACACACCTCTTCCCCTCCACGACCTGTGTAGTATCTGACCATCGTGGTTTCGAATCGCCGAACCTGTCAATGTCGAGATGGGAAGCAAAACTCCGCAAAACGAAGGTCGTAGAGACAACGGTACGTAGTCACTTTCGCTTTCAGATTCGAGTCACTTAGCGCTGATTCCATAAGGTGGCCCATCTAATTCAGATGGAGCCTATCGCGTCGGCGGTGAGCCTCGGGGTTCGCACATGTCTCGAGATGGGGATGGCTGTCTCGGAAGCGGGGGAGGCGATGACGCGAGTGACGGCGATGGCGACGGCGAAGGCAAGGAAACGAGCCTGGGACCGCTAGACGCCTCGTCACCAGCTGCTGAAGTTGCCGACGCACCGAAGAAACGGAAGAAGCCCAAGAAGAAAAAGAAGGGGCCAAAGCCTCTGCCTCTGCCTACCAAGCAGTCGTCACCACCGCGAGTCTTGCTGAGCAACCTCTTCCCCTCCGGCGAGTATCCCGAGGGTGAAGTGCAACATTACACCTCAGCCCCAACGGCAGCGGCCGAAGCACGCTACAATGCCCGTCAGAGCTCGGTCGACGACGTCTTCCTCCAGAACTACCGCAAGGCCGCCGAGGTCCATCGCCAGACTCGACAATGGGTCCAGGAAAGCGTCAAGCCCGGACAGACACTCCTGGACATTGCCGAGGGGATCGAGGATAGCGTCAGGGCCCTCCTGGGACATGCGGGACTGGAAACGGGAGACAGTCTCAAGGCCGGCATGGGCTTCCCCACCGGTCTCTGCCTCAACCATCAGGTCGCGCACTACACGCCGAACCCGGGTCAAAAGGACGTCGTGCTGCAGCACCAGGACGTCCTGACGGTCGACTTTGGCGTCCACATTAACGGCTGGATTGTCGACAGCGCCTTCACCATGGCGTTTGACCACACGTACGACAATCTTTTGGCAGCTGTGAGGGACGCCACTGATACGGGAGTCAAGGTGATCGATGACTTCCCGACATGTATCCCTAAACCAGCGGCACATGTGGGCTAACGAGCATACTAGGCCGCCGGGGTTGACGTGCGCATAAGCGACGTCAGCGCTGCGATCCAAGAAGCGATGGAGAGCTACGAGGTCGACATCCGCGGCAAGACCTTCCCCGTGAAACCGGTGCGCAACCTCTCCGCCCACAATATCAAGCAGTACCGCATCCACGGCGGGAAGTCGATCCCGTTCGTCAAGAACAGAGACCAAACCAAGATGGAGGAGGGCGAGGTCTTTGCCATTGAGACGTTCGGCACGACGGGCCGCGGCTATGTACACGATGATGTGGGCTTAAACCCTCCCAATGCGATGCGGATTTATTGCTAACGGCGCATGCGCATCAGGTGGGCATCTACGGCTACGGGCTGAATCACGATGCCCCATTGACTGTACCTCTCCCCTTGGCCTCAGCCAGACGCCTGCACAAAACGATCAGAGAGAATTTCAGCACGCTGGTCTTCTGCCGGCGCTATCTCGACAGGCTTGGATTGGAGAGGTATCTCGCTGGCGTAAGTACCGTACCACATGAATAGCGAATCTGGTATCGTGGAAGTCGTCGCATGCTGACTGATACGCTCGCTGCAGATGAATTCTCTCGTCTCCCACGGGATCGTGGAGGCTTATCTACCGCTGGCGGATGTTCAAGGATCGTACTCGGCCCAGTTTGAGCACGTAGGTTCTTGCTACACTCTAGGCGCCTGTAGCAGGCAGGGCTGACCATGTTCTCAGACTTTCCTACTGCGGGAGACGCACAAGGAAGTCTTCAGTCGCGGCGCCGACTATTAGATGACAACCCTGGGGAAATCGATCTGGGCGTGTACGCTGCCCTGGCTTAGCCGGTTGATGAGTCGTACTTCGTCCATTGGTGGGACGGAGGAGAGGACTGACTCCCTTGGTGCTGGTTTTTGTCCCCTCCGGGTTTTTCCAGCACCGTGACGCGAATGCGAAGGGATGTCTTGAGCTACTGTGTTTTGCAACAGAATGGGCGTATGAGGGCACTTGTGTCGTATATGGAATGAAACCACAAAATCACCGTACTTCGACCTTCCTCTCGTCTTTGCACTTGGACCTCGCCTGTGCACAGTCTTCCGACCAATGCCTGAAATGCGGGGCTGTGTTCGGAAAAGCCCCTTTCCATACGGAGCAGACACTGCGGTTCGGCTCCTGGGGTGCCTGGATACGACCGTGCACGCCTGCATCTAACGCCCCAGCCGCGGCTCACTGATTGACGTGGTACTCGTATCGGGATTTTGGCATGCCCATTCCTCTTACTCGTACACGCAGTTTGAGAAACGCCTCTCAGTCCCCTGGTAGACCTAACCAGACTGCGTAGTGATTATGACAGAGTATTGCAGGGAGAGCCGCGACAGTAAGCTGAACCGTGAAAACCGCCTACCCCGTATGCCTGCGAGGGTCACGACGGCGGAGCAGCCAGTGTGTAGGGAAGATTGTGTGCGGGCGGAATGCTGCTCTAAAATTCGCACAAATTCAGCCTCACAAGAAATTGAAAAAAGAACCGCGCGCAATCTGCTGGAAGCACGTTGCATGCATTGTCTCCCTGGAAAAGAAAAAAAAATGCAAAAAGAGAACTGCATGTGCATCAGCCGTGAATCGAACACGGGGCCCATCGATGGCAACGATGGATTTTACCACTAAACCACTGATGCTGGAGCACGGGTGAGATGGAAATCTCTGTGCTGATTGTTAGGCTCAATTTGAGGAGCATAATATATATCAGCATTGTTATGCTGATTGGCTAGGCTGAAGCTTAGTGATCTTACAGTACGGAGTATGCTGGGCTGGGTCACCAATGGTGTCGCTTAGGCTTAAGTGAGGGACCTCTGGAGGCACACGAGGCATTAATCTGTGCCATTGCTGTCGACGACACAGTACTCCATACTAGGTACCTGCATCTTTCTCTAGTAGTCTCTAGTGCAGACTTCCTGAATGCGTGCGTGCGTGTGTCCATGCTTGCAACCATCTGTGGAGAAAGCATTCAGGTTCTGCTGCTTCGGACATTGTTGTCTACATAACTACTAATCCCGCTGCACGAGACCATGCAGACGCCGGAACATCTCCATATATACAATCATGCGCACCCAAGCCTTCCTATATCTCTGTAACGCCAACCGCAAGCAGCCACACCCTGCTAAATATGTCATTAAATGCAACGGAGAGACAGCCAGCCGCTTGTTATGATCGGCCGAGAACCTTCTTCAAGACCTCCCCTAGTTTTGCCTCACAGTCATCCCGCAGATCCATCGACCTCCAGGCGACGAATCGATCGGGTCTGACAAGGATACATCCGTCTTCTTCAACCTCTCGCCTTCGCTCCCTGTCAAGAATGTGTTAGTAGGGGCCTTCGATGCACAGCACAGCAGAGAGCCTTACCAATCGCGATAAACATCAATCCACTCTTGTCCCCAGCCGATGGTATGTGTGCTGATCTCGATCCCAAGCTCCTTGCCTAGCTTTTCCGCTGCCTCGATCCACTTTTTACCACCAATGCCGGTGATGAGCGAGAACCTCCCATGGCCAGCGAGATCAATTGTCGAGGTATGGTTCTTGATCGGCATGGTCTTGTTCAGCCATGCATGCGGTAGTCGATGACCCGGATAGGTGCTGACTTTATGGTGCAGGATTGGGTCCTCCGGCCACTCGGGTTTCGGCGTGCCAGCCTTTATTTCATCATCTAGGTAGACGGCCGCGGAGTCGTATCTGTGGTTCATCTCCACGCCGATGCCGTGAAACTCGTGAGCGGTGCCCTCGATGGCCGCATTGACCCGTTTCCTCCGCTCTCGAGCTTCGGGCGATGCTGATTTAAGGCTGTTGAAGATCTTCATCCTCTTCTCCACGGTTTCTTCCATCAACCCCATCTCCCTCCACACGGGGACGTGGTCCCGAATGCCCTGGTTTGCGCGGGTGATCACACCTAGACCAACGGGTTGTCGTTCGTGGCTGAATGTCTCCAGGATCGAGGACGAAGCCATGCCTCGTTGGACGTACTTGATTTTCCATGCCAGGTTGAAGGCATCCTGCACACAGGTGTTCGATCCAAGACCATTGAAGGGTGGGTGTCTGTGCACGGCGTCTCCCAGACAGAAAACGTTGCCTTCGGAGTAGTATTCGGCAACGATCTCGTTAATGTACCATTTTGAAATATCCAGGATCTCCAGCGGAAGATCGTCTCGGCCGACGATTTCTTTGCATCTCTGCACGTATTGTTCGTGAGTGGGCTCCTTCCATTCCGTGCCAGGCTTGGGGAAGAGGATAAACATCCACCTATGGACGGTGCTTAGTGAGATATTCCGTTCGGACTCGACAGCTGTTGACTTACTCATTCCATGGCTTCACCATTCTAATCAGACCACTCCAAGCAAAGTCGGGATATTCCCGTTCAGGTTGGAATACCCAATGCAGGTTTCCCTTTCTGGCTTCGACGTATTCGCTCAGATCCACCTTGACCAAGACGTTGATGGCCAGACCCTGGCCGGGTTTCTTGTTCAGAGGGATCTTCAGTTCGCGGATGACTTGACTTCTTGCACCATCACATCCGAAGAGATATTGTGAGCGAATGAAATACTCGGTCTGGGTCAAATCATCACGCACTCGGCTGAGGATCTTGCCATCATCTTCCTTTTTGAAGTCGACGATGCTGGTTCGGAACCTGACATCCCACCCTTGGGATGACGCTCTTTGGACCAGAATGGGCTCAAATGTGGTTTGGGGAAGGTCGACATGATGGCAAGGGGTTGCTGCTTCATACTCCCCGTGGCGCTTCGGATCATTGCCCCACGAATAGATGCGGCCATACTCCTCCCCGGTCATGTCGTGGCACCAGCGGGTGTGAATCATGCAGTCACCCTCCACTGCCTGGTCCAAACATGTCTGCTCTAAGTCGATGTCTCTGAGACATTCAAAGGCGGCGGGGTTAGTGATATGTGCCCTGGGTGTTTGGGACGTCGTCGGTGCTGCAGAGATCATGATGCCCGTCATGGAGTAGGGTGGGTGTGATAGAAAGCATGCCAGCGAGCCACCTGCTGGTCCGGCCCCGAGAATGAGGAATGGCGTTTCCACAACCTTCGACCTGATCTCGGGAACGCCATTAGTAACCACTGGACCAGACATGTTGTGGAACGTGATGGGATACGAAATCAAGGTGCTCTGGGAGTGAGACGTAGACGGTAGGTGTTGTTTTGAAAGAAAACCTTGATGTTGCCGTCGACCTATTGTGCATATATACTCATTCGATCAGGTCACGAAGTCCCCTCGGGAAAACCCCCCATTTCCCCGGATCCATAGCATTGCACGGTGCGGGAGGTGGGGAGACTGTGCTGGCCACGTCGGCCAATAGTCGCACTGCTGTATGGTTTTCGGCGAGCTTGGGCTTTCCCTGTGCGTCTCCGGAACTAAGCGAGGTAGGATGATGCATGCTTAGGGTGCTTGCCTTCGTGGTTGACCGTCTGGCAACGGGTCGGAAAGGGTCGAGGGAGCCAATCTGCTAAGAGGATCAATCACATAGTGCTCGCAAAGACTACCGTAATCGCCTCCGAGGGCTGGATCCAAGTGGCTGTTTTGATACTTCCGAGGTTCTACTCCGTATGCTGGCGGCGGTTGGCGGAAAGCACAGCTTCCGGCCCCCGGTGAACCTCTTCTTTCCCGCAATGACCGCTGAGGCGCCGGGAATCGAATGACATCACTGTCACCTTACACCTACCTAGATACCTCGCACCTGCCTCAGGTCTGCGCCGTTCCGCTCCATCTCTTACCGGTCTATACCTAGGTACTTTGGTAGACTGCGATAACCGCCCACAATCAGTTGCTTCACGGCATTGGTCACCGACCCTCTCGAGTTCCCTTGACAGTGAGACACAGTTGACTTCCTGGATCTCACCTCCACAGTCCAATTCCCTCGACCACCTACACCATCGCAACCATGATCCTTCGACCTCTCGTACGCTCCTCCTATGCTTTGCCCTCGATCGCCAGGTCTATACCAGCTCCGATATCTCGGACAGCCTTGAGGCGCCCTCTTCTCGTAGCTTTCGGCCTGACAGCTTCCCTCCCTTTCATCCAACCTTCCTCCATCATCCGCCTCGACTCGTCGCCCTCCTCTCCTTCCGCGGCAGAGTTCAGCAGCTCGCCATACTCACATTCACGCAACGCTAAGACACCGCTCACACGAGATGGCAGGTCCATCAATCCCGCTGCCGTCAAGCAAATCAGTCTGGGCTCCATCTTAGGCTTGGGCCTGGGACTGGTCGTCTCCGCCTTCTCAACGAGCCTCACATTGTTGATTGGGTTGGGCATCGTGGGATGGCAACTGGCGGCGCGAAGAGGATATAACTTGATCCCGGTGGATCGACTCCAGAGATATTTCACGAACATCAATTTGCGAAGTGCCATCAATGACAACCTAGCGTTTAAGATCAGCTTTGGCTTGATGTTTGCACTCTCTGCGTTTGGCGAGTTTTGAGGTCGGTCATGGCAGAAAGGCAACTCAAGTCTGATCAGAGTTCATGTGGTGATACCCTGGGTCGACTGCGGCTGACCTCTCGAGCTGTCTATCTACTGCAACACGACATGTTACTCAATCATGCCACGCCACTTTTGAAACCACTGGGCCTCCTTCGCATTCACAATCACCGTTTATTCTCGATATCGGCAAGATGATTAATCTGGCCACATACCAGCTCTTGGCTCTCTGACGCCTTTTGCGCTTTCGAACTACTTTACGTCCCCTTCAATCGACCCTCCGTTAGCCACTGGGACACTTGTACATACGGATCACTGTGTCGATGGAGTAGCACATGGTTTTGATTTAGGGAAGAGTAATGGGTTGGCGAGTGTTCCGGTGGCGCCTTTTCGGTGCAGGGACTGTCCTACGCTACTCGGTGGATGTCCTGGGCAACATTGATTATCTGGGAAATTCAGATGGATCCATCTGTCATCTCAACTGATCTTTCAATACCGGAAGGTAAAGTATCAAAGTGTGGCCGTAGCTTCCAGTAATCGCACAGAAGAGCAGCTGCCCTCGGCCAATTTGCACCCGTGCTATCTCGCCATGCCTCTTACTCGTACCCTATGCTTTCACCATCACTAGCCCCAAACCCATGCGGTGTTTCTTGAATGTGGGAGAAATGATGAGGAAGAAAGTAGACTGAAACTTTTTGAAGACATCGTCAAGAGGATCATTATTCCCACCCCAAACGCGGAGGTCACACGCAGGGCTTCGTACACCTCTGGCACCGTCATATTCTGTTCGTTCCTAGTGTAGAGAAAGCAATCTCCTGACCGGCATGGTGAAGCTGTCCGTGAACCAAAAATACTGCTGCCTTAAAGGCGTTCTCGTAATTTGGTTTTCCCCTCCAAACCCCCCCCCCCCCTCTCCTCTCTCCACCCAAATTTAGATTTTACTTAGATACTGTATGATCTAACTCTAGTGGCTTACTGTGTACCTCTCAGAGGAGGGGCTGAGAGTGTATGTATGCAAAAAAAGCTCAAAAAATGGGCGCAATCCAGGGTTCGAACCTGGGGCCTCTCGCATTTATGCTTAGAGTAAGCCCTACTTTATGGATGTTAGACTTGCGCGCATCGCCTGGGACCTTCCTGGGGTGTTTCTTACAGCGAGAATCATACCACTAGACCAATTGCGCTTGAAAACCGTGTAGAGTTGGTGTTGCTGCGATTTGATTGAGTTTTACCAGACCCAAATCTATATACATGAAGCAAAATTTAAGTCGACGACGAGCTCCCCACGCTTAACCTTATTATGCCTAGCGCCAAAATAGCTCTTCCGGCTACCACTGTGCCATCTAGTGATCACAGATTGCTACCTAGGTAATATCCAAGTCCAATAGATCTTGTGCCTGCGTAAGTGTTGTCAACGTCCTTACCACTTCTTCCTTTTTCTGGCCCGGCGGGAATACAGACGCCAAGTGTTCCAACCTAACGCTTATGTTTCGCCATTTCAGCTTCTTCTCGTACTGGAGGAGTGTATCTTGTGTCGCTGGTACGGATTCTTCCTTCGTCGACGGTACTGATTCTTCGTCCACTAATCTTTAACCGACACCTTCCAAGATGTATCTCAGCGGGTACGGCAAGGTATCAGTGGCCTGCCTAGGATCTTGGTGAGTACTGCCCGGGGCGAATACATGGGTCAGGCGTCCTTACACAGGAGTCCGAAAATCTTAGATGACTTGCCTAGCAAAAGGCCAGGCGCGATCATTATTGACCATGCCGAGGAACTTGCTGGCCGTCTCCTTCTCCTTTAGTTCATCCCAGTCAGCCTGGCTGGCCGGATCTGACTTGAGGTATCTTATGTAGTCCACGACGAGAATGATGAACCAGGCTCGACCTCTTTCGGTGTTGAGGTCATCGAACCGTGACAGGTCTTTCATTCGTCCTGCGTCAAACTTTAGGGTCGCCATGTTCTACGCTTTGTCAGTAAAATCTGCAGGGATCAACACTATCAGACTTACACTGTTGGATCGCGGAGTGGGACTATAAATGTGGTGTGAGACCGCCACCCAGCGACTTCAGAGTGCGACCCGTCGTCTTTTCTAGACACAATTGCGTAGAGAGAACGTTATGTACCACCAACCAGAGCCAGCGGAATTTCAGCCAGTACTCACTGCTCTAACCCGGGAAGACCGACGGCGCCATGCAGCCCACGTTCCCCATTAGACATCTCGTGCTCCTTGGTCAATTTATCCGTCACTACTGGAACCTTTACCCTTCAATCTGTGGCGCCACCAGGCCACTCCGGACAGACCGGGGACGCTTCTACAGCCCGTCACACCTCGTCACCGCTCTCCCCCCTCTAAAGTCTCGTTCTCCTTGGTCGCCGCTGCAAATAACCTCCCAACCAATATCCCATATGTCGTGACACATTCCTCTCCAGTTGATGGCCCGTCTCTGTACAAGGCGTCCAGCGCATGCAGGATTCCTCGGCCACCCGCGACCCTCCACCTGCCGAAAGCACCCCACGTCGACTCCTCTCCTATCCAGACACATCTCTGCGGCCATGCCCTCCCCGACTGGCGCCTGAAACGTCTTTCGCAGAGTGCGTGCATGTCTCTCGAGCGGAAGACGTAAGGTTTTGGACTGAGGTACACCGTCACCGGAGCTGCACTCAAACCATCAAGCTGAGGCCTCTCCAGTTGAACGTGTTGAAGTTCCACGTCAAAGGGTAGTACAGGAATTGCATCGTCGACCCATCCGTATACACTGACCAGGCGATGCAGACGTCCTTCGGGCTTCAGCAACTTCCACTCCGCTTGTTCTGCCTCGGTCCACTCGTGCGGCAGGTAGAACAACGCCGGAAGTGATCTCCAGGCTTTGTATGCGTGAAAGTTTTCCCGTTCGCCCCTTGTTTTGGCCCATCTCGGTGGGAGGTGGAAAATGAAGATCTACAAGTATTCCACTCGTGAGCCCTGGAGCCTCTCCTTCGAATGCTGAGGCGGTGGCCTACCTTCCCCTGACCGTCGTCGCAGCACAACTCCGTTAGAGCTAACGCGACGCGTGCCGCCACGTCCAGGTGATTATTGTACAGGTCTACACCGACCGACACCCAGGCGTTTCGAGGACGGATGTTTCCCTCGCTGTCCTCGTCGTAGAACCTCACATCCGGTGTCATCTTTCGCAACAGGTTGGCGTCCGTCTTTTCCACTTTCGCCGTATTGTTTCTCGCCATTCTGTGCTGGGTGGAGTTTCGGTCGGCACAGATGTTGCCCAAACTGCCTTTTGAGAGCGGGCATTCTTGATTTTGTTGTGGCGAAGGGGGGAAGATATGTCTTCGAGCACTCTCCTCCTCGTTCGACGAAACTAGTCAGCGTCTGCCTGTCGACCCACGTCGGGTGCTGCCACGGGGACGAGCGCCGCTTGGTCGCAGGTGGCATTGTCCTGCTTTCTGCGAGTTGGCAACGAGTATTGGCTCTCGTCGTCTGGTCACATGGGACCGGCCCGGATGCATATGACTTCTGCGTCAAAGCGGTGGTCTGCTGCATTCAGAAGGCACTTAATAACTCAGACGCGAATCTAGGCCTTTTGTTGCCCCGGGTTCTGCTTAGAAGAGTCTGGTCGTCGGTTGGGGGTCTGTGCCGTCCACAAAGTACGACGGCACATGCGAGACTGACCCGGCCATAATGGCCGCGTGCGCCCAAAAAGAGACCAGACCTGCTTACTTTGACAAATAGCAGGCCGGTGGTACAGAGACGCACGACACGGTCCCCGACATGACGTTGTGGTGCCCTTTCTCGCGAAACGGCATGTTTGACATGTCGAATCGGTGACGGAGCCCAGGTTGGGTGAATTTTTCTCACACAAAGAGGTGTCTGGCCCCTGTGTGCTCACCGCTGCGCGGAACCCCAGGGTCGTGTACACTCAATAGCCCTTTCTTCGGCCTCGGTGGATCACCCGCCTTATCCAACATCAGTCTTAATCGTTGCTGCTCAGCAAGACGCGAGGAGATCTCTGCAACCGTCGGCGTTAAAAAGCCCACCGTGGGTTTTTATCGTGCCATTCTCGACCATGGGGGCCACTCTGGATGAGATCCGCAACCTTGTCCAAGGCGAGCTCATCAGGATCCGCAACTCGAACGGCGCAGTCTTCGAAGCAGACTGCAGTGCCATCTTGGGAAGAGGGCTCCCGGAGTTCGTGCGTGGTGCTGAGGGAGCCACTGCTGATGCGGGTCTCCTCGTACAGTGATGGGGTGACACACAGCCAGAGGAGCGCCTGGCGAGAGTCCTGGAGTCAGAGAAAGCCGTTGAGCTTGAACCTCGAACGCTCGTGGCGGTCGATTTCAAGACGATCATGCCGTGTCTCAGTAAAATGGAAAACAACGACGGTTGCTACTACTACCAGATCAACTGCTCGCGGGAGCAGAAAGAGAGCTGCGCGGCTTTTATCGTATGTAGCCCCGCCTCACCACATCTGGTCGCGGTGATCCCTCTATACTATCTGGAAAAGAGTGGGCGGGGTCTGGTTGGTAAAGCAGAACCGACCGCCTTCATAAGCAGGAAAATCCCCTTTTTCGGCGAAACAATCGAGCCGTATCCTCTCGAATGGACTCCTTTCGTGATGCCCGTGGACTTTGTCGACAAGTCCCTTGACCTACTCGGGCAGTTCGCCTCAGGCAAGATTACGAGTTGGTAAGCGGTTCTTTCGCTCACATCACGCCGTGCGTACCTTTCTCGCTAACGAAACGTTACAGGAAAAACCCTTACAACGGAATCGTCTTCAGCAAGTGTCCTAAGCCGACCCTGTCCGACACCCGTATACTTCTACCTCCAGCCAATTCGGCTCTCACGGACTATTCCTTTCTCGAGCACCTCCGACGCGCCTTCCTGGCGCACGGAGGTGACTATCGTGTGGACACGCCGCGAATACGTGCATCGGGCGGAGACCTTGTGGTAACACACATCCCCTCCCGCGCACGCGCCATGTTGGAGGTCAAGCGAAGACTACTGCGGTTTCTCGACGACGAGACCATCGTGCACGAGGCCTATCGTGTGAACCGACAAGACCGGGGGTGCATCTTCACTCCTTTCACCGCTTGGGATTTGTTTTTGAGCACCGCCAATTCGGGAGATAGAGCAGTCCTATTATCTCGGGATGATTTACCTCTCGATTGGTTCCATGAACGGCCGGACTCCACGACACGCACAGGGAAGTTCACGGAAGAGTTCCTCAAGCGGCATACAGTCCGAGGTATCAAAGCCGCCGGCCAGCGGCCGGCCGACACCCATGCACAAGAGGGACTTGTAGACCAGATGGTCGTCCTCTTTGATCGATTCCGAGAGGAAGGAAAGTTCTGTGCGCGCACGACCACAGACGCGCTGAAGACCTTGCCTAACAAGGACGATAAAGGGCTCGGAGATGCGTCTCTTCTCACGGACGGCAGGAAGCCAGAAGTACAGATCACCCTCCCCTCAAGGTCAGGACGCGAAGGAGACCAGGAAGGACCAGGACGTACGAGGGTCCTCTTCAAGCGCCGAATGTATCCGTCGCAGCAGGCCGCCATGCTCAACAGGGTTTGTGCTGAAAAGTGAGTACATGTTGTCCGACTCACCTGGCGTTCTAACGAAGGACAGTGGAAACTATGCCGTCCACGAACTCGGTCTGCACCCGTCAGCGACGCACGTCTTCGCGCTCGGACGGGCAAACAGCATCGTCGAGCTACATCCCGATACGCCCATGATCTACCTAAACTTCGCACAAGTTGACATGCTCCAATTTCGTCCACATGATAAGAGGAGGCCGTCGGCACTATTCGCCGCGACTCATGGAGAATCCAAGTCCATCTACATCCTGAACCCTGTCCCGAATGACCTCGACGAGCGGCCGCACAACTATTTCGTCCTCCCTTCCGAAGCCTTAGCGACCGAGCGCCGACGTAAGGTGAACGACGGGCAGTTAAACCCGCGACAACGTGATGCGAAGAAGCGACCGGCCAGGCGCGCCACGCCAATCACCCTCAGGCACCGCGAACCACTTCTTGTCTATCGGGTGGCGAGAAGCGGTCTGGAAGCGTCTTTACTCCGGATTTTTCAGCAGCGACTTAATTAGGAATGTTTACTCCTAGGCGACACAGAGACAGGCTTAGGCACCCAGATCCGGGTCCCGGAGTATATTCAGACCCAGCGTGCTGTCATATCTGAATACATCACGCTAATAAATGGGGAATGCAAGCGCCCAGCGACACCAGAAGGACGACCGCCGACTTGGTTGCGGTTGCAAAGCAGGTGGAAGTCGGGTCTCGAGCCTTGAGACACAAGCTGCTGGGGCATAAACGTGCCACGGACCGCCGCCAATCTCCCGTAACCCCCGAATGAGTTGTCTTATCCAAAGATGTCTTCCTGCGTCGGGGACCTGCGACCGTGGTCGCGTCGCCTCGCATCCTCAGACTGAAACTCTGGGTGTACTTGCTCGAACGGTCTGATAAGCAGGCTTCGAACATTCGCCGCCAGCCGATTGGCACTCGAGTTCGCGACCTTACTCTTCAGGCCTATCCGGTGTAGGTGAGAGAACGCTTCGTCGTGGGCCTTTCCCGACGCCGTGTACTTGTTTTTCAAGCTGCTTCCGGTCAGTGACAGCGGGGGCAAGGTGGCACAGGTCGACTCACAAATCCGGTGTCAAGTGACCGTCGAGGTAAAACAGGCAGCCTGGCCCAAACTCTTCGCAGAGGGCACTCAGCTTACTGCCATGAATGCTCCACTCGTTCACGTCGCCCAAGGCGACGTTCGCATCGACACCTTCGTACTCCAAGACGGCCCCGAGGTATTCCTGGAGGTCTCGATGCATGTTTCGCCCGACCCGGCCGGAGCCAGAAGGACGAATCAGCTTCACCAGGTCGAAGTACATGATCATGACAAAGCCCCACCGGAGGGTGTCTTTTTGGCGACGGTCCTGTAGGCTCAAGGTGTACGCGTAGCGAGAGCTGAACGCATTGCCACGGTCCGCGGAACTGATGCTGGTGCTGATCTCGTCGTCGAGGGTGTCGATGTCGAGCAGGAATATGGCCGCGTCGTCGCCGTACACGTCGAGATGCTCTCGAACAGCTTCCGGCAAACAGAGGTCAGAGGATTTGAGTCTCAAAAACCGCGACCAGGAGCTCGGGCCCGCATCGTTGGCGGTGGTCGGGGCGATGTGCGGACGCTTGGGTGATCTCGTATCGCGCTGACCGCGTGACCGGCTCCCAGCTCTCGGCTCGGATTCTGGCGACTCCTCGTCTCGGCTACTAATGTCTTCTAGTTCGTCGTCCGTGTCACCTGGCGATCCTTGTTCTCGAGGACGCTTGCCCAGACCTTTACCGTTAGTCCGGGGGAGATGGAAGCTGGCACCAGCACGGCTAGGGCTGCACCGAACCTCCACAGATGGTCGACCCATGCTCTGCGTGCACCGTGAATAACCATCCACGTCCTCTCTTGTTAACTCAACGCTGGGAGCGATGCTTCCATCTTCTTGGCCACTGAGTTCGGCGTCATGGCCACTCCCTTCTGCCCCTCTTTGCGCCTCCTCCGTCTGTCCATCCTCTGCCTCGGTCCGACCGTCTTCAGACGGTTCCCCCGTCGAAGAATCTGCGTCGCGGTCCACGTCCGTCTCGGCGGATGTCCTCAAGTTGAAGTGGCGGCTCAGCTGAAGCAATGCGAGTCTTCTTTCAGGTGTCAGACCGGCTGACGGCATTGACAGGAGTAGATTCATGTGCTGCAGCATACGTTGTTAGCAAGACGAGACCTGTTGACCAGATAATTCCCGTCATGTTGGGCGACTCCACGGGCAGGCTCCAGCCACTCGACGCGCTCGCCCGTGAATTGCTCGAACGTGGGCTTCAGCTTGGTGGCGTGCAGGTGGAAGTCGTGCACGGTGCCGATGCGCAGAAATGCTGTTCCCCGGCCAGCCGGAACTGACGCGGTAACATGAGAGTGCCGCACACGGGAGCAGAAATAGTTGGTCATGTTGGTTTCCGGTGGCAATCGTCTCGGACTGGTTGTTAGGCCGTGAGTTTCTCGCCGGCCCGCGTGCATGCTTCCAAGTGCGTTGCCGGCGATGATAAAGTTGGAGGCGAACATGGGACGAATGGATCTTGTGGTCGTCGCTACAGTAGACACAAGAAAACTGTCCACTCCACGAGCCCTGGGGCCTTTTAGTGGCCTTGGTCACACAATTTCTTGGTCGGTCAAAGCGCGCGAGAGCAATAACCCCCGAACAGAAGAGAAAAGTCGTTCTTCCTCGCAAAAAGTAGCGCGTGCAACTTGAGCATACTCGGTGATGGGAGATTGAACTTACAAAGACCAGCTGGACGGGACGGCACCACAGAAACACGTCGCGGTAGCTTCATCACCCTGGGTTCCAGCCATCGTCGGCACCGCCAGCCAGAGGGAAGTAGGGATTTGGAGTCATCAGAAGAGAGGCAGCCATGATGCGAGTTGTTTTTTCGTTTTTCTTTGCAACAATACAAAGATTCTGCAACTCTCTCGCGCAGTGATTAAGGCCCCCCTTCCTTTGAACGTAGCTCTATATACGTCAAAACACCCAGAACAGGACCGCCAAGTCGGTGACATCATCAGTAGTAGTACCAAAGACGGGACACTAGAGAAGCAGACACGGCAGGGGTAGCTGATGAGCTCCCAGCTGATGGTTGGACGATCCGCCAACGGTGGCGGCCAGTCCCATGGGGTGTAGCGATTTAGGAGGGTTCATCCTGGGGCTGGCGATGCCGCTTGACGGATGCAGGGCTTTGTCTGGGCAACCTCGAAATCCATCTGCTACGCCATACGAGGCGTGACGCTGACGCCAGCGTAATAATGGCCGGTTGAATCCGAATCATGATGCTGTTACCCTGTCATGCCGAAGTCAAAATAAAGTAGCATAGTCTGACGAGGACATGCTACCCTAATCCTTGCTCTGACTTGATGGTCCAGACTCCAGAGGCGATAGTCATCTCTGAGGGTAGATAGACATAAAGAGGTTCTCCTATCCCTTCAGACAAGATTCACTATGTCTGAGCCGGTGGCCAGCTCATCGCTATCCAGTGAATGTATCTGTCTGTGTCAGACTGTGCCTGCTGTATACCCAGGATCCTGACGGGAGCCTCCGAATCTACCGTGAATTGCAGGGAGTAAGCAGAAGTCCACACCTCCATTCTGACATGGGTAATTAGGAAGCTACTCGATCCTTCAACTTTCCCTACGCCCTGGTCTCATCGTGAAGACGCAGGATGAGGAGCCCCGCGAGCCCTGGTGTGCGCGCACTGGCAACATTATCTAGCTCAAAAGAGAGAGGCCTCAGGCTTCTCAGAAGGATCCCTTCCTGCTCACGTCAATGCTGGCGACCTGGTGGTCAAGAGGGTTTTGTTCGGTGTCCACTGCAATGCTCCCTGCTCAATAACCTTCCTCAATGCGTGGTATCCTCCCAGCCTTGCCACCCTCTGCCCTTGATCTCCTTTAACTCCTCCTCACTATAAGACTTACCCGTCGTGAAGTAGCCGGCATTGATTTTGGCGTCGATTTCGACTCTGGAATCCGTGGGGATAAGGTCTGGTAAAAAAAGAAAAATAACATTGTTAATTTAGATGGAAGACTACTTGGCGAGAGAGTGATTGAGGCGCTGTGGAAGTTGAGGGGGAAAGGAAACTCACGGTCGGGAATGGGAACTCGCTCGTGGATGGGGATGCCTTGTCCTACTATCGCATCGTACTTCATGTTGGACATGGACAGCATACGGTCGATCTTTTTGATGCCCAGCCAGTGTAGTATGTCTGGCATGAGAGCTTGGAAGCGCATCTGTGAGATTTGTTAGTACATGACGGTAAAGATAATAGGACATACTAGGGAGGAAGAGAAAATGAAAAAGCTTACATCTCTGACACCAGCAATGGCTTCAGTTCGCTGAAAATACTTATCGGCAGTGTCCCCTCCGCGTTTCCTCGAATTGTACACCAAATACTTGACCACTTCGCCCAAGGCACGGCCTTCCTTTCGGAAATAGATGACCACCCCAGAGCCTCCGGCTTGTGCCTCCTTCAGGGCCTCTTCGATCCCAAAGGCAAGGTATGGGCGACATGTGCAAATGTCTGATTGGAACACATCGGAACCATTGCACTCGTCGTGGATGCGAAGGGCCAATTTGACGCTCGGGTCCGACACTCGCTCGGGCGGGCCAAAGATGTAGACAGTCAGCCCACCGATCGGTGGCAGAAACACGCTCAGATCAGTTCTCGTGATGAATTCCGGGTAGCTCCCTCCAGTGTGCTCGAACAGGGCTCGCCGCAACGTCGTCTCATCCACTCCAAAGCGCTCGGCCACACCGGGGAGATGCCACACGGGTTCGACTGCGACTTTGGTCACGCGGACATCGCCCGCGTCGTTGAGGACGATTTTGCCGTCAACCTGCAGTCTGTTTTGTCGGAGGGCGTCGGTGATCTCGGCCACGCGCATCGTGGCCCGCGTGATGGCGATGGTGGGGCGCACGTCCAATCCGGCGGCGAGGTGGTTGCCAAAGTACTTGACAATGTCGTGTCCGTACGGGTCCATGGAGACGATCTTGGTCGGATCGGACCAGGCAGGTTGCGGGGCGAAGTCGAAGGTCGGTTGTGTGTTTGTGAGGTCGGGGCGGAAATCGCGCGGCAAGTCGCCAGCAGCCACGGCCAGTGCGTTGTAGAAGCTGTAACTCCCGCCATGGGCGCCGATCGCGTTGCGTCGCTTGAAGCTGTCAAAGCTCCGGGACACGATGATCGGCCCTCTTGTCTGGGGGTCTGCGGCGCCCCATTGTAGAGGAATCGGGTCGGCGACGCTCTGTCCCGGGTAGGTGGTTAGCACGACGCGATTGCTGTATTTCTGGGTCAGCGATAGCACACTCGACGAGCTGGAGCTGCTGGGTGTGCTTGGTCGGGAATGAGAATGCTCTTTCTCGTCGATCGCCGTAACTGTGGCCGTAACGCCGACCGCCATCTTGAGACGTGCACTTTGTGTAGTCATCGACAAGAGTGTCTTCGGTCTCTTGACGCTTCGCTCCTCGGAAGATGGGTCGGGCTGGTCGAAGTCTAGGGAATACGCCGTGTTCAGCATTTGAGACAGATCTAGCGTTGCGAATCATAAAGTATAAGAGGGCGATGGATTTTTGAGTCACACGTTGGATGGTATGGACGATAACTGCTCTTGCCGTCCGATGGGTCACAGAGAAAAGAGGGTGGATAGGTCATCTGGTGCCTGAAGCAAGACAAATTTGATGAAGCCGTCGCCGCCATCTCTGATACCCCGATACTGCAGGACAATCTTTTTTTGTTTTTCTGGGTTTTGATCCCCATCATGGGCTGTAATGGGCACTTTGCCGAGGGACGGTCCTGCTGGGGATCTGTGGAGATGGCCGAAGACTGAAGCGATAAGTCAACTATCTTTAGTCTCGTCAAAGAACGTGGGTCCAGATAATACAATTCGGCTGAAGATAGCCAAATAGGGTGGCCCATTGCTCTGATAAGCCGGACTCCGCACCTTCTCGTGCTCGTCCAAGACTTTCCCGCTGAATCCAAGACTCTTGGAGGAGCGACCCTTACTCCTAACACCTAGGTAGTAAGTACTATGCCACCACTTGGACTCTCTTTAGGTCCTGTGGGAGCGAAGGACTGGTGTGGTGGAAGTCCATCCACGGTTGGTGTAGAAGTCAGCGCTAGATTCTTGCCAAATTGTGCAATAACTGTGTATTCTACACTATTTTTCTCATTCCTGGGGACACTCTTTGAATCGAGGCCTTGCCCAAATTCTCTCGTCCGTCAGAAGAGTGTCCCATCACCAGCGATCAATATAGGGCTTGATCTGCTCTTTGGTCGCTTTGTGGCAGCCAGCTCGCGACCGGTTTTCCACGAGCCAGCCTCCAGCATCTGGGCCATACTAATAGCAATTCCTTGCGCTGCAAACTCCTTAGAAATGATCTCATGCAGTCGATCGAGGAGGGCAACTGTCATCGCACGCCACTCGACAATCACATCGCTAGTGGCGTCGTAGATGGGCAAAATCTGTCCAGATACCCTCTGGCCTACACTTAGAGTGTCTTCTTTCAGAGATAGAACACCCATGTCCACAAACAGACCTCCATTCCGATATTCAGGCAGCCCAGTGCCCAGCTCCATGTTCTTCCACCTGACGTGCAGAATCTTCACAAACGGGGTCGTTAACGAATATGCCAGCCACTGAGTCAGCTTGTGAAACGGCTGAATAGCTTTAGCCGGAGTATTGTTGGCGTCGGACTGAGACTGTCGCGCGAGAACCTGAAGAGGCCAGGCATCTCCAAGAGGTTGACTTCCAAGGTGTGTTCTGTCTTTTGGCCATGCGGGAAGCAGTAGACGCTGCAGGGCTGACCACAGGACAGTGTAGTCAAGAGCATCGGTTCCAGTGACCGAAGCGGTCATGTAGTCTAAGAAAACCATTGAGTTCAATCAGCATCCAGGTTGAAATGACTTTTTGAAACCAAGGGTCTGCACCGCATACATACCCACAAGATTGCCTGGTCGCCCCTGAGAGCCGAAGATGTCAGGCAAAGAGAGTAGAGATTTGCCAACGTCCCTCAAAAGCTGAATCCGAGCATGCACACCGACCATAGGGTTGCTATTCGAGATCTGAAACCAAGACAGAAACCTTTCCTCGTCGAGGTCAAGCAATGCCCTTCCTAAGTAACGCGTTCCGTCAGCATTACAACCACACAATGCAAAAACTACTTCCCACAACAATTCAAAGTACCCACCATCCACAGTGCGAGGACATGCAGGGCTTGACGAAAACGCTCCCGACTCAAACATGTACAGCGAAGCTACCGCAATGCCTTCGGATCGGTTGTACACATTCTGGTTCCCCGTGCTGAGCTCCTGGAAGCTCCAAATATCTCCAGCCCCTGCGTCCAGAAGGACCGACACCATGAACAGGTCAATCAAGACCCTTGTCTGTTCCTTGGGATCGGCCGTTTCTTTCGTCCGAAGCAGCATCCGGGAAATGCGATCGACATTACCGACATTGAAGTGTTGCCAACGCCCATGCGGAGGGATTTCATGATATCTATCGGGCCCAAAGTCGCGCTGCACATTCATATTGCTTAGTTCCAATTTGCGAGAGGGCTGTTGGCTGTGTGAAACTTGAAAACTCACTGAAATTGTCTGAGCCACCAAACGGGCAGCCACTGGGAGTTGGTCGGCATTGTAATGGAAATGGTTGAGTGTCCCCCTCTGCGCACAATCAAAAACACAATTGGCACGTTCCCTGACTGCTTGTAGTGATAATAAGTATTCGACTTCTGACACCATGTTTATGGAACCTGATAATCTGTATGCCAAAAATCTTGAGGAAATTTGTAAAAGAAGAAAGATTACTGTCTGTGTACGCTGGTACTTCTTCTACCTCTTCCTCACGCTCTTCTCCTCCACATAACGTCCACACTCTTAAAATAGCTTATATACGGAATGATCTTGGCAGATTCAAAATGTCAACTTTGTCAGATGAAAATTGCAAACAGTATCCGATTGTTGCGCTCCTCAACGACATGCGAACACCACCCAGAGCTCTCTTTTCTTGGTTAGTCGCAGCGAACCAGAGTCGATACGGAACTACAGGATAAGGAATGAGTCAGTCAAATCGTCTCATGGGACTGTGGACGGTGGACCCCTTCCAAAGGTCTTCTACCCCACACTCCATCTCATTAAAACCGATCGGCCTGGTTCGGGTTGTGGGACCCCTTGAACTGGAGAGGCAACTGATCATGGTGATTGCTTATCGCGTATCTAGTATCGCATTGATATAAAACAATGTGGGTCTGGAGGATGGATGGGTCTGCCGCGCCACTGCTATCTTTAGTCTCTACAGCCTTCCAAACGGAACAATCGAATCCAGAACATGATTGAGGGTGGCAATGGGTGGGTACAATTAGGTGCATTTTCCAACGAAATAGAGGAATCGAAGGCTACTGAAACCATTTTTGACCGAGTGTAGATTGCTCATGATATCTTCTGATTCAGAATTCTACGTCTTAGTCTGATAAAACCCCATTGTTTGAATCTTTATGCCACAAATCCAAAGTTATCTGATTTCCCTTCGCCGGCCTGCATGTAGGGGCAGAGAACAAAACGACACTCACAACACAAACAATATTCCCCTTCTCAGAGAGCAGGAGTAAATACAGACAGGGCAGCCTCAGCAAAACCGCCAAATTTCAATTTACTTTTCAATCCCAAGATGACAGTCGACCTATCCAGGTCCCAGTCCAAGATGTCCTACGCAACAAAGCTGTCCCAACTCCGCGATCTCACGCTTCCGCCCCGCGAAGTCCGCCAGCTCACATCCGAATTGACCACCATGCTCGCCGAGACGGCCATCGAGCCCCCTTCGGTTGACGAGACGGTGGTGGTTGTGGTCATTCTGCGATCGGGAATGGCCATGATGGACGCCTTTCTCGCCGCGCTCCCTACCAAGGCCAACGCAATCGTCCACCATCTGGGCATTTTCAGAGACAGAAAAACACTCCAGCCCGTCGAGTACTACAACAAACTGCCGCCCCGGTCCGGCAGGATCAGACATGCTTATATCCTCGACCCTGTCATTGCCACGGGCGGTACGGCCGAGGCGGCTATTCAAATCCTCAAGTAAGTAACGAGTCTTTTCTACGGTTCGCCGAGTTTGCCATACGAAGTAACAGAGTTTCTTTTTTTTGTCCCCTCTTTCTTTGTGTCTATCCAGATGCTAAAATGCCGTGTCTTTTCCTCTTCTAGAGAATGGGGAGTCGAAAAAATTACCTTTGTATCCATTTTGGCCAGTAACCCCGGGCTGGACAAAGTCGCCTCAAGCTGGCCTGAAGGCACGAACTTGGTGGTAGGCGCTGTCGACTCGGATCTGGACAGTGCAGGATACGTTCAACCTGGCATCGGAGACATAGGAGACCGATTGTTTGGAACAAATTTGGATTGAAAGTACTAAAGATGGATCATGGAACAGAACAAAGCTACAGCAGTACGGAAGCAAGGGACCGATGGAATATAAAGTTTTCTACGTACGATTGTACCTTGAATTTGATGAGGATTTCTGTCCTACTATTGAAAAAAAATGACTTGTGTGCATTGCTGCTCCTTGCGTGTCGGCAACTTCCTGTCTGTAATTTTTCTTTTGAATAGACCAGATAAACCTTCCACTACGAAGATATTTGGTGTTTTAAGTAACAAGAACCAATTCTTGAGTTTCATACTCGAGAAGCTCTCTCTACTGGTGAAAATGAATCCAGTTGAGTGGGTTCAATAATAACTGTTGGTGCCTTTTTCGGCTTTCGATTTCTCATTCCAGGCGTGATAAATCAAAAAGATACCACTCCTAAACCATCCCCTCCCAAAGAATAGTTTCGATGCATCATGCTCGCCGCCCTTTGTGGCTCTTTGCCTTCAGATGGGGAGATATGGCGTCCACCTCAAGTGCTCACTTGACAACTGGCAACCTTTTCCCCAATCACCGCCACAGCGCTGTGACAGTTCTGGGCATTGTGAAGAACTGCCACGGGCTCCGTCCACATTCATTGTCTCCCAGGAATGAGTCTTTGTTTGCTGTTCTTGCAACAGGACCCGAAGCCGCCAGAACCGGAACATTGATTCCAATCTGGCCTATGTTTATTTTGCGCTGGAAAGTCTGAGCATGGACAGGATCGGTCGTAAACAGCGAGCATCCGTTGCCGTACCGGTTCTCGTTTGCTATCTCGATGGCCTCGTCCAGGGTGTCGACCTCGATGCACACGAGGACAGGCCCAAAGATCTCGTCCTGGTAGCACTGCATAGACGTCTGCACTTTGGTGATGATGGTGGGCCCAACAAAGTTCCCCTCGGGGTATTCGGGCACGCAATATTTTCGTCCGTCCAGCACGACCTGGGCGCCTTCGGCTTCGGCAAGGTCGATCATGTCTTCCACTCTCTCTTTTGCAGCGGCCGTGATCAAGGGGCCGACTTCGGTGCCAGGATCAGAACCGCAGCCGACTTTGAGCGACCCGGCCAGCTGGACGAGATCGTCGATCCATTCCTTGGTCGACCCGACGCAGAGCATGACACTCAGCGCCATACACCTCTGACCCGCGGCCCCAAATGCGCTCCCGGCAATGGCATAGAGAGTCTTTGTCTTTGACGCATCCTCCAGCACAATCCCGTGGTTTTTCCCACTGACCTCGACTTGGATTCTCTTTCTGGTGGCTTTGGCGTGCTCGTAGACTCGTTCTCCAGCCAGTTCGGAACCCACAAAGGATACCGCGCTGACGAGAGGCTGCGAGAGCAATTTGTCTACGGTCACCGACGATCCATGAATGATATTTATCACTCCAGGGGGAAAACCCGCCTGCACGAAGCATCTCCCTAGAAGGTTAGCAGTCGAAGGGGCCTTTTCGGAAGGTTTCAAGACCACTGTGTTGCCGGTGATGACCGCGTAGGGGATCGACCACAGAGGGATCATAAAAGGGAAATTAAAGGGAGTGATGATTACGCAGACGCCGACGGGCTGGTGGATCGTGTAGGTCTCTGTCGAATTGGTGGTCCAGTGTTTGCCATTCATCTCGGCCGTGGCTGAGCACGCGGTGTGGATAGCATCAATTCCTCTCTCGAATTCCGACTCGGCGTCCTGCAGTGTCTTCCCCACCTCGAGCTGCAGTGACTGTTGAAAGTCGACCGTGTGCTGCTGCAAAATACCCAGCAGGGAGAAAAGCAGGGCTTTCCGTTTCGATATAGGCAACGACGCCCACGCTGTCTGCGCCGCGTCCGCCACCGTCACGGCTTTTTGGATCTCTGCTGGAGTTGAATCCGGCACCCGGGCGAGCAGCTTCTGTGACGCAGGATCCAGGACCTTCATCCAGACTCTCGTCTTGGACACGCCGAATTCATTGTTGATCAGATTTTGAGTTGTGGTAGGCGGCGTGGGCAGGGCCATGGTGCTAGTGCTAGCTCCAGTGCTGGCGCTTTGCTTCAGAGGCACGGTCACCCTGCTAGGGTCGCTGGTGCCTAACCGGGTGCCTGTTTCATCGCTGCGAAGTCTCTTATTCCGACGGTGATGGTTGAGAGAGTAGTCACCAGCTGTGTCATCGTTGCTGTCGACTACTAGAGACAAAGGCTGCTCTAACACCGTCGCCACCGCTGTTGCAGAGCTTTGAACGACCATCGTGTTTCATTAGTATCCAGCCTGACATAAAGCCTGCCAAACCTACTTTCAAGCCTTCGATCTCGTGATAGCAGATATCTCTATCAAAAGATTGAAGTGAGCGACAGGCCACAGATTGTACAGTTGGAATGCGAAGATAAGACAAGATGGTGGAGCACAACGTGTGAAGGATATGATATTGTGGGGTTCGTCGAATTGGGATCATGGCCAGGCCTTTGGCTTGTTCTCCATCTCCTTTCCTTCCTAAAATGTTGACAAGAGCTTTCATACATTCATCTAGGGTCCGGGATCCACCTGATGCAGGCGCCAGTGACTCAGCGCTTGTCCACGATATGAACCCGGGGATGATTGCAAAGCTCCGAGAAAGGTTGGCAAAGCGGGTCCTTTTCCGGGATTCACCAATTAGAAGTGAGAATAAATGCCCAATGGCATCAAATCGATCAGGAAATTGATCGAGTGTGCACCAAAGGATGGAGATGTCCTAAACAAGGTGCACTGAGAGTGTGAATTGCATACTGTATGCTGTATACTGGAGAATTGTAGTCGCCGGTGCTAAGACATCCTCTCACCAGTTTCGGTTTACACAACGCGTCAATCCTGATCATTCTTCCAGTCTTGCATGGTGTCTGTACCGGTGATCTACCAGGCACCTGCTATCTGCCGGTCTAATTAAACAAAAAGGAGATGCTGCATTGATTTCACTCAGCTTGGAGAATATTGTTGCCTAGAAAAAGGGTATGTTACTTACGATTCACCATGGTGTGTCCGTCGGATTGCTTCTGCAATGATGCCACTGACGTCGATGGACTCGATTTTGGGACATTTTTGAGCGCTCGGTGATAGGGGAAGGGTGTTTGTGACCACGAGTCTCTCCAAAGAGCTCTCCTCGATCTTCTGGATTGCAGGACCCGAGAGAAATCCATGGACAACGACGGCGCGGCAACTGATGGCACCGTGGTTCTTCAATACGTCCGCCGCCATGATCAGGGTGCCACTGAGTGCGCAGTCAGTAGAGGTCCACTGGTCCCCCAGGAAAATTGAAAATGAAAAGGATGAGTTGCATAGACATTCATAAAAGACTGACCATGTGTCCGCGATGTCGTCAACAATAACGGCCGTCTTATTGAGTACCGATCCAACCAGAATCATACGACTGATTTTACTGGCGACTTTACGCTCTTTGTGGATGAGGGCTAGATCAAGACGCAGCTTGTCCGCAATGATAGCAGCTCAGTGACAACGTAAGCCTCTTTTGTTTTTATATTTTCTCCCATCAACTCCTAGTTTAAGACTCACCTCTTCGCACCACCTGCGTCAGGAGACACAATGACGACGTTGTCCAGGGGCATATTACTTCGAATGTACTCGACCATTGCACTCTCAGCATAGAGATTGTCCACGGGGATATTGAAGAAGCCTTGGATTTGTGAGGCATGCAAGTCCATAGTGATGATATGATTGCAGCCGGCTGTCTCAAGCATGTTGGCCACCAGTTTAGCCGTGATGGGAGCCCGGCTGCGGTCTTTCTTGTCTTGCCTCGAATAAGGGAAACAGGGGAGCACGGCGGTGATCTTCCTGGCGGAGGCAGTCTTGCAGGCGCTGATCGTAATTAATAGTTCCATGAGCATGTCGTTGACTGGTTCTGCTGCTGTCTGGATGATAAACAGATCGGCGCCACGGACCGAGTTTCCAATGACAATACTGGTCTCGCCATTCGAAAACCGCGATGATGTGAGTTTTGTGGACGGTGAATCCTCCCCCAGCCTGTGGCATACAAGTTCGGCGAAGTCTGGATGACTCCCTCCTATATTCGTCCATTCAAGCTCGGTTAGGGACATCTTTCAACACGTATGGTACCGAGTACCGGTGTCAGAGTAATAATACTAACCACTAAGTACCTGAATGGACATTTTGGGATAAAGAACTCGATCGCCCAACACTTTTTACCGCGAAACAAGACTGGTGTCTGCAAGAAGAACGGTGAGCAGGTCGGATACCCAGGGAGAATGCGTGCTTTCAGACCTACTAGGGAGGCTCTTCAATGTATCACTGTTGGATTTATCATTCCCCTTACGATTGAGTTACAACTACCAAGCTGTTGAGAAGTATTTCTTCGATTTCCACGTCCTATGCCCCAGGGCGCACAGCGTCAGCCTAGAAACAAACAGTCTGACCCGCTCAAGTAGGTGCTAGGTACAAACTAACCAAACCACAAACACTGTACTTGGAAGATAGAAGAATTCCTCAATAATGACCAGGTTACCAATCTCTTCCATACTGCAGCGGAAATCTCGTGCTTTCGAAGGTAATCTAGGTGGGGCCCGTTATAGATAGGTACTCGGTGGATTAAAGATACTTTAGATAATAGAATACGTGGGGAATTTCAGAAGTTTCACAGGGCCTCGCATTGTTTATCTGAGATCTCTCTTCGTATCGGAGACTGAAACCTCCCGAAATGTAGGTTACAGGCGTCGATAAGAATTGTATGCCTATTCCCAAAGACTGGATCTACTGGTACGATAGGTCTGTTTGTCAAGTCGGCCAACTTGGCGTCCCGATGCTCAGATGCTAAATCCTGGAGCCCCAGGACCTAGACTCCAGTCTCCCATCATAGGGCTTTCAAGAATAACACCTGTGCGTTCCCAGTTTTGATGCTCTCGCTTCAAGGATGCGCAACACCACGGAGAATTGCCTACTCCTGCCACAGAACCATCAACTCCTAAGTTCCATGACCATTCTGCGCAGTCAAAACACAGAGGGCAAAGACTTTATCGATGCATTTGCAAAGGTGGCTGCACAGCTCATGGCCAGAGGTAAGAACCAGAGACCGCTTGATGAAATTTGCTCTGGCTGTTTTCCAAGTTCGTGCTCAACCATCTGACGAGTTCGTTTTCCTCCTACAGCGCTGGATTTCATCCCAGTCGAATGTCAACAAGTGACGACCCCGACGGGAGGCACCTACCAGGGCGTGCGACAAGCAAAGCAAGTCTGTGGCATAAGTATCCTAAGGGCAGGGGCCAGCCTGGAAGATGCGCTGAGAACGGCTTACAAGTATGTGAACACGAATCTACCCGCTATTTTTTTCAGGCTCGGCCAGCAAACATCCTCCCTTTTCCTCTTCTCCTCCTTCCCACCAAAGGGGAGGCGAAGGCGAAAGTGTATATCCATGCTGACCCTATCTCTGCGAATTACAAAGTGGTCCTCTGAGCTTCGGAAAGCTCTTAATCCAACGAGACGAGAAAACGAGCCTCCCAGTGCATCTGTACACCAAATTTCCTACGTCGATTTCGAACGCTTGTAAGGCTTCTCAACCACGTCCAAAAACGGGGGTGTGCGATCACGTTGCTGACTTTAAGCAGATGTACTGATTCTTGAGCCAATGCTTGCGACCGGAGGCTCAGTGAGTAAAGCAATCGAGCTGGTCCTTGAACAGCGTGTGCCGGAGGAACAGATCATTGTCGTCAATCTCATAGCCTCGGCGCGCGCAGTCAGCCTGGTCTCTGAACGATTTCCGAAGGTGATGTTAGTGACAGCGGCTGTTGACAAGGATTTGAATTCAAAAAGGTTTGTCGATACCATATATGCGATTCTACCAACTTGTCGACTTCCGATCATTGACAAATTACCGACTCTACAGGTACATCGATCCAGGACTTGGCGATTTCGGAGACCGATTTTATGGTACATGAAAGGATCCTTCAGAAGGGGCATGGAATGCTGGAAGTTTGATACAGCTGAGACGAACTCCATTTTGCGAAGATGGTGGAATCGGAAAGCCGACGGTTCGACGCAACCAAGTGTACGGTTTTACTTTTAGAAGATGAGACTCCCGATCTTCGATACAAATGAAAACCGTCGCCTCAACCAATATCTCAATTTTGTCAAAGAACAGGCTCGATATAGGCAGGGTATTCGCAGCTATCTCCTCTGCCATGAATAGGCACTTCTTCGCCTATATGCCTCTGACCTTGTCTACCTTCGTCATTTGCAGGCATCCATGGCCATTCAGTTCAGTCATCAGACCAGTGGGACTCTGGTAGGACTCTCGAGAGTTAGGCGTTGTTACTGATGTTGCAAGAAGACCCAGTTCTTATTGCAAAATGTCATTTCACAGGCAGGAAAATATCAAAATCTATCTACTTACTCTAGCATTCTTCAGCTTCCAATAGGCGTCACCACGATTTTGCACCGAGTCACAAGTAGCACATTCTTCATCGAAGGACTCAATACCCGCATGTGGATCACACAAGGCCTTTAATGCTTGAACGTCTCCACAACAGACTGCACCTCGCTGTCCTTTGTTCCAACAACGACGCTGGCTTCTGAATCTCCCCTGGCCTGTGCATATGGATCAACACCATTGATCATAATCGATGGAATGAGGGCGGCGTCTCCCGTTTCATTCCAGCCCTTGTTACATTCGACCTTGAAAGGTCCGAATCTGCACATCAGGTAGTATACCCCTCCACTTACGAAGACACCCATGAGGAAGTTGAACTGATCTGAACGTTTAGAGAGAACGATCAGTATTCACAGTCCTTCAGAAGGAAGCAGACCTTGCAAACAGGCGTAGACTTACACAAGTACCAGGCACCAATCGGTATCGATGCACCCATCGCTCCGGCAACACCAACGATGTTGAATATCAACCCGCATCTGTGAAAATCGTTAGATTTCTGCGGCTGAAGAGGCAGGAGATGAAGAAAACCCACAGGTATCCCACGTAAGCGTTGATGCCAAACCCGCCCAAGCCCCAGTAGAGATCGGACGACTTGTTGGAGTACAACTGATCAACTGCAAGATGGCCTCGGCGGACGATAAAGTAATCACAGAAATAAGGTCCGACGAAAGCAGAAAGGAAGACACTGTAGGCACCGACGTATGCTAAAAAGTTGTTGCTGCTGGATAAGAGTTTCCACGGCACGCAGGCAAAAGACAACACTGCGGCAACATACCCACCACGTCCTGCGTTATGTTAGTCTTGTCTATCCCAGATTCATAATCAAGGGGACAATAAGGATGAACTTACGAATATTGAGGTATCGAGGGAACAGAGCGGTAAAGTCACTTCCCGCGGAGTTTGCACCAGTCAGGTTTGTCATGGCCTGAGCATAGACAAAGATCAGAGCGAGGAAGAAAACCCCGGCTCTGTCGCTGCTGGATGGACTGTCGGTAACAAACTAGGAGGTTCAGAGGTTAGATGACAGATCTTCTGGCCTAGAATTTGAACTTCTCATGCTACAACTTGGGTACTTACTCGCTCCAAGACGTCCAAAGGATTCCAAAGCGGGGAGCCGTATAATGTAGCGCTGCAGCTGGAGACGATCAAACCAACCAGGGAAGTGACTGAGAATGAGACTGGAACTGTAATGAGTTGAGACCAGAGGGCATTGGAAGGTTTCTTTGAAAACCGCGAAAAATCGGAGTCTGCGTATTGGTTGATTCAGTAAATCAGCCAGAAGAGAGGGAGACCTTGTGGGTTTTCATCCCACACTCACCATTCAGAATGAATGTGCTGAAATTGTCCAAGGAGGAGATGATGGCTTGGATCACGGTCCATGTCAAGGCACTACCTTTGAGGGCTGCGTAGTCGTCATATCAACGATGGGCTAGGCAAAACATCGACCTTCATGAAAACTTACAGCTGCTTTGAGACATGACGGGACCGGCACCATGGCCTGCTCTCACAGCCACCCATGCAGCGAATGCGATGCCTCCAATGGGAGCTGTCACCGCCTTGATGGTGTATAGATGTCTGACTTTGTGCAAAGGGAAGTATATGCCTTTTTCGCCGTCTTAGCAGGGTATTCTCAACCGCAAAGCGAGGCATGCAGAGTTTTCTTACCGATCAGTTGACAGAGCCAGAACAGGAAAAAGCACATCATATGCTTTGTATCTGTCTGAGCAGACGCTGGGAGATGATTTGGGATTCGAGCGGTCCCTGGCCAAACCGCACACAGCATGAGATAAAGACATCTGTTTTTGGGGAGGGCACTGTTGTTAGCCTTTTTTCTATATCCAAGGACCAAGGTTGTTTTGACAGTTGTCTCAGGGACAAACTCACTGTCCTCCAATCCAGCCCTGGACGGAGTACCAGATAATGGCCAAGACAATACGATTGAGCACTGGCCAAATCGACCCATAGATGCCGAAAGAAGAGCGAATCGCCACGGGAAACGAAATGTGGTACATTGCTCCCATTCGGCCTCCGAGTGAGACGAAAATACCCGTCAGGATATATCCTGCCCAGATACAAAGCCAGCCTTGCCACCAGGCGAGACCGCCGGCGACGTAGCTCCCGGCAAGCTGCCACGTATTGACATTGAACGAGGCTGTGAGAAACTCCAGTCAGCAAAACCAAAACAAAATCGCGCCCCTTGCAATCGACATTGTAGAACACGGCTCGATATATGTACCTACCCGAGATCCAGAGATTCATGAAGTTGTACCATCCCCATGTCCGTCGTGCAGGCTCAACCGGAGCTAGGTCAGGACTCCAAAGATATTTACTCTTTTGCGCGCCCTCAGCGTTGTTGTCATAGTAGTCGTGCTTGATCTGGCACTTCTCTGCCACCTGGGCTGTGCGCTCTCTGAGAGTCATGGTTGTGGATCTTGTTTGGGCCTTTTCGATCAAAAATTCCAACCCCAGAAAAGTTCGCAATTCGTTTTGTAATTCCGATGTGTAAAACGAATTGACGAATTTGAACTTGTTTTCTAGTACGCACACCGGCCTATGCTCGTAACGGCGATGAGAATGCCTGCCCTCTTATCCAATACTACCGGGACCTGCATGAAAGATATACAGGCCCGTTAATGCAACAGCGCCCGTTCCAGATCAGAACATTCATAAATGGTATCTATTATGATAAGAGATGTTTTTGATAGGATAGTGGGGACTGAGATCTAGAGCGTACGTCCCCTTATCAAACTTCGACTTTATCATATTATCATACTTTAGGTATACTCTTGGTACTTGATCCCGCTTTTTGCGTTCCTCCCCGGAACTCAATTGAAATCTCTCTCCAAGATTCACTTCTCGCCCCCAACTAAACCCAGTTTCGCGTTGCCTCGATCCCCGCCAGCAGCTACAGTACTGGTGCTTGCCGAAACTTAGTGCAGTGGGCTTTGTATGGGAGATTTGTGTATACCACGTAGTTCTGATGACCTAAAGATCGACCATGGTAGGCTGTTTTAGACCTTGTGACGTTTAGACACTTGGTATCTGAATTGACTCAATTGAGCCAATATTCCATCGTTGCAATACAACCACAAACTAGTTGGCGGCTCCAGGTGGCCTTTGCTCTCATATACAGCGCGAGACCAAGGTCATCTATATGTTCATAATTCCATCTTCGAGCAGATTGCCAAATATGGTTTCAGACGAACAAAAAGAAGACCTTGAGGGCCTAAAGTTGCCTTTTCGAGACTGAAAGATTGCTTCAAGTACGGACTGGAAAGATCAAACCACTTTACCACCTCCCAGTAAAGTCGGCAATCTACAAGAATCCTCATACTCAGCCTGTCAAAGTCACAAAACTTGGTTGCGAGGGAGACGAGCACGCATACGAGTTCCACGGAGGGCCGGACAAGGCGCTGCTTCACTATTGCGCAAGACACTATGAGACGTGGAAAGCAGAATGTCCAGGGAGTGCGAAGCATTTCACTGTCGGCGGATTCGGGGAGAACCTGGTCAGTACCTCAGCTAATGAACAGAATATCTGCATTGGAGACATCCTCACGATTGGTCCAGAAGTCACAGTGCAGGTCAGTCTTCCACGACAACCCTGTTTCAAACTCAACCACCGCTTCGAAGTCAAGGATATGGCGTGGCAGTCTCAGATGAAGAGCAGGACAGGCTGGTACTATCGGGTCTTGAAGGAGGGCTACATTTCACCGGGCGACGAAATCAAACTTGTCGAGAGACTGAACCCGAAGTGGACGGTGGCCGCAGTTCAACACTACTTGTACCGGGAAATGAAAAATTTTGAGGTCATGGCCGAATTGGTGAATCTTCCGGCCTCGGCGGAGAATCCCTCACAATCTTCGAGAACAGGTTGAAAAAGAATTTTTAGAATCAGGACGAACGAATGTTCGGTGACGACTCTGTCACTCTGGAGGCCTGGTCGGACTACAAGCTGGTGCAGGAGCTTCGACAGACCCCTCGAATCTGTTCGTTCGTTTTCGAGGTTGTCGGAGAGCAGTCTCAAACGACGAGTCTCAAAGTTGAACCTGGATCTCATGTGCGCTTGAAGTTGGGAGACAAGGGTGACCTGATCCGAGCATACTCGGTTGTTGGTGGCACCAAGGACCGCTTCGAGCTGGGCGTGGCTCTTGCAGACGAGTCCCGTGGCGGATCTCTATATCTGCATAAAAATGCCAAAGTGGGAGAGGTATTCTCAGTAGGGAAGATTGCCACCAGCTTCCCATTTGCGCCAGAGGCGGACGAACATATTTTGATCGCTGGTGGAACCGGAATCACAGCCTTCCTTCCCACTGCGGAAAAATTGAAGGAATCGGGGGAGAATTTCACGTTGCATCTGGCCGTCCGCTCGACCCATAAGGTACCCTTCAGGGAGAGACTATCGAAGCTCGGCAAGAGCCTCGTAATCTATGACAAAGAAAGGGGACGGCGGCTGGACCTCGCCCGTATCATGTGCAGAGTGACCACCAACCCACACGTGTATTGCTGCGGGTCTCCCAGATTGATGGACGACGTTGCCGCAACTGCGAAGCGATATGGGCTGGCAGAAGAACAGATTCACTTTGAGGCTTTCGCAGTCACGACCTCAGGCGATCCTTTCACCGCGGCGCTCCTGACGAGCCAAAAGACAATCCAAGTGCCGGCAAGACGGAGCCTTCTGGAAGCACTGAGGGAGGCGGGCATCGACGTACCGTCATCGTGTGAAGCTGGAAGCTGTGGCACTTGTCGTGTCCAAGTTGCAAAGGGACGCATTGACCATCGTGGAACCGGCTTGTTGGAATCGGATAAGGCCTCAGCAATGCTAGCCTGCTCTTCTAGAGGCATTGGACATATAGAACTAGAGCTTTGACAGTAGGTAGCCAATTGACGGACTACTACTGACTACCAACACTCGACGGATTTCCCCAAGACACACTGGTTCGAGGGAGATACCGCTTGCAATACACTATGGTCTTTTGGGAGGGACAATGTGGAGAAAAGATATCGAGGAAGTGGGGCGATAAAGGGGGTATAGATAGCGGGCCCTGCCAGGTCAGTTACACAACAATATCTCCAAAGCGGGAGGCACTTATCCGGTCACGCGACTGAATGCTGGCCATGCCATTGACCTTTGTGTTGCTGTGTGTGATACAAATAGTTGTGTTGCGACCTAGTGAGGGTCTAGAAAATCGCAGTTCGTTTCGAGTAATTGTTGGTATATCTCTATCGTGGAACAAATCTTGCCGTCAATTCCGCACCAGTACGTTCCCTCCACGCCCAGGGGGCCTTGAATTGACCCAAACTTGAACTCACCTTGGTCCTTTCCACATCACCAACGTTCAGTTGAAGAAAGAGGGGGGGAAAAAAAGAAATGGGCAGCCTCCAGGAGCCGCTCCTCGGCGAAACCCTTCTCCAGACAGCGAAGAGGCTTGAGGCAGCAGATTTCAAAGAAGTCCCCGTCATTGACCTGGCCGGTCTTGCCAGTGAGGAAATCACCGACCGAATCGCTGTGGCGCGAGAAGTCCGTGATGCTTGTATTCGCGTCGGCTTTTTCTACGTCAAGAATCATGGTGTGCCTCAGGAAGTGATTGATCGCGCGTTTGAGGTGTCGAAGAAATTTTTCTCCCTGCCGCCCGAGGATAAGATGGAGGTGTATGTGACCAAGAACGAGAGCTTCAAGGGGTATGAAGACATTCATTATGGAGCGGTGGATCCGCAGACAAAAGGAGGTGAGGTTTTTTTCCCCTTCTCTCCTTCGTTTTTCTTTCCAAACACTTTGTTTTTTCACGCGTTGAGTGCTTCCTTTCCGTCCTTTTTGCCCGAGAATATTCAGCCACCATGTTGATACCATGCAATCAATTAGACTAAAATTCATGCGTGCAGATATGAAGGAAGCCTTCAACTTCGGCTACGAGCCCGCAGCCGACCCGCAGACTCCCCTCTCCGAGCCATGGCCATTGTATGAGGGCCTAAAGGGTCCCAATGTCTGGCCTCGAAACTTCCCTGAGCAATGGAAACAAGACTTGTTTGCCTACTACGGCGAGGTGTTGAATCTGGGTCGACGGATGATCCGAGCCTTTGCCCTTGTGCTCGACCTCCCCGAAGATTATTTTGATGATCTCCTGGTTCGACCGGGTGCCATCATGCGGCTGCTCAGATATCCGGCGTCCATACTCGACCCTGACCATCCCGGGATCGGGGCACACAGGGATTATGAATGTAGGTAACACATTTGCTACCTGCTACCTGCTTCCTGCTACCAAACCAACACTAACTCTTGTTTCCGGCTGCAGGCTTTACGATTCTCTGTCAAGACGAGACCAATGGTCTACAGGTGCAGACGAAAAAGGGTGAATGGATCGAAGTGACTCCGATCCCTGGCACCTTTGTGGTAAACATTGGCGATTTTCTCTCTCGCTGGACCAACGATGTCTTTCGCTCAACCTTGCACCGAGTCTACAACATCTCCGGCCGCGAGCGCTACTCCTTTCCGCTGTTCATTGGGCCAAACTACACGACCAAAATCCAGGCCATTCATACTTGTGTCAATGAAGACCGGCCTGCGAAGCATGAGCCTTTTGTCGCTGGCGAGGTAAGCTATATATCCTCAGTCAACCATACTGCCCCCCCCTCTCCCCGCCCCCCCCACGTGCGCGCGAAGAGAAGCTCTCTACATGCAACAAAACTCAGAGACCCTAGAGCAAGCAATACTCAGAGTTACTGACATGTTCTGTTCTGAAATCTCTTCTAGTACATTTCCGACAGGCTCTACGGTGCGAAACGAAAGCCTCTTTCCACTCCCCTCGAGAGTTCCGCGTGAGGGACCATTCTACTGGGTGACACCTTTGGGGAGGAAAGGGGGGGGCCCCTATAGGTTGACAAATCGATTGAGCCCTTGACACCTTTGGCTGGGGTCATTTCTGAAGTGTGGTCCAGTTGAAGTGTCTTCTAGGATATATTCTATCAACAAATAGCCACAGCGTAAGCCCCGATTGAGGGGAGATTCTTGATCCTCAAAATCGTGGTACATCCTTGGGTACCCAGAATGGACGCTTCTTGAGTGTTTTCCCATACATCCTTTTCCCACTAGAGCCTCGTCAACGTTCACGGTGGCTCCCTCCTGAAAGTAATACTAATCTATGTGGAAATAGGGGCCTCCTTGAATCACGGAGAGCGGAGGGTGGGGCGGAGGGCGGAGCGAAGCCGTTGAAGAGGGTGACCTATCGCCAAGGCCATTTGGGTACACGTTGAGATCCCACAGCAAGGGATATATATATATATATATGCAATGGTCGAGTCCAAGCCTGGTGACTTTGGTAGCAATTGGACTCAGACATCAAGACGCCAAACACTGAGAATGGCAAATCCAAAGACCATATCAATGGCTTCCTGTCCATGGCTGATTTTGAAGGATCCTACGATGTGATTGTGGTCGGTGGTGGTGCCGCGGGCATCGGTGCTGCGATAGGCGCAAAGCAGACAGCGCCACAGTCACGGGTCTTGATCATTCAGTCCAACGCATGTCTCGGTGGCGCCGCTACTCAGCGTGGAGTCCTCTCATGCTGCGGACTTTACAGCGTGGGACCACCCGACCCTCGAAGGGCGGCAGGGCAAATCTGGACGGAACTCCACGCAAGGCAGGTCTCAGAGGGAGCGGCGACTGCACTTCCGACAGAGTTGTCGCATACATTCAGCCGAGACAGACATTCTACATCCTCGAACTCGAAGCTAGCTTTGGTTCCAGCATGTCGAAACCGAGGAGCTTAAGCATGTCGTGGATGACACGATCGCCTCATATGATATGTAAGTTTTACTACATTGTGCTGTGGTTGTTGGTGAGAGGACCGATGGCAGGCTTGTCACAGTCGAGGTTCAAGAGCGAAGGGGGAGGCGAACAATCTTTGGTCAAGCATTCGTGAACTGCTCAGGTGACAAATATCTCGCCAGCCTCGCCGGTGCGTCGACAAGGTACGGCAATCACGGCCATGTCAACCATGGGTTCGTTGGCAACCCAATTCGGCGGCCTCCAAAACGCCAACCCCAAACTGGTGCTGGGCTGGTAGTGTCGGATGGGAGTGGTGGAATAGGAACGTATGTACACTCGACAAGTGCCGATATATGCCCAGCTATAAAGCACCTTGAAGAGTCCACAACATTAGAAGACAGTACCAATTTCCACTATTTAAAGCCCATTCGGTTCATCTAACAACACGTCCTGACGTATCTCTTTCCGCGGAGTGATACGGGCCTGAAGGAAGTGGCGATCCCTGTGAAAGTTTGGCAAGAGTTTCTGCAACTAGCTAGCCAACCTAGTAACAAGGAGGTACAGATCTGAAGAGAGAAAAGAAGAAGAAAAGAAAGAACCACACATCCTCCTCATGTCGTACGCTTCGCCGCTGTAGCGTGTGTCTCGTCGCAATAGTAAGCCTTCCGAAAGGGGTTTCCCGCGTGCCCAAAAATGGACATTGCTTGTAAACTACGGAGACCTCTCCTGCAATGTTGTCGGAAGACTGTGGGTGGGAGGAGCGAATCCGCAAGTCGTGAAATCTCAAGTGTTCGACGTCGTGGATTCAGCCGCCGCCTCCCGTGGCTCGTCTTTCTGCGAATCCTGCACCGTCGTGTCGGGATCGGGGGATTGCCGCTGGTATTGCATGGTTGCTCGTTTGGAATATGTTTGAAGCCCAGCAGGGCGACCGATGATCTTGCCAGCCTGAGTTCTGCTGCGCAAGTAATGCTCTTCGATTTCGGCCTCTCTGTCTTTGGCGACACCACCGGTGATACAGCAACGGCACATCCAGCTTAAGGGAAAGCCGTTGTCGCTCACGTAATGGGAGGCTGTGTAACTGTGTGTCTGCTTCATGGTGAAAGCAAGTTTCGAGGAATCGGAAATTCTGCCCGGTGGAGGAGGATGGCGGGTGAGTTTAGAAGGATTGTCCGCGAGTCAGTCATTTCAACAACACGAGATGTTGTCTCACAAAAAGGCAAGATGGATCGGGGCGCACTGGGGCGCTACGAGGCGGATCCTGGGGCAGTTTTACAGGTACCCAGACAGGGGGCCTGAGACCCCCCATGCAAGCTACATAATCACCCTTAGCGGCTTAAATCCCTAGTGTAATGGGGGAATCTACAGCCTGAAACGTGATTAGTGGGATTTACCTGTACGAGGTATAATGTATAAGATGACACTCCTAGCCACTGATTGGTTAGATCTCTGACACTAGGTCTGAGATTCCTTTTTTCCCTGATCCTTCAACAGGATCTATCTAACTGAACAACGAACAACTGAATCAATGGATTGAGGACAGTGAGCAATCAAGTTATAAATCTACCTGATCAGGACTCTCTATGCTGCTTTGTTATTACTGTGCGCTAGCCGTTGCCCCAACACCATGCCCACCGCCCTACGAGTTGATGCCTTTGGCTAAGAGCCTCGCCCCAGTCCAATAGACATAGCACTTGACGGCATTGCGATAATAGCGAAAAATCGAGTTGATGGCTTCTAAGTATTGCGTATTGTTCGCTTTATTTATGCAGCATATATCCACCCAGAAGTAATCGACATTGTCCTTCTTCGCTTGCTCGCCGCAGAATCGGATCTTCACAGGGCCAGCCTTACTCGTGAACGATTTGTGTTTAAGGTCGTCGAAATCGACCTCGTCCTTATCGTCCCCTTATATATGCGAGAGGATCGCATAGGCGGGAATGCCGTCGTGAAGATCCTCAGTCAGGCTGAGTTCGCCCTGATCGTCGAATTTCGAAAGGTGCATCGTGTTGGGTGGGTACGGGCGGCACGTTGTGAGCATATGTGCGATCTGGTAAGCAGACCCTACTTCTCATGGCCAAATAAAGCTTGAGTGCCCAGTGTGACCCGCCAGGGGATCCTACTCTAGTAAACTGAGCGGGTGAAGAGAGGCAGTCGTGGTGGCTGCAATGACGGCGAGGTGACATAAATCAACCTCTTGTCCATCGAAGTCAGGTTTCACCGTGAATATGGCGCGAAAGGCAGGCTCCGTTGGATATGCGGCATATTGGGAGGCGTTCTTGTCTCTGAAGTATGTCCCTCTGTCCGCCTTAGGGCTAGGGCATGGAGGTGCCCATCTTGGAGGGCTTCCGGGGAGCAATCAGACGAAGTCATTCGTGCGGAGGTTGACATACCTGAAACTAGGATTGTCGGCTTGTCTCTTGCCAACCAGTTGTACCAGGCTACGTAGGAGGGATCAATAATCTTGACGATGTCGTCTTCCTCGGCGGCCTCGAGAGCAGAGGCGGGGATGGTCAGCAAATACTTATGGGATGGGAGTATTGGAGGGAGTTCTGGAAGAGGGCGTTTGCCCCAGTTTTGGGAAGAAGAATAAGTCGCTGCCATTTTTGAATCGGAGCGGTGAGCTCGAAAAATCTACCTCGAGCCGGAGAGCACAACCTCTGCTGCGCCTGGAGACGACGACAAGGCAATGGACGTCCTCTTAATCCATCATAGTAGTGAATAGAGAAGCGTTAACTATGATCAATGGTAGGTCTGGTACAAATTGAACGGCATGCTTTGTAGTCATACTAATTCCGTCACCTAATGTTGGCTCGCCATGAACGAATCCCAGTCTGAACGCGGCACCGTGGACCAAGTCCTGAGATGCTATTGCAGCAGACGAAGAGCTAAAGGACACGGGGAGCTTGGTTTCAAATGTCGGGAATTCATGTTTCGGTGGTTTTCCCGGGACATCGAAAGGTAGCGGTTTCCCTTTCGCCTCACAAAGATTGACGAACTGAATAATGTACGCTTCCGTCGTGGTGAGCGCTGCTTGCCGCATCAGACACGGCCGATCGTGCCTGTCGCAGAACGGAGGAGCGTCGAATCCATACCGTCGAAACTCTCTAGCGGCGTTTCGGTAGTACTCCCGCTCGCTGTTGGTGTGGGCAGGGTCGTAAACGGCATGGGTGGGGTTGACGTAATGTGGGTGGTGGCAACGGTGTGACCCCTGCATCGGCATGAATGGGCCATCCCCAAAGAAGTTGTCGATGTCTACGCCGCGTCGAGGCTCCGCAAACCAGGCGGCCGCGCGTGAAAGCCACTGTGTGTCCCTTCATCGTGAAGGCCTAGAAAAAAGTTAGGACCTGGAGTGAAAAGACTGGGCAGGACAGCCTCGACTCACCAAGCGAGAAACGCTGTTCGGAGGCAACGTGTGCATGTCGAAGCGTTCGAGGAGACGTTCGGGGTCGGCGTGTGACCACATGCCAGGGACGAGGACGCACGCGCTGCTTTGCGATGGAGTCACTCCCCAGGACGCCAGGAGGATCTGCTGATCGCGGAGGAAGCGGTCGCGCCCAACGTCCGTTCCCCAGATCTCGAATTTGTCAGCACCTACCGCTTCGCGTTGCGCGTCTCGGATTGGGTAGGCCGGCACGGGAGGCATCTCGATCCTGAAAGCGCGCGCAGGAGGACGTGCCGTTTGCGTGTTTCTCGGCGCCACATCGATCGGCGCCGATGAAGGATCACGAGAAGTCGACCGTACGAAGCTCGTGTCGAGCTCAAGGAGATGATCTTCGTGGTCGTCGACCAGGCCGCCGTCAAACGGATCATCGAGGCGGGGCAGATCGCCGGAAGGGGTTTCGACATGTCCAGAGCCGGTGCGTGACATCTCTTGGCTCTGTTCGCCTAAAGATGCGGTGTAATAGCAGCTTCCGTCGTCGCTGTCGTCCACGGTCGAACCGGTGACCATGTCAACAGCGTGGGAGGGCAGGTTTGCGCGGACATCGCCTGCTGCCGGTGGGTGTGTATAGAAAGAGGAACAACTCGAGGAGCTAGCCTCCCGGCTTGCACCTCGTAAATGCTCCATCCACAAAAAGCACCTCGCTCGTTGCATCTGGTTGCCTCGATCGGCAAGCGCCGTCGTCTGCCTATGGATAGATCGGACCCAGCTGGCGAGGCGGTACGCGGTTGCGCAGAGGTCCGGCAGATCGGTGTCGGAAGTTTGTGACTCCCACCAGCAACCAGGGGCACGGCCTGCGGTGACGAGTCGAACGACAAAGCGGATATCGTGATCGTCCAGGTTCCAGCCGGATTTGTCCACGTCTGGAGGCCCATACCGAGAGCTCGTGGTTCGCAGCGCCTCGATCGCGTTGTTGATCGTATACTTGGCCTGTGATCGTCGGATCTCTCGGCCCCATTCATCGAATTCCTCAGTGACTCGTTGTAGGACGGCAACGTCATACTCTGTGAAGACTCGAATGACCCAATCTTGGACGAGCTACCGGGCCAGCTCCCTGGAGGAGTCAAGGTGCAACATCTGCCGAAGTGTCTTCTCGGATTCCGCCCTCAGATGGGCACGAGTTTCCCCGCCCTCTGGCAGGGTGTGCGTCAATGAGCGGAAATGGGAAGGCGGCACAGCGGACTCATCCCGCTCCCAGCGATGATGGGGCAAGTGGGTGGTCTGGACGCCGGTGCTTGTGTTGTCGTCAGCGATCACAGGACCCGGCGATGGGTTCGCTGAGACATGCGGACGTTGGGGCAGTACGAGCTCTGCAGGTCGTCTCACCTGTACGGCTGTAGGCTCGTCGTCGGGAGCGTGGACGGGAGAGGTTGATTGAGGTGCTGGCTGAAGGCGCAGGTGACGGAGCCACCGCCAATTCCAGGAGATCGCGGTGTGCCGCTCGTTCTACAACTGTGTCAGGCAACGAAACTGTATTGAAGGCCGTGTGTGACTTACTACAGCCGCCAAGTCCTCGAAGATCTTTGTCCCGCTGACGGGTATCCCTCCCTTCACTGCGTTGTCAATCCACTGCGTCAACTCTTGATCATCCTCGTCGGTAAATCTCGTGCGTTTCTTCCGAACTGTACAGCCCTGTGTTTCCTCTGACTCTGCTGTCTCCTTCTCCTTCGTGGTCTCGGCGTCTCCGGCCTTCGTCAAAGAGCCTTTATCGTCAACGGTGATGCCGCGATGCGAGAGATTGCCGAAAGAGTCCATGGTAGGGGCTAAGCCTGGGCGGGAAACAGAGCGTCTGGGGGTTGCTTATCAGTACAAGTTCCAATTGTCAACGACACAAGGCCCGTGAGATACTTACTTTTAGGGTCCGGGATGAGCAGACACGGTCGACAGCACAGTACAGACAGTTTTCATGGCGTGTAGACGTGACGCCGGTTATAAGGGCAGAAAGGGCCCTCGCTGGAGCCTGTCGTGAGTCAGGTGTATGCATCGTCCCGAACTGGATCCGCACGGGCGTCAGGGCTTTATTGTTAACCTGGGCTCGTCATTATCTAGCTGCGAACTCAGGTTAGTGGCTCCGTGAGCGCGAAGATTCGTGCTGGACATGACAAGGCATCCCCAAGGTGTACTTTCAGGCACCGTGATTGATCAGAGTCGATCGGCAGACATAGATATTGAATCCTGCTGTGTGTATAGGTGAGGTGTCGCACCGGCCAGGTACCGCATTGTCGCTGGAGTGACGTGAAAGATCGAATTCTCCTCGATCGCTCATGGCGTGGAGGAATGATTGTCCACTGACGGTTACTATCACGGCGCATCAGCAGGGCTGAAAGATCAACTGTTAACACTGTATTAAGATATGAAATCTGGGACGAAGAGGTCTATGAAGGAGTGCCTCGGTGTATGGTTGTGGCGTGACAGGCATTCCAGCCAATTAGAGCACAGCATCTGCGGTGAAGGCTATCGCGAGGCTGACCGACGAGGCTGTGGTACCGAACCGTGACAGTGGCCGACAGATCAAGTGTTGTGTCCGCATAGCACGCAGACCGGGAGCACATGATGTACAACATTGAGACCTCGGCAGGTCGTCTCCGGTGCAGGAAGCAGCGGCCGTTGCTCAACTCGAGCAGACGAGCTACATTTGCCGACAGTCGACTTTCCCTTCACGGTTCCTACCATCTTCCCGCCCTCTACTTCTTCCCACTAAATATGCTCTCGTCTTTAGACTTGTGCACTACTGTCTCCTCCTCGATTAAATCCTTTCCCGATCAGCACTAGGCCCCTCCCGACTCCTCGTTTCTTGTGAGCTCTCGTCGTCGGGCTAATCAGAAGGCACAAAGTCACCGTGAGGAACGGGCGACATGCGCGATAAGTGTGATACCTAGGACAGGATCGAGATTGAAAAGGCACTCAAGTGGCCTTTTGACTCTGGTCTCTTTATTTTGGTGTCACACAGAAGGAGCTGGTCAGTATTAAGGACCTCTTTCTGGTGATTCCATTCGCCCGGGGGGTGCCCGCGCGACGGTCCAGATTCCAGCTTTTTCCAGTAACTTAGTTGATACCTCACCCTCTGACTCAACCCCTCGAAGTTACGCGAGACTTGAAGAGTCGCTTACCGATATTTCCCCCTGGGTGCGCTTTGAGCCGTGGAAGCAATCTCATATCGACATCCTCGGCAGCGCCTGGAGCGTACCCACGAGTTTCCATTTACCATTACTACAACACTACACCCGAAGCTGCCGCGGCGCTGTGAGGCGCGTTGTAGACCTTGACACTCTTGTCGTGTTCTCGGCTTCTACGAAGTTGGCACTGAAAGAGAAAACGACGTACAACACTATGACACTTTCTGACCACTGTGACCGCTTTAGAGTCCACCTCGGCATTCATCACCTGGGGCTTCATCGGATTGCCGCACTCTTTCCCTTGTGATCTCCCTTTTCGCTGAAATCCTTTTTATGCATCCATTTGTCCAGTTTCCGTCTTGTCAAAGTGAAGGTGAAAGGGTTCTCTTCGGCGATGGCGCCAAGACCATCACGAGTCACGATACGATGGAGTCCGACCGTCGGAGTTGGCCTTTCGATCAACCATGTATGATACGAGACGTCGCCCAGGGGGTCCGAGGCCACTCCTCCAAAGCTCGGATGGCTGGTGAAGAAGAGGTCAAACGCGTGGTCGGGGAGAGGGTATCCATGATCCAATGCTACAGAGAGGTATGCGCAGAGACCGGTGAAACGTTTCATTGAGAGGGTCGAATGGCACTGACGTTGTAGCTGGCGGAAAATTCGGAAAGTGGCCATCGCGCTCCCTGTACCATGTCCATCCGTGGTCTGGCGTGGGATCTCAACGGTCGATCGTGCTCGTTTCCGCTCTGTGTTTCTGTCGTCCTCGTCCTCGTCCTCGTCGCGATGATGTTTATGCCGATTCCTAGGTGGTTGTTAGCAACCTCTATATCTCCTGTAGATCGTAAACGGGGCTCACATTATCCACACCAATATCAGGAAGAGTACCTGAATTGCTAGCTTCCGCTGCCGAGCGCCTCCAGTACGCTCCCAAGTCGGTATATATCATCGTGGGCAGACACATCTGGCATCTGTTGCGTGTCTCACTCACGCAAAGGATGGCCATAGGGCACACCAAAACCGCGCAACCCACCGCATATACCTACTAGCGTTACCTCCATCGGCAACAACAGCACGACAGACAGTTTCATCTGCCAAACAATGAGCGACGTCGTCTTGACTCGCGGGGTTTCGAATCTCTTCATCCTGTGTTTCAGAGCCTCGCATTCTACGGTAAGATTTTCTTCCCGTACGTGGTGGGGCGCGAGAACCTGCGTTCACAAAGGACGATTGTCGAACTTCGGCTTGACAAACCTAGCGCTGAAACCCCAGTGACGCGTCTACCACCGCTCAACTCGCCCTTTCCGGAGGTGAAGTTCACAGATCCGGGCTGGGAAGTGATGGTGACAGAGGTAAATTCATGGTGGGAGCAGTCACTGTGAGGGAGAAGCACAATTCGAGCAAAACCATGTGAGCAAGACAAAGCTCCCCACGGGACACAAAAACGAACCTTCTCAGTATCTAACGGTGCAGTACACTGGCTAACGAAGTACGATATAGACGTTACGATAGTTTCACCGCGTGAAAACCGTGTAGAGTTGGTGTTGCTGCGATTTGATTGAGTTTTACCAGACCCAAATCTATATACATCAAGCAAAATTTAGGTCGACGACGAGCTCCCCACGCCTAACCTTATTCTGCCTAGCGCCAAAATAGCTCTTCCGGTTACAGATTGCTAAGTTCTATGTCTGATATCCGGAATCGTTATTGTATTGAGTTGTTATCTTGATTATTCTGCATATATAGACTGTTCGATAGACCCCTGTATGGCTCCGCGAAACTCCGCACCACGCCTCTTTCTTACCTTGTTTTCAGTCACCGTTCCGTCACAGCAAGCAGAGCATTAATATCTAAGCTTTTACTGTCGTTGTGTCTGCGCAGGTGGTGCTGAATGCTTTACCGCCTCTTCCTTCGTGTGGCTTGCTGGAGATACGTACGCCGGATGAGTCGAATCGACGCTTACCTTTCGCCACTCCAGCCTGAAGCGCACATGAGAAGCTGTTCTCAAATAGTGTCCCAAAGCACTCAATGATTTGCCGAGCAAAAGGCCAGGCCCATCCATTCTGAGGAACTTGCTGATAGTCTCCTTCTCCGTTGGTTCATCCTAATCAGCCTTCCTGGCCGGGCTTGCGCCGGGGTATCCCGTCGTGCGCGTACTTCCGACAGCGTTCCACTCGCTCTGCTTCAAGCATGACAGGCCGCCACATTCTAATTCGGGTCAAGGGTTGTCTAAAGATTAGTGCTATCAAACGTACATGGCTAATTTCACGAAATGAAAGGGGCCCGTGGTGTGAGCTGACCTCCGAACGGGCTTCGGATGGATCTATCTGCTCTCAGAACACGATTGCAAAAGGACTACTCTGTTCGCACCAGCTGGAGGTCTCGAAAACCAGCATATACCGCTCTAGGATGGGAAGTCTTACAGCACCATGCAGCTCATGTTTCCGGCTGGACCTCTGGTGGCCCTGGACCTGACCAGTTTAACCATCAATAACAGGGCTTTGCCGTTCAATCCGTGGCGCTAAGTGCGACCGCCCTAGCATCAGATTCAAGTTCGCTTCTCAAGGCCCACCATTGCTCCGTGTCGTTCTTGACGTCTAAATCTGCATCGCTCAAGGCTCAGCTTACTCAGTCGTCGCCTTAAAAGACCCAGCTAGCAGCCTTCCGATCACCATGCCATATGTCGCACCACGTTCCTCCCATGGACGCCCCGTCTCTTCACGAAGCATCGGCGGATGCAGGAATACCCGACGAACCGGGACCCCCAGCTGCCTACAACGATCCTACACTGACCTGCGTCCTTTACAGACGACTCCTTCCAGCCGTTTGCCTTACGAAGACTATCACGCACGTGTCTGAGCTGGGCAGTATAAGGTTGGCGGTAAAGGGACTCCGTACCGGAATGCCGCTCGGACCGTCACGCCGGGGCATACTATGCATATATTGAATATGCACGTGGAAAGGTATTAGAGGGCATGCGTCGTCGACGGCATCCGCACACAAGCGACAGGCGATGAAAAGGCACTTCTAACTTCAGCAACTCCCACCCGGCTCGCTCTGCTTGGTTTTACAACACGGAACACGATCAGTGCTTTCCCTTAGCTTCGAGACCCCTTGAGACGGACAACGTCTGGACGCATGCGGCCGTGCCATGCTTCCTGCACTGTGACTCGGCAAAGAATGATTATCACATTCAGCAGACCCGAGTGCAAATGTCTTCGAAGTCAATACCGTGGGCAGCTTCATGTTCGTAGCCACCCAATAACCTCGAAGCGAACACCACGTACGACCTCTGTGGTCTGATTTGTCTTCTGCCGTTCTCGCCAGCGGCAGCTATGCTAGATGGCCTTCACAGCCTCGTCGAAGGCCATCTTGTCAATATCTGGCACAATGCTTGCAACACCAAACGTATCTGGCTTCCTGCATATCGCGTACGAAACTCACTAGTGACCGGCAACAACGGCATCTACGCTGATCGCCCCCGTGTCTGCCAGCACGACGTTGAAGATGCCCGCATTTTAGGAGCCTCGAAGTCCAAGAGCGGGAGGCACGCCAGAATTTGGACTCCAGCTGGACATCATCCATTTCCCCGCGAAGACATGGAGGACGATTTCCGCAATTCATTGGATCGTTAACGCGAGTCAACAATGGAGATTCCGTTCTGGGAATGAAATCTTGACCCCCGCCCAGGACGCGTACTACGTAGAGTGCATGCAATTTGGACACGGCAGGTGGATGGTATGTAGATGTGTTGCTCGCTTGCTAGCTTGCAAGCTTCATGAAGCTTGTATTTAAAGCACGCCCCTTTCCAAACAGCGGGTCTGGAGATTCGTTCTATAGAACCAGGTCCCAGATTGTGGGTGGCATACAAATCGACATATTACGAGCGTCCCAGGGGCATACCTGCTTTATCTCCTCGGGAACCAAACAACAAAGCAGCAGCCTCCTCCTTATCATCAGACCCTGATCCAGGAACCTGTCTAGACGTCAACACCATGAAAGCCGTCCGCCTAGTCAACTACCACCAGCCGCTGGAACTCCAAGATGCTCCAGAACCCAAGATCACCGGCCCACTGGATGTGATTGTCAAAATCGGCGCCGCCGGCGTCTGCCGCACCGACCTCCACGTCCTCGAAGGCCAGTGGGCAGCCAAATCGAACGTCAGACTGCCCTACACGATCGGCCACGAGAACGCAGGCTGGGTGCACGCGGCAGGCGGCGCCGTGACAGTGCTGAATGTAGGCGACAAAGTCATCCTCCACCCACTGGTGACGTGCGGACTCTGCCGCGCATGTCGCTCCGGAGACGACGTGCACTGCGAAGCGAGTTCCTTCCCGGGAATCGACACGGACGGCGGATATGCCGAGTACCTGAAGACTGGAGCCCGGAGCGTCATCAAGCTGGACGAGACGCTCGAGCCCGTGGCCGTGGCGGCGCTGGCGGACGCGGGACTCACGGCGTACCATGCGTGCACCAAGGCCGCGAGGGCGCTCAGGCCGGGCAACTCCGTCGTGATGACTGGCGCGGGCGGATTGGGGCATATCGGCGTACAAGTCATGAAGGCGATCAGTGCCGCGACGGTGATTGTAGTGAATCGGAATGAAGGGGCGTTGCGGCTGGCGAAGGGGCTGGGTGCCGACCATGTGGTGTTGGCTCTCGATGGAATTGGCCATGAATCTGGGTCAGGCGACGTGGTTGTGGACGAAGTGGTCAGGTTGACGGCAGGGAAGGGGGCAGAGGCGGTCATTGATTTCGTGGCCGAGGGCGGGTCGACGCCCAGAGGCGTCAAGTCGCTCCGAAGGACCGGGAATTATTATGTCGTTGGATATGGCGAGAATATCAACGTGCCGACGATTGACATCATCTCTACAGAGATCAACTTCATTGGAAACTTGGTCGGTTCGTACAACGATTTGGCGGAGCTGATGGTGTTGGCGGCGCAGGAGAAGGTCGTGCTGCACACATCGGTTTATAAGCTTGACGACTTCCAGAAGGCGATTGATGATCTGTCGGCTGGGAAGGTCCGTGCGCGGGCTATTCTTGATCCATGAAGAGCGAGCCGTGGTGCGGGCGGAGGCGGCAGTCCGAGACCGAGACTGGTATTGGAATTGTTAAAGAAGCACAGCGATGAAATCGAAGGGCTGCAGGAGTGTTTGAAAGGTAAATGTGTGGGACTGTAGGTTTAGTTGCTATATCGAACTCGGATCACACTGGCTGCGCAATCACCGGCACAGATGCTGGCCCGGTGTAGTCAACCGCCGTTGCTCGTAGTCCAACCAGCAAAGAAGTGAATTACCAACAACACAGCCATGAACGATTGCTGGAAAAACTGAACTCACAGAAGTCGGCATGCCATATTGCTTCCAGCCTTGCCGAATCCTCAACGCCGCACCCTCGCGGTTGTCTCGTCGTTCCCACACCCCCATAAAGTACAGAGTAGTCGTACACCACTTCTGTCCAGCATCACGCGTCAGCTCCTGCAGGTACTCTTTCCCTCCGCAACGACGTCTCCGCCAAGAACCTGCTTTTGGTCCGGCTTTCTGATGTCCCATCCGCCGATTGACCCTCGTTCTGGATGCAGCGAACTTCGACAGGAGCCTGTTGTAGAGCGCTTTGTGTTTATGCTTTTCGTGGTCTCGACACGAGTCGTAATCTAAGTACATCACACTAATAGGATGGTGAGGGAATACGTGTTTGACTTTCAGATTAACACTGGATACCTGCGATCTTAGACACGAAGGCGCTCCCGAAGCTGCTAGGCGTCAGAGCAACCAAAGTGTTGGGGAGAGCCGCTTTGCATTCGATCAAAGGACTTCGTAACGCCTGAGGGGACTCATCGCCGCTTTTGCAGGCCAATGGATGCAACCCCTCGACGAGTGTCGGGGTTATTGGTGAGACTGTGTATGTTACAAGCAGACCATGTAAAGCCCAGAAAGGGAAGAATCCACGACCATTAAACTTACCAATGCCTCTGTCGGGTGTTCGTGAAGCTGCACAGAAAGCGTTCAGACCTGGATCACTCCTACAGGCCGAAGCTAGCCCTGGTCAAAGCAAAAGAGCTCCGACCTAGGCTTGACGATTCCAATCTGGTCGCTGCATGCAGTTTGGTTCCAGGATCTCAAGATCGTTGCAGTCAAGCAGGCCGAGCGGTGCAATGCGACAGTGCATACGCTAGCTACAAGATAGCGTCTCAGAGCACCAAAGCCGGGCTTGAGGGTTCTGTTCAGGATAACCAAGTAATATGAAGGAAAACAAAGTACGGAGTACCTAGGTAGACATGCGGCCATGAACAAGACATCGTGATGATCATTAAAGACGCCGAACTCGCAAGGCTGAGGAACGGATGACCGACCTGCAGTCAGCCAATCGGCAGCTCTGTTTGGTGCAGCCTTGTGCCAATGTTGACATCGCTGCGGGGGAATTGGGATCACTCTCGACAACGCCTCAATTGTACGCAGGATCTGCTCAGTCCTTCATCTCCCAACAATGGATCGGAACACCACATCTACGAAGCCATCCCTTCCCCGTCCATCCTCGGTCGCCTCCAGCAACGCAGCATCCACGAACAAGAACCGCCAGTATGCCCATCTACACGCGCAGCTGGCTCAGTTGAACGCGCACCTTGCGGATACGGAAAATCTGTTGAGGATGACAGCCGTGCAGGCTCAAGATATGCGCTTTCTGGGAGGCTACGTGGGCGCACTGTTCATGGGCAGCGCGAAGGTTCTAGGGGAAGAAAGTGTGCAAGGGAGGGGAAATCAAGCCGCGGAAGGCAAAGAGAGCTGAACGCGTCTACCTGGTTCAAGTGGTCCCGGGTGCCGAAAGATTCAAGCTACAGCATATACGGTCCTGTTGCTTGGTCGTCGTGGTTGTGTGCTTTGCGCGAGCCGGACGACCTCGCTATAGGCACTCCTTGTTCTGTTGGTGTGTGTTCACTCAAAGCAGACCGATGGGCTCAAGAGCCACTCCCTCCATGCTGTCATTGACCGGATGGCACAGCCTGGCCACATCTAGCGAACACAACTTTCAGCAGCGCCGACGGTTGAGGCGCAATGCCATATAATTCCGGCAAACAACACGGCTCACCTCAGCGCCTCGAACCAGCTGTCTACTTATAGCCTGATTGCCACTGGTCATGTAGACTACAAGAATCGACGCCTCAGGTCCAAGGGCGCGCCGACCACCGCTCTACGTGCAGATTCAGGATCAGCAGCTCAACACGGTATCGTCACCCAATCTGGCTTACTTCGCACTCATCTCGGTGGCCCAACAAGCTCAGGCGCCCAGATTCTTGATTATCAGATAGGCCACGGAAAATCAATCACCTCACGCAGTACACCTCTCGATTAAGCAGGTCGATGGTATAGCGCCAGGCTGTCATAGACGGACAAGTCGTCCCGGTCAACCTGTACGACCGGAACGAGAGTCGATGATCATTCCGTTACGTTCTCTGCATGAAGTTGTGCCAGCAATGGATGTGGGTCGGACTCCAAGGTCGCCGACAATCTCGCCGCACGTCTCCTGCCAGCCACCCACCGCATGAACTCAGAGTAGCTTTGTGGCAAGACATTGACGGTCGCCGGTGTCAGAAAGGTATAGAAGAATGTACCCGTCGACTTTCTCTCTTGGTCTTGATGCTCAACGGGGCGGACATGCGTTCGTACCATGACCTGAATACGCGTTCCGCCATTGGGGTCTGGCTCGGTATACGATACCCCAGCAGAGACGTAAAGCACAGAACCGACAGGCACGGACTCCTCGAATGTACTTGGGTCGAGGTTCAGGAACCGAGGGCGGGTATGCGAGAATGATGCTGCGCAGGTGAACGCCAGTTCGAAGGTCTGTCTGAGCAGATATCCTCCGAAAATCATAAAATGGTGGCGGTTTCTATTTTGTGGTTGCATGATCTGTGTGGAGTGAATGGTGGTCTTGGACATGGCCAGGACGTCGGCGGGCTGCTGCTTTGGGTTCCGGGAATCCGCGTATGCGAGTGAATCAGTCCACATCTTGTGGATCAAAACTGATTCGTCAGCGTCAGGGGGTTTTGCCATGATGTCTGAGGACTTGATGGCCTTCTTATGCCTGTAATTCTCTTCACCCTTGGCATACAGAGCTTTTTCGGCTGGAGTGCTGACTTGGAGTGGAGCAATGTTGACGGGCCTTTTGGTTTGCGGATCCAGGGCTACCATCGTAAAAGCACAAGTCATGAAGATGTCTTCCGGAGCAACTTGGTGACCGGGTTCTGGAGCCTTCGCGATCTGGAGAGTAACTTCCATGCTGCTCCTCCCGGTTGCAAATGTGACTTGTCCACTGAGCTCGAGGTCGCAAATCTCCTTGATTGGGTTTTTGATCGTGATCCTGTCAACAGCCGCGGTCACAACGCTCACACCTTCACCTGTGTGCTTGTACGCGACTACGCCGGCCAATGCATCCAGATCCATGAGCAAGGTGCCGGTACGAATCTGGCCGGTGTAGTTTGCGTAGGTGTCGAGAAGCCACGGATCTTTCTGCACACATCAATTGTTGGCAAGTGGAAAAATAGAACAGGTACTCGTTGTACTGACAGAAAGCGGCAGAACAAGGCTAACATAGGAGTCCGACATCTTCTTGGGAGTCAAGTCGGGCTTGACGCGTTGCACTTGTGATGACTCGGGGTTCTTTTCCGCCTCTTTCCTTTCCTTGAGAGCTTGAATCCAAGGCGTCCGCACTCGCATTTCCAAGAGTTCCTTGTATACTCCATCTGTACAAGCAAACGTGGTAGCGTGGAACGATTGTGATGCAGGCTGTCTCCCGGCTGCCAGCCGTTGACTTAGCGCTTGAGCGAGCCTTGCTCGTAGCACCCGAGATACTAGATGTCGAACCATCGTCCCAGACTGGAATGAGCGCATCCAGTGACGGACTGTTCACGGTAAGATATCACGACCGTATTGGCATGACACAAACCATTTTGTTAGACAGAAGAAGGGCGGATGGTCACCCGTGCCGGCACAAGTACCTCATCCGTGTTGTCGGGAAATGCTGATGCCCATCGGAGTTCTGGAACACCCGACATGAGGAAAGATGAGATGAGGTTGACCGGGGCGCAGTCGGGTCAATGTAATCCCGGTCCGGAGACCTGACCGTTTATCTACCACCACACGCCTTTACAACCCAGTATTCTTTCGTGACTACACTCGATGCTCGCTGCTTCGAAATGCAGAAGCGTGACATCAACCTGGGAGAAAGGCTGTTTGCTCACCGCAGGTCACATGTTAAGTTGCTCACGAAGGTCGCCACCACGATCTTATGCAAGAATGCTGATCACCCTGCCTTGTTGTCTGATGAAATGCTTGACCCCTGCCGTCTATGGCTTCCGAGAGCAAGAGTGTTCCGTCTGTCCCTGCAATTTCAGTTTTCTGACGATGTAGATCTCACGGCAATCAACCCACAGGGTCTTGAATCAATCGTCACGGATCTCGTTGAGAATGCTGAGGTAAGCCTAGTAGTGGCTTGAGCGTTTCTAATCCTTACGCATCCACTGCAGTTGTGGGCGCAGCTTGGCTATGAAGCGTCTCCGGTAGAATGCCAATTGCCTGGAAGCCGTGGGAGCGAGAGCTTTCTGCAGGTGGACTTCGAACTTCAGGTAGGGCACCGCCTTCTTGTGGACCAACGCTGAGGGGATTTAGAGTCACCGTGACATTGATTCCCAGTCGTGGTTCCCAGCGGGAGCTGTCTCCTGGGATCTGCAGTCTGTGCGTCTACACCTTCACCTCATCGGAAAACGCCGCATAGATACGGACCCCAGAAACTGGACATCAACCAGGATGCAGGATCAAGACCTTTGCCAGCAGCGACGTTTTCGTAACGGCGACGATGTTGGCGAAGCTCAATCTAGCAGCGTGGCGGAGGACGAGTCGGCAGAGTACCAGCTCCCAGCAAACCGCAATGGGCGCTCCACAGCCGCGCAAGATCAGGCAAGTCAACAGGTTCGCTTAAGGCAGCGGAATGCCCAACAGACACTATTGGACAAGGATGTGTTCTCTGCGTTCCTCGACGCGGGCTTGCGCTGCAGCATGTGTCCCAAGCCTATTCGCCTGGCGACAGGTCTCAAGTGCTTGATCGGTCAGGACAGTTATTATCTCTGCGATCTTGCGCCTGCTACGTTTGCATTAAACTACGTTCGAAGGTTGCAGGAGCAAGCCCTGCTGATTCCAGGCATATCCAGACTGTTAGAGACATTTATCAACGCTGCGCCATCGTCAAAACCAGGCTGCGACTCCGGTCGCTTGGGACCTGACGGCAACAGAGGGGAAAGAAAATCGCAACAAGGGCTCCAGACACACCTGTGGGATCTCCTCCGAAATGGGGTACGAAATCAGGACTCTGCTCGCAGGCTGAGTCCCATGAAGTCTTCAGAAGGTGTCAGGCTACCTAATTCCATGTTGGGTCTTCCCCATGCTTTTAGCCCGTCATGGCACATTGGCTCTAGGGATGAAGCTTTCCTACAATCCGACGACTTTGGGTCGTGCAGAGCCACGAGTGAAGATGACCTATTCGGTCTCCGCCTCGACCTTGATTGCCCGGCTATTGTCTCCTGCAATACTGTACCGGTGCTAATGGCGAAAGCTCTCAATGACGGTGAGAGGCGGCCCAGCGATCGCTGCCGCGACGAAAGCGGCGGGCCAATCATGGCTGAAATCTACGGCTGCCCTTTCGAAGGACAGGCAGGCCCAGGTTCCCCACAGCACGAAAGCAGAAAGTACTCGAAAAGCGTGTCACCGATGAGTGATGTGTCAATGCTCCTCCCATGCGAAAGACCTATAAAAGATGGCCGCATAGTTGGGCATCCTCAAGCCATTGGTGGGTCGAGCTGGCTTACTCAGAATGTCATCCGCATGCATCCGCTGAGGCAGCAACAGCACCAACACGACGAATTGGGCCAACAAGCTTCGGCTCGGAAAAGGCACAGCTTATATGAGGGGCCCAACTTGGAGTGGTGGTCAGATACGAGCGATGCAAGCGACCTGCCTCTCGAAGACTCTTATGAGCAATATACAAACTTACACCTTGACAACCCCTGCATATCTTCTTTCTGCGCCAGCGAGACAGAAAGGGTGCACGACCATCTGGAGCTACAATCCGATTCTGAAGACGATCAGTTGATAGTCAGCACATCATCGATGTCAAGACCCCAGTCCCGAGAAAGTTCGAGCTGCTCTTTGGCGGAAGTAATTGGGAACGACCATTTGTTGTGGCATATATGGAAGCGGCGTGCGAGTGTAGCTCCTCGGGGTGAAGAAGATATCTCCGATATGAAGACATTATTCGCGACGGACCCAGACATGAAGCTATTCAGTTCGAGATGGGACTTGGATCCCAGCGATATCAGTTCCGGCAGTAATGAAGACCCGATGCTGCAGGAAACCGTATACAACCGATCTCCTCGAGACAAGGCGAACTCACCGATGACACCCAATTCGGAAAGACGGTCATACTTTGCGATTACACGATCCCCATCATCCTCGGGACATGTTGGGCGATCGACTGCTGATCCGAAACGACGGTCAAGTCTTATCAAACGATTTACCTGGGGTGGCCGACAGAGTTCGCCTCAGGCAGCAGCGCTGGAAGCGCCAAAGCTCGAGCAGAGGACGATAGAGGTCAAGAGGAGGAAGACTTTGGATGATTATGAGATGATGGACAAAGAGGCCAGTAACGATGACTCCAGCGACATGCTCTTCTAGGCTGAGGTGATATGTCTCGTTCTCCTGGCGTCCAAACAACCCAGCCACACATCGACTGGGGAGGTATTTTGAGCGACTTTGTTTTCAACGCTTTTCAAATAGTATGGGAACAATCAAGCGGCTATGGGCAAAATGAGCGGGATCTCAGAATGAAGGTTCCAGACCGAAAAGGTTGGCGTCTTGGGAATGCCGGCGAAGAGACTGCTTGTGATACCATTAATGGCAACCTGGCCAAAGTTCCTCAAGTCTGTACATAGTATACCCTAGTCACGAGAACACTGCAAGGGAGAAGATCTACGCCCTGCCCTGAGTTTCGCTTGAGTCGACCGGCAATCTGGAAACCAAATGTTCATCTGAAGCAACATCCACGAGTACTCGGTAATGCTCCACGAACCCCGGGACTCGTGCGAGTGGAGGGCTTCAGAGGCACCATGACAGCCCGGGCAAGGCCTCCGGGGGCGCCTAGGCTGCGGCTGGTTAGGAACCCCACTAAAATTTTACAAACGACATCATCGGCTGTGAATCCCTTTTGCACGGTTCATGCCATGCCGCCCGACGCACCCAGCAGTTCGATCCAGGCACGATTTGCACACGAGCTGCAGCATCACTCCGCAGGATACTACGTTACCTCACCTGGATTCCTCCACGGCCAGCATCACCTAATGACCTCTAAGCACCGCTAAATGGTCTGTGACCCCTCCTTGAAAGCCTGGGATTTTTTGCACGCGGTGGCAGCTGCCCCTCATTTTCGTTTCTGCTGTCATTCATGCCAAAACCAGTTTCGAGAAAGCTGGCTGCTATTCCGTCGGGTCAGAGTCAGGCACAAGAAGCCCAGCATTTGACCTTGTGGCAACATAGTCTTAGTTGGATACCTGGAACTCAGCAATACAAAGCCCAAAGAAAACTGAAGTCCCGCTTGAGCATCCCCGTCTTCTACTCTATCTCAGGTGTGGTCCTCGTCCTCGTGCTGCTCACTCAGTTCTTCGGCCTGCAAGATCTCCAGCGGCGTTCACCCACGCCTGCTCCTTCTCGCGAGCCGACACGGGATCCTCTCGACCCCTTTGGCGACAGTGTCTACCGACAAGAGGCATACTTTGATCTCCTTGAGCCAGGCACTCAGTGCAGGCCGAAGTCTCCATTTTCCTCAGACCTTCCTGTTACACACGCCTTGACCAATATGGCGCTGGAAGCCGAGGCCAAGCGCATGGTTGCGCAGTTCGAATACTCCGCAGAAGAGGTGAACAAAGGCGTGAGAGAGTTCGTCCGGGAGATGGAGGAGGGATTGGCGAAGCAGGGGACATCCATAAGTCAGATCCCAACATATGTCACCTCCGTTCCTAACGGCACCGAGAAGGTAGGAACAAAAACAATACTGCGAACGAGCTAATACTGGTAGGGTGTCTATCTGGCCGTTGACCTAGGCGGCACCAACTTCAGAGTATGCTCCGTCACGCTGCACGGGAATCAGTCGTTCTCGTTGCAGCAGTCGAAAGTCCCTGTCCCTCGTGCTCTGATGGAAGCCAAAACCTCCCACGAACTCTTCTCGTTTCTGGCCAAACAAATCGAGGCCTTTCTCAAGACACACCACCTGGACCATTTCGAGAAACACAAGGCACAGCCGGGTGAGGTGGATTACTTCGACCTGGGCTTTACTTTCAGCTTTCCTGTCAACCAAGTCGGCATCAACAAGGGCAAACTGATGCGCTGGACAAAGGGCTTCAACATTGACGAAGCTTTGGGACAGGACGTTTGCGAGCTGCTACAAAAAGAGATAGATTCTCTTGGCCTTCCTGTGCGAGTTGCAGCTCTGGTCAATGACACAGTCGGCACCCTCATGGCAAGATCATACACTTCTCCCGGCAAGACCAGTACGCTGATTGGTGCCATCTTCGGCACTGGAACCAATGGTGCATATGTTGAGAAGTTGGACAGGGTGAAAAAAATGAAGGAGATCGACGATGCCACCGGAGGTGCAGCAAACTACGACGCAACGACTGGGCTCATGGTCATCAACACGGAATGGGGCAGTTTCGACAACCCTCTCAAAGTCCTTCCCAATACTCAGTATGACATTGATCTCGACAAGGAGTCGGTGAACCCGGGCATCCAGATGTTCGAGAAGCGCGTGTCCGGCATGTTCCTGGGCGAGATCCTGCGGCGAGCTCTGCTGAGTCTATATCAGCATCCAGATGCCGGAGTGGCGTTGTTCAAAGACGAATCGTCGCATACCAACGATATTAGGAGTACCACAACGGTTGCCGACGACAGTCCTCTATTTAAGCAGTGGGGGATTGACACGTCGTTTCTGTCTATTGTCGAAGAAGACCAGTCGGACCATCTGCGCATCACCAAGCAGGTGCTGGAGAAAGAGCTGAAAGTTGAGGCTGCTTCCACCGAGGATTGTGTGGCGGTGAAGATGTTGGTGCACGCGATCGGTAAGCGCGCAGCAAGACTGGCTGCAGTTGCACTTGGTGGCGTGGTGCTGTCGACCAACAAACTACAAGAAGATGAGACTGTGGACATCGGCGTGGATGGCAGTCTGGTCGAATACTATCCTGGCTTCGAGGAGTACATACGAGAAGCATTCAGGGAGATTGAGGGCATCGGGGAGGAGGAGAAGCGGATAAGGATTGGACTGGCGAAGGATGGTAGTGGTCTGGGAGCTGCTCTCATCGCCCTGGTCGCCCACAACGCAGAGCAGCCACTGTAGTGAGTGGCATAGCATGCAGCCAGTGGCGCACGAGTGTCTGTACATCCGATTTTTGCATCCTTCAGGGGGTACCTTCGACAAGCAAACAGAATATTAGCATCTTCGTAATGATTGCAGAGCCTCGCATGCTTATTAATTGTGAACAGTTTTCTTTTCCAGGCATTTGGTGCTCATTTTCTGTTGCGGGTTTTTCTGAATGCGATGATGACTGGATCTGGATTTCAAATGTCCCTACGGAGTACCTCATCGAACTTTGTCTCCAGTTTCACTACACACGGCCCAACACCCACTACGAGTCCACTGCACAAGAATCGAGGCTGCGAGTTCGGCTTTGTCGCTCTAAGCAGGTCATAAAAATAACCAGCGGTGACAAGATTTTGGATTTCAAAACAAGCCGGCATGAGTGGCGACTTACAGAGCTGGGCACTGCCGCGGCTTCAGCTTCTACTACCCGTAGATGATGGGTCGCTCAAAGAAGTGATTGCCTATTCTTCGACGTTGTCGAAAGACGCTGCCGCTGAACATCTGAAGAACCTACTGGGCGACTCTCCGCAAGCTCTGGAATTCATTTCATCGTTCAACGCACGACGTGACAATGTTAAGCCTTCCGCATCAACCGCCGAGGAAACTGGAGTGCCCAAGCCGCAGAAGAAGGTCGCTAAGAAAGCGAAGGCGCCCCTTCATGCTCCTGGCCCAGCGCGCCGTCCAGAGGGCTACGGTGACATCGCAGGCGGTTACACTAAGCACTACAACACCGACGATGACTTCGGCTTCTCTAGCAGTCGACCCGCTTCGCGAGATCAGAATCTTGCGCCTATGTCCTCGACGCCGGAGGCGCTCCAAGGCCCCCAGACCAGCACAGGCGGACTGCCCTCTCGCTCTTCCGCCACCTCTCGAGATGCCTCACCCGCAACGAAATCGCAAAAGCTCCCACCATCGGCGGCAGGGAACCTAATCTCTGATTTCGGCTTTGCGAATGTGAAGTCGAAACAAGCCAAGAGGCCCGCGCATGGCGGTCACTCGCAGCCGCAGTCTGGCACTTCCACGCCGCATAGGAATAGCGCTACGACGACCACGTCAAATGTGGCAGATTTGACAGCGGCTATTGCAGCCCTCGAACTCTCTACGAACCCTACACTATCCAAAGACAGGAGAAAATGTCCCTGCAATGCTTCGATACACCCACTCTTTGCCACTGCACCGAATTGTCTCAACTGCGGCAAGATCATCTGCGCGCTTGAGGGACTGCAGCCATGCTCATTCTGTGATTCACCGATCTTGACCAAAGAGCAGGTCAACAGTATGATCAAGGCGCTCAAGGAAGAACGTGGCATTGAGAAGATGGCTGTTCACAATGCAGGCCAATCTCAATCTGGACGCGGTACGCCAATTTTCGGTGGCGCAACGCCGGACAGCGCCTCGGGAGACGAAGCATCGTCTGCGGCAGCACGGGCAAGAGCACATCGAGACAAACTATTAGCATTTCAGCGCGAAAATGCTCAACGGACTCGTGTGCACGATGAAGCGGCCGACTACGATACTACGCTCACTCCCGGAACGACGCAGTGGATGAGCCCTGTCCAGCGTGCTGCGGCGCTGAAGAAGCAGCAGAAATATCTCCGCGAGCTGGAGGAGGCACATCGACCAGAATGGGAGAAGAAGCGGACGGTGATGAGCATGAGCATCAAGAACGGGAAGCTGGTGAAGACTTATGGGCAGGAGAAGGCGCCTCCTCTTGTGGCAGAGCAAGACGATCCGGACGAAGACGATAGTATGGAAGATCAGCATTTGGGTTTGCACACGGATGGGAGGCAGGGCGCATTCAGCAACAATCCCCTACTGGCAACTGGAAAGCTCATCCGACCAGTGTGGAAGGCGGCTGAAGGGGTTGACACGGAAAAGGGAAAAGGCCGGGCGGAGGAAAGAAAGAGCGTCTGGCGGAGGGTGCAGGATGATAACGAGGACAATGAGCAGTGGATCCTAGATGGCGGACTGCGTGGCTATGGGACGGAGACGAGGCTGATGGAGGACGGGTCGCAACAAGAGTGCGGTTGAGGATCAGCCGGTTTGACAGAGGATATAAGGGATATCAGAGACCACACGTCAGCCATCAGACATCAGACATCAGATGGGTGGCGACAGACCTCAACCTAGCGTGCTTAGGTAGCCTTGTCAGCCTCGTGCTCATGCTGCAGGAACGGCGGAGCCTTGCCTGTTCCTGGCCCCGGTTCCTGGACGCTAGCCGCTTTCGTCACTGGGTGCCCAAACCCAAACTTCTTCCCACGCGGCGGGCGGCGCCAAACCATCGATGAGAGACGACTGACTAGAGCACACCGACGCTGAAGCGACGACGGACACGCGACGCCCTTTTTGTTACTCATCACATTCTTCCTCACGCTATACCACTGCAACAGGTTCGGTGGCCCGCTGATTGTCCTCCCTCTACGGTGGACAGTTCGCGTCCGTTTGTCCTACGTCTCCTCTCACTCGCCCTCCCCCTCGCCCCATGACGATGCCAACCGATCCCAGGACCCGGCGATAATCCACAATACGAGATCAACCGCGTCCGAACGATACGAAGCAATAATCAAGTCTGTGTGGAAGTCCATAATCTCATGACTGCATGGTGCACCAGCACAGTTTCATCTTCTCCCTTCTCCACCAGTGTCCCACCGATGATGCTGTGGAGGCGCTGGTCGCAATTCTACCGCCTGCACCTCCTACCCGATGCTAGCCATTGATACTTCTTCCGCCCTTGGGTTCAGCAATACCAATCTGTCCCAAACCATGGAGCCAGATCTCAATCTCATCATGAGCCCTCCCTCGCGCACCATGCTGCGTCCCGAAGACGCCTCCCGGCCAGGCCGACCATTTCGAAACGAAGAAGGTGATCGAGCTCGGGCAACCAGCGAGGACACTAGGTTGAATGTAGAAAGAGGAGGTGTCGCCTTAAACTTGGATGACTCTCTTCCTCGGGCCGATGGAAAGCCAATTGCCCAGATCACTACGAGTCACGAGCCACTTCTGTTGTCGCTGGAGGACACAACCGAGCTATTCAGGAGGAAAGTCGCCGATGCCAGACAAGACACAGAACATGCCCTCGCTGGGAATGAGGCGGTCAGTGAGGCTGTCAAGCCCAAGCTCACCTTGGATCTGGGCCACTCCAACATCGCCAGATTACCAGAAAGCGTGGTCGATCTAATCAAGGCCGAGGTGGAAAGGCTTTCTTTGTCGCACAACCAGATCTGGCACATACCTCTGCGATTCTCCGAATGCTCGCACCTGAGATACCTCAATATACGATCCAACGTCTTTAGGGAGATTCCGCGCGGAGTATACAAGCTCAATCAGTTGGAGATTCTGGACATTAGTCGGAACAAGGTCCGCAAAATACCCGGCGACATTAAGAATCTCAAGTCCTTGAGGGTCTTCTCGATAGTACACAACCGGGTGGAGGATTTGCCGACCGAGCTGTGCGAAATGACCAAACTCCAGATATTGAAGATCGCCGAAAATCCTTTGCGCTTCAAGTTGAAGAAGATTGTGGAAGCGAAGGAATCCGAAGTATCATTCTCGGAAATGACAGACCACGAGAGGGAGACAGCCATCACGCGCGAGATCAAACGTTATCTCCGAGAAGCGCACCCGGTCATCACACCCATTGATGTCGAGGCGTCTTTGCAGGTCGATGAGAGCCCGATGGAGATGACACCAAGACCTCTCAAACGATCTCTGAGCAGCAGATTTCCCGTCATACCGAGCACTAACAGTGTAGAGCCTGCATCCGAAGGGAACAAGTCATCGCCTATCCAGGGGATTGCCAATCCACCGCCTGTACCCACTCGATCGCACTTTCGCATGGCGTCTGGTGCACAAAACATGGCGCTTCGACGGCCGGGCATAGGACCTTTGATCAGTCAGAATAACGAGAGAAACCGAAGCAACAGCGAGAGCGTCTTGCAGGCATCTGCCGCCGCTCGACAGAAAAGGATGGGCATGCTCCGAAAGGAGAAACCTGATTTGGACAGTATTGATGAACTCAAGGTCAACCGGAACAGTCACCTCCGCGGCTTCAGTCACGGCTCCGTTCTGAAAAAGAACGGTGCATTGTCTTCACCGGGTGGGACTGGCTCGTCGAGTCCCAGCAGTCCCCGCGATCCTAGAAGACATAGGCTCGCCTTTGTGAAACGGCTGTCGAGTCTGCCTGAGCACAAGGTCGAGGCTGAATGGAACAACCCCGTCATCGAAGGTGCCAAAGGCATCCTGTATGCCCTGTACCAGATCCACCCACAAATCTCCGGTCTTATTGCCGCCATCCGAGGGAAGGATGTACGGAGAAGCACGCTGGAGTTCACCTTTTTCAATGCTTCGACCCATGTCGACCGACTCAACGAAGCTCTGGAACAAGCTGACATAGTGGACACTGCAGATCCAGATGCAGTTGCAAAGTCTGAGGACACGGTTCGCAGAGACTGTACGACTTGTATCATGGCCTATGCCCACGTAACCGCACAGCTGCAAGATAACGTCAAGAAAATTGTTGCCGGGACTGATGCTCGCTACGTCCGGACACTCATGCTTTTACTCTACGGGAGCATGATTGAAGTCAGAAACGCGATTGAGACCTTCGGGGCAGATGTCAGAGTCACACAAGGTTTCGGTCACAGAAGACAGATGTCAAGTGGGAACGCGCATCCCATCCAGACAATCCCCGAAGAGTATTCTACTCCTTCGCAGCCGGTGAGATCTTCTGTGATTCTGTCTCGAGACAGACATTTGGCTTCGAGACAAGCTGGGAGATTGCGGAGTGACACGGCCATTCAACATCCAGTGGTTGACAACCACCCGGCTTACCAGCCGCATCTTGTGCAACCTGCCCTTCCGACGCCGATTCACTTGACTGGGACTACTCTGCACGGAGGAGCTCTCACCGGCACGTCTTCGACCTTTTCCAACAGTGGCACCCTGAACTCGGCCTCGAGTTCTGGATTGAGATCACGATCGAATTCGCGGACCGCAGGCATGATCAACGGACTGGATTCGTCTTCGGTGGCGAGCACTCCTCGGTCGGCCGAAGTATTCAGTCTATCGCCTGCAAATTCCTATATCCCCCGGGTCAACCCGTCTACAGGTCTGACTGACCCGCAAGAAGAAGCTATTTTCGAACAGATTTTTCTCGCTCTGACGAGGGCGTATGATGCCGCTTTACATACTATCCCAATCGCCAAAGCACAGTTCCTGCGGTGTCTCGAGGCAGCCGAGGAGAATCGGCAGCCCAAGGCGGTGCACGATCTCTGGTCGACGCTTGTCTATCGCTGCAAATTGTGCATCGACGTCAGCGAAGCCCTACAGATTAGACTGGTCAACATGCGTCTCAAGGATCCCAGTTCTTGTGCGGTTGCTACGGGCAGTGGCCGGAATGATCCTTCGCTCTGGCTGTTGTGCAAGAACTTCCTCATGAGCTTCATCGAACTTTTGACGGAGATGCGAATCGCCAAGTCATTGCGACTCCTGTCCCAGGAGCTGATCACCATGCTCAGGCCCGTGCAGAAAGCCAGTCGCGAGGCAGGGCGCATGATAGAGACAAGCCCCTGGAGGTATTTGACAGACAGTGCGGCTGCCGCAATGCCGCCACCCAGTGTCTTCGGCGCATCGAACTCGAATCAACCACCAAGCGGGGTGGTGAACGGCAATGGATATAATGGCGTCAACGGAACCAACATCGGTAACATCCCGGTCTACCCGCACAATTCGGCAGCCTCCACGATCTCGAACTACCCCCTACAGAGCCCCTTTCCGCCACCGCTTGTCCCTGTGCCACCAGTGCCCGGGCCGGCTAATGGGAACGCCCTTAACACCGCGACAAAAATGTTCAACGGCATGGTTATCTCCTCTGCGTCGTCCACAACGGTTACCAATGGTGCAGCTGTGAATGGGGTCAGCCCCGTCTCCGTTCCCCTCCCAGCAACACCACTTTCCGCGGCACTTGGCCCGGCTGCTCAGGCTACCCTACCTACCACCAACGCAGCGGGAGGAAGTTCATCAGCCCAGCCTACGCCAACTACTGCATCCTTCTTTTCCTCCGCACTGCCCACACCCACGACAGCGACAATGATCCCAAGTACGCCAGCCTCGGCGTACGGAGATAGTTTCTTCAAAGGAGACGTCTTCCAACGCGCGGATAGTCTGCTGAGCATGCAAAGTCAAGTGGGGCTGGGTGGGTTCATGAGAAGGGGTTAAGTAACGTATGTCAAGACCGGTTATGAGAGCCATCCAAAACCTCAAGCAGGACTTTAGGGGAAACGGTCGACTACGTACCTGCTATATCACGACTCGCCTGCGTTTTGGGTATCGGGTCGAGGCGGGAGTGGAATGGACACTGGGCGAAGAAGACATGAAAGGAACGGAGGGGAATTCTTATTGTAGACCACGGGCAACGCTGGATGACGTGACCTTGGCCTGCTCTCTTACGCCAGCTAGACATGATGTATTATAATATCCTATGTCCTATATTTCTCTATGCTATACGATACCGTGAATGAAGTGTAGTACCGTCGATGATACCGTTAGATTTGCCCTCGCCACGACGCCTGGACTTGGACCTGGACCAGACTCCAGTGGGAGGGCCAATGCGGGACCCTGACGGTGAATGTGACGACTGATTTCACCCGGGAAGAGGAATTTATACTTACTCGACACTGAAGGACAAACATATATATATATATATATATACGAAGCAAGAAACGAGGATTCTAAAAGCGAGAAGCGCAAATCTGAAGGTAGTGGGTGAGTTGTATCCGGCGTCCCACGCGCACCCATATCGACGGCGCCCAACCGGCAGACGGACTGAGTCCTGTAACTGACTCTAACTAGCCGATGTAGCTGAGAAGGCTTGTTGGGGACCAGGTAGATACTGTACACAGGTAGGCACACACATAGAATGATTGAATAGGTTGGTGAATGTACGCAGCCCAGTACAGTACGTATACGCTTGTTCTAGATCATTATGCCGATTACCTTGCTTGACCTTCAGTATCACGTCCACCTTGCTGTAAGTATCAGGTATAGATATAGGTAACGCATGGTACTGCTGTGCTGTGCTGTGCTGTATTGTCTTATGCCTGCGTAGGCAATCTACAGTACTCTGCTCCATTGCACTTCACTCCACTGCACTTCACTCCACCGCACTTCACTCCATCATACTCCGGTTCGAACGTGTGAGTCGTGCCCAGGGACCAGGCTGCGTAAGAATGATGGCCTCGCTGATTCTCCTCTGGGTGACTGGTATGCTGTAGCCCTTCCGAATGGGGGGCTCTTCACATCTTCCCGGTTCCGTTTCCGTCTCCGTTACTATGTGGAGGAGCGATTTGGAGATCCTTGGCATATTCGCGTTGGCAGAAGACGCCATCGTCGCTGCGTAGTGAGAGTTCACAGGCCGGCCGGGCCAAGAGCCGCATTACTATGTGTGTGCGAACCCAGCAGAGTGCGGGCCTTCATGTCCGTAACATAACGTGGGAGGATCGAGGACCGTAGTCCGTGTGTGATGGTTGAGCCAGCCGAAGATTAAGATGCGCAGTAAATTCTCCCAACATCTTCATGCATCGATCCCTTTTACCCCTGGAGGTGGCCGTGTAAAGGCCAGCCCTAGTGCATGTCGCACGCACGGATGGCATCTTAGTGTGTGCTGCTGTTGAAATGGGGAAGGCTGTTACGACCGACGGTGCCGGTCCGTGATGACGCGAATCGCAGGGCATACGACGCATTGACACACACAAACCCACAGACAGACGAAGACTCTCAAGAATGCTCCCTTCGTATGCACGATGCGTTCTTTCGTGGGGTGAGCTGATGAGGCGTCGAGGTCTCACTCGTCAGATCCGTCGCAGGGAATAGGAGGTTGGGGGTTTCAGAAAGGTTCAGGTCTCATTGGCAGTGCCTAGGCCGAGGACCGTGTCCCTCCAATCTGGTGATCGACGCGGCGATGTAGGTTCCCATGTGCGCTGATTCTCATGCAATCGAGGCTCAGACGGCATGTCGGACACCACAAGGACATCAGTGGTATTCCACAGATCTCAGCTGGATAGGCAGGGTCTGCGGCTTGTCTGGAGCCATCTGTCGGAGTGTCAAGGACGGTCTCTGAACAGAAGCCATCTTGAAATAGATGATTGCGCAATGTGGACAATTGCTGCCCGTCAACGCTGTTGTGCCTTCTGTGGATCGAGCAGAAAGACTCAGGCCGAGGCCTGCTGGTTGCGGCATGACTGCCTCTCAAGGGCCTCACGGTGTTGGCGAAGGACTTTTGTCATCTCGAAATGCCAGCACACGATCGAGCTCTTGCTCGCACTTCGAGAATTCACTAAGCGGTTCCAGGTCCGGCGAAGAAAATGTCAGGGTAGGTTCAGCGCTTGTCCTTAGAAAGGGTGAATCCGTCGGTATCTGCTGAGACCGCACAAAGCTGATTAAGGCCTCGTACTCCTTCTGTACGGTCTTGTACTTCTCGTTCAGATGGTTGTAGCTGGCCTGGAGGGCGAAGAATCTCTTCTCGAGCTGAGCAACATAGCGTTTTTGGCGGTCCCGGTGTGCGCGTTGAGCAGCACGGTTTTGAGCGCGCCGACGCTGGAGGGAATGTTAACTGATGGGATGAGTGGGCAGCATGCTGTTTGCTTACTTCTCCTGAGATGTCCATCATCATGTCCGGCAACGGCGATCCGTGGTCAGAGGCGGCCTTGACTCGTCCTCTTTTTGCGAGCGGTGGCCGAGTCACGGTTGGGTGAATACTATCATGGCAGGCGGCAAGACTTGTTGTAATGCTCTTCTCGTGATGTGACCCGACCTATGGAGCAAGCATTGGCCTCGGGAGTCTCTGGTAGAGGAACACAGGGAAATTACCACAGCCATCATAAATGACTCCATTTTGTCCGGGTCGGAAAGCTCAAGATCTTCATATCTGAGCAGATTCGGAGTGTCGCTCCGCGTATCGTGGATGTGGCTCAAGCCGGTGCTCACATCACCTCTTATGTGGCTGTGGCCTATCCCACATGGGAGCAAGGACCAAGAGTCGTATGCCTCGATGTGAAGTCGATTTTGACAGTCCATCGTGCCGGTTGCAGATCGCAGCTAAGGATCTGAAGATGAACCGAATGCTTCAGGATATATCTTTGCTCGCGAGCCGTCGGGGTCCATGTTGACAAAGGGTGGATATTTACCATAATCGGACTCATGCATGGGTCGCCATACAATCCCTCAATGGCCGGGACAACGTTTACTGTCAATTATCACATGGAGCGAGACCAAGCAGAAAGGCTTGCTCTCTTTTGGGCAACGCCGCTCATCGCCGAGCTGTCCAATCATGCCTGGACGTGGGTGTTGGTACACGAGGTGCATATAGCACGCAGTGAGGAATTCCATAGAACCTTTCTTTGGGGGAGGGCGAATCCGGAGTAGAATCCGACCCGTAGAAGTCAAGCCATCCGTTGCGCGTAGCTGTAGTCCCATCTTCGCTTCGCCCCTGCAGTATTAGCCCGACCCAGGATGACGAGCTGCAGGGTCGACGGTAAGGGATTATGCTGCGGTGGTCCTTGCATCGCTTAGTCACCCGAGTAGTCACTTTGGTAAGGTCCGGGCACGAGGCCGCGCTGCGAAGTGCTTGATCTTGAGGTCTGGGGATTTCCCGAACCAACGAGGCTTCAAATGAAATGAAAACTTCGCTCGGTACAGCCCAGTCATGGCCCAAAAGAGAAGGTATATGTTACCGGTTATGGTAGTGGGCGCTCACAGTCACTTTTGCTCGCATCGTACATTAGAGGGGTATATGATCGTGCGGAAGGAGTTACCGTCCTGATAATTGCCGGTCTGTGGTGGATGCCAATTGCTTCAGCGAGCACCATGAGACGGCCCAATAGCACCTCGTAGTGCTATGCCTGAGATCGGCGTACGACTTGGCCTGGACTGCTGATGTGGTCGCGAACGTAACAAGCAGGTCCACGGAGATTCCTCGCACCTCCGATACGGTAGCAGCTGGCAGACAGGTGTATGCGCCGCGTCATCAGGGAAAGGGTTGAGTCGAAGCACGGGAGTGGTGCAACACAGGCTCGTTTGAGCGGTAAACACAATTAGCATCGATAAGTGAGTGCGCAGAACTTGGAAGACCGCAACCGAGACCGATGTGCTCTGGTCAGTGATGTGAGAACTTGACACAGCCCTCGGCGGAAGCAGGCAGCTGTAGGCGTTACGGAGACAAAGAGGTCCTTCCCTCGATCTCATGCATTCCTATCTCCTGGGTGATCCGATCGTTAGCCGAACCGCCTTGTCATCGACCGGAGAGGGCAGTGGACCCAGCGCAAATGGGTGAGAGTGCTGTACTCAGAGCGGGATGAATGCTCAAGGTACCAGCCAGTGACCCCGTTCAGCCATCTGCCCCTGGAAGCGGTGGAGGAAAGCACTAGGCAGCGAAGCATAACAATTCCACCCGGTTGTGCTCGACGCAGTGCTTGATCATCATGTAGTCAAGATAGCTTCAGGCACGCGCCATGGTATTGCACGCCGATTCTGGCAGGGACCGGACCGTAAGCACAGCCAGGCGAGGAGCGTCCGATGAACCCTTGAGAAGGATTGAAGGGTTCAGAAGCCTGGTGTGGCGCGCGCACACGCCTTTGTGAAGATCCGTCTCCACGTCGACGACTGACCCAAGCTGAAACAGGCACATAGACCACAAACCTGGCATCGGATGGCGGCAGTCCAGGACATGCCAAAGCCACGTGGAACAAGGCGTGCCATGCTGTGCCAGAACCTGTCGCTCTGCCATCGAAGTCGGTCGCCGCACCGCAGAGCCTCGATGCACGTGGTCGTCCGTGGCACAGCAGAAGCAGCGACCCACCATCGCATCCTATGTGGTAGTGTTCGTCTGTGGTTCCGGATACGTGAAACACCAGCAACTGACACGCCGACACCATCGTGCTGCCGAGCTGGCTCCTGGCGTGATACGGGTCGTGTGACAGCAGTTGCGGCTAGTGGTCGGTTTGCACACTGCCAATTCAGAAGTACGCCTGAACTACGTCGTACCAGTTGAGTACTTCAGACGCTGCAGTTCTGTAAGGATCTAGGCCGGCGGCAGAGGGATATCGTCTTTGAGTCATCTCGCTTCTGCGCTTCCAAGTCGGACGTAAGAAACGGGCCAGGTCAACTCCATGTATGCGGTCGCTCAAGGTAGCGAGGCAGGAGACACTGCTTGATGTACAGAGTGGTTGTCACTTCACTATGGGTCCTTCCACCGCTCTGTGCTTGCCTCTTGTGGTTACCTGCTTGCCGTCACTCCTGCCCTGGTTGCCATTCTGCAACGTCTTGTTGTCTGCCGTCCTCCCACCAGTCCGGCTCCTGACATGAGAAGCAGAAATCTAGCATAGGTGATTATTCATTTGCGGTCCCATCGTGTTCGTGCCTGAAAAGTGTATCTTCCCAATGTATGCAATACAAAAATTCCTCTCCAAACCAAGCACAAGGGAAAGACACGACAAGCCACGACATGACCTTCAGTCCCTTTCCGTGCCGCAGCTATTGCGCCACACAAGTGGCGCAACGTGTCATGTGCAAAAAAGAGGCCCTTTCTCCTGCAATGCTGTATGTACTGGAAAGAGCAAAAGTCGAATGTTTCAACATCTCCGCGCAACCGTGTGCCAGCCTCCAAAGAGTCGTGTCAGGTACTTTTTGCTGAAGTGACGGACAGCCGCTGCCCATCTCGTCGTAAGAATTCCCAACCAATCATTAAAATATATGTGGAATAGGGTGAGAACCCGATCGTATATGCGATGCTGTGCAGAAAGGTCGAGTTCCCGTCATGTTAGTCGCCAGAGTGCTGCTAATCGACGGACCCGTGCCGCTGAGTCAACACGTTTGCTCGAAGTCGCTACCGCATGCTCAGCATTTGTCGAGGCGCGAAGCTGCTTGTACTGCTATGGGCCGATGGTTCCGAATCGATGTTGGCACTGCCACTGTCACCACTCCCGGCGCTAGCACTGGCACTCCCAGTCAGACTCTTGACCGGCGGTTTTGGTGGTGGGAAGGGTTTGCTCACCCCAGCCTGTTCCATCTGATGCGTGGGCATCATGTTAGCTTGACTAGGAGGGTATCTCGGGACCGGCGCTGGCATCCCTCCTGGCGGTGATGGTCTGCCATTCGGGCGGGGGCCCGACTGCATGTAGGGATCGTTCGGTGGTGATGGCCGGTTTGGTACTCGTCCCATCGGCCCGAACGGATTACCAGGCGAGCGACTTGTCCGTCTACTAGGCGGACCAGGGTATGGCCCTCCATTGATAACCCCCAGTTCCTGCAGACGGCTAGCCGTCAGGGAATTGGCACGCGATTCATCTGCCATCTCTTTGCGGTCTACCGAACCATACCGGTTTGACGAAAATCCCATCATTGGATTGTTCAGAATGTTCTCCCCTAGCATCGGCATATCAGACATGAGCTGAGCGCTGGTTCGATGTCTGCTGAGGTTTGGCCGTCCAAAGGAGCCTGGCCGCATGCCACCCCCGTTCCCAAAGGTATCTTTTCGGAGCTGGTTCTGGCTCGTCGCCCGCTTGGTCCGCCTTGATGTGACGCTCATCATGTCGATGTTGTCGGGGTCAATCGGTGGCATAGGAGGTCCCCGGGATTGCATCGGATCAAAGTAATCGTCGTCATCATCGTCATCATCGAAGTCTTGGTGACGACTCGGTTGGGGTCTTCTACCACCACCGCTGCCACCGCGACTTCTCATTGCCATTTCTTGCTGCCTCAGATGGAGCTCCTTCTCCCGTAGCATGAGTTCTCGTTCTCGCAGCGCAGCCGCAGGAGGCATTCCATTTTCTTGTAGACCCGCAGCCACATCACCGTCTGGCAGTTCATCGTAAAGTACTACATGACTGAATTCATCCAGGTTGGTTTCGTCATACGACGGTCGGCGCTGCATCTGGCTAGGTCCTCGAGGCGGATAGCTGTTCGGCGGTCCACGGAAGCCATTGACGGGAGGCGGTCCGCGTCTGCCGGGCGGGCCCATCGGGTGGCCCATGGGCGGTCCACGCATGGGCCTGGGAGCTCCATTCGGGAGCCCGTTTGGCTGTCGAGGGGGAGGAGGATTCGCAAGGGACATGGTTCGTGGGGGTGGTTGCATGGTGGACGGGGATTGTGGCATGCCTGCCGGAGCTGATGAGGCGAGGGGACGGTCTTTGTTGATGGCATTGACGTGTCGTAGCAGGGCATACAGAGTCGCGAGCCGGGGCGCTTTGAGGCCTACCGCGTTCGCCAGTTCTATCGGCGAGCCCAGGTAGGTCTCGACTTCCATTGGACGCCTTGCGGTAAAATCCTGGTACATTGTGCTGGGGTCTTGACTCGAGGACCTGAGCATAGACTGAATTGTAGTGTCTTTAAAATCGCTCGGGAATGTGCAGTCCTGTCCGCCGGCGATTTCAATCAACTCGGCAATAACGTCTGATATGAGCTCTTGGACGCCGGGTAACCGAATCAAGTCTGTCAGGACAGGGGTCTCGAAGAGGACGCTTGCAGGATGGAAGGCGATGGGCCTAGATCAAGGTTAGCTTCTCTGATAATGCAGAGTGGTGTGGCGGTTGTGCGAACCCAATCATTCTCTCAAATTGTTGTTGTTTAATATTCGAAGACACTTTGCAGTCGACCTGAGCCGTCGTCAGAGTCATGGCTAGGGCTTCTGACATGTCCCTTTGAATCGACTCGGGTATCGCAGAATTTTTGCTTGCAGGGCCGACCCAGATTTCTGTGGACCCGATGTGCTCAAACTCGCTCGACCCAAGCTGCGTCAGGTCGGCACCGGAGACAAGAGAAAGGACGACATTCGTTGGAAATCGATCCTCGAGCTGTTTCTCTACGCCCAATGTGTTTGTGGTATTGACCAGAATACATGTATGCTGAGGAGTGACGACGGATTGAATTATGTCGGCGAGATTGTAGACGTCGGGAAGGGCTTTAACACAGAGGAGGACGTAGTCGAAAGCAGCTTGCTGGCTGGCGGCGTCTTCGGGGCTCTGGACAACTGTCAAGGAGTCAGCTAACTTCTCGGGGAAGGACTTTGAGCAACGTACCGA